TGGTAATTTATGGACCCAATAGGTATATAAAGCCATTTGCACATAACAAATAGGAGCCTACACAACACAAAACAGTGTTGCTGTATGTAGGTTTTATTTTACTTGTTTTTTATCTTATATTTTGGAAATGGACATCCAGTTTTCCCCCCTTAAAATCTTTTGGGGGGCCCCAAGAGAGTGGGGCCCTAAGCTATAGCTTGTTTAGCTTATATGTAAATCCAGCAGAGGCACTAACAGGGGCCACAGAAAGTAAATTATCTGAGGACTACGGTCTTGGCTACTGTTTAAAGCTTAGCATGAAAATAGAAATATTAAATAATATGACAAAGATCTTGATGCAGATACACACATATATTGTCAGAAGCAGCATTTTGTAGTCAGATGTGCCTCAGATCATATGTTTCCAGTGGCATGTTATAGACCAGACCTGTGTGGAATATATTTTCTATCAGATTATTTGTTTACACATTATTTGTTTTCTTTACTGCATTTATATACCACCTTCCTGATAAGGCATTAAAGATTACATTACAAAAGACAAAATAATAAAACAGTAGACTTCTGTCAGCCACTGGTGATCTCTTTGGGAGCTGATGGTATGAGATTCCTGATTTGGGCTTCTTCTCTTCAACTTTGCTCATATCAAAGTTTTTACGTATGGTATTTCATGGAAAGGCAGATAAGGATCATTGTCAGTGGCTGCTTTGGGAGCAGATAGCATGAACTCCTCACCCTACAATTCTTCTGCATGAATCTTTGATAGTAAGGAGCCTATTAAAATGCTCACATTTTGGTCATCTCTTTATACTGGCATTTAATGGACCAATGACACCAAATCTTGAAACTGAACATTACATGCAAAAACTGAAGCTTTGGTAATGTGAATCCAATCATCTCTACCAGTTTGCCATAGGAGCTTGAAGTATCAGGTTGCTCCAAGTGGGCGTTAAAACAGAACAATTTACTAAGTAAGTCTGTAAGTAGCAGATGGGTTGCAAAGTAAGGACAGAATATAATTTGGGAACTTGGTTTGTAAAACGTTTAGGGGATAATCATTCTAGCAAGTGTAGACACTCAGGCAATTCCATGAAAATGTCTACCTACACACTCATTTTTATTTTTCATAGGTTGTTAACTTGTTCTGTATCATTTTAAAGATAGTTTTCCTAAGTTTCATTATATGGCAACAGTTTTTCAAAATGGCATATTACATGTGAGTAAAGCAACCACAAGTGTGACATGCAAAATGACTCAGAATTGCACTGAAAGTGGCTCCTTGAGAGCTTTACCTTTACCTAAAAGAAGCCTCTTCTGTAATTTGTTCAGATCCTCAGGAGCTTAAGAAACAGCTGGAGGGTTTTATTGCTATTTGTGTTGAAAAGACAAAATATTGATCATTTCTGTCATCATCTGTGTTGGCTATCTCCCAAAGCAATGTTGTATTGATTGTTCTGTTTCAGAAATCCTGGTTTTGGTGTTTGTTTTTAGTACTTCCCAAGCTACAAAACAGAACTGCAAAGCTTTGTCAATACCAGAGTCTACAATATACTGCAGTAAAAGCATTACTTTTCTTTATCCTCGGGTTGTTTGGTTTCATTTGTTTGCTTTGCATGCAACTAGTGTAGATTTTCGCTGTGAGCAAACTCTCTATATACTATACTACACATACACACACCTCAATTTTCTTTTTTCTTTTTTGTTTTAATTTAATATAAGATACACAATATACAAAAAATTATTCCCCCCCCCGTGCCATTCCTTGTGTAACCAAAACAGCACCACACACACACAATAGGAAGGTATTGGCATATTTGGGAAAAACTTGTGGTTTGCAGAAGTACTAAAACGTCAGCGGAAAAACCTAAAGGGGAAAAGCTTCTCAAAAACAACTCAGTGAGGACTAATATATTCAGGGTCTACAAAATACTGCCTGACTGCTGGAGAAAAGAAAAGAAAAACTAGAGAGATAATACTATGGGGAAAGTATATAAGTCCCATTGAGTTTAATGGCACTTACTCACAGGTAAGTGGTTATTGGGTTGCAGCTTAAATGTGACAGAAAAATTGAGTGTCAAAACACAAAAACTGAGTGTCTGTTCAGCTTTGCAGTTGACATTCAGCAGATTTATTAGTGCCACCTACTGGTTCTTTAAAGTTTTTCTATTGAATCTAGAGAAATTAAAAGCAACGCCTAAATGACAAATTGATTAAAGTAACATTGGGATTAAATTAAATTATAAGTTTTTTTGTTTTGTGTTTTAAAAAGGATGTGCCATAAGGAAAAAGGAGACAAGACTTTGTGGTTGTTTTTTTTGCAATAGGCATAACAAGGTATGTAGTTGTATCCAGCTGAACCCTACTGCAGATGTAGATACCCAGTAATGTAGACTTGAGGCTTCACTGTGTTTGTGAATGAAAGGATGTCCATGTGCGAAAGAGTGTGCAGAATAATTCTGAAAAAGAGAGGGAATTGGGGAAAATGAGCTCATTTACAGGTAATAAGAGCAAATGAATTGTCTTAGGAGTGTCCTGTTGGACAGAAAACTGGGTTCAGATGAGTGATTTTGTGTTCTGGGGCTCAGATCCTGGCTATGCCTTGAGATTATCAATGTTTACAAAATGACAGCCATTTTGTGACTAGCCATGGCCATGGCAGCCATTTCACAACAGTTTTTAAAATCTCCAAATGTGCCCACAAGTTCAAAAAGATTGGTGACCTATTTCTTGCTCAACTCCAGCCATTAACAACTACTGTAAGAAATGCCACTATTTCTAAGTTGCAATCAAAATAAAAGCCATCAAAACAACAGATAATGCTCCTCTGTTAGGTCTTCATTTTCTCATCCCTACATTTTATTATCTAAACAGCCAAATCTTTAAAAATGGTTTTAGCTACCTAGTAGTGCAAAGTAAGGACTTGCACTACTGTAGTTAAAACATGGTTCGGTTGCTGGCAAACAGGGCAGGAGAAAAATAATATATTTATTGTGATTATGCAGTTCTATAAATTATCTTGTCTATCAACCATCATCTTACTTGTGTGCATCAGCCCCATCTATACAAGGCCAAACCCTGTGAGTCCCAAATTGACCTGGGTAAGGCTCTGGCACTGAATAATCTTGTCTCAGTGCCATCACCTTCCAGTTTGTAATTATGTGTTGGAGTGCCTCTTTCCAGATCTCAAAGCACTATACTGATGCTAATGAAGGTTTGTAAGGGTATTAAATAAAATTATTATCATTCACATTTCATAAAGGCACAGAATGGCAGTTGTGTGACTTGCCCAAGGCTACACAACAAGTCTGTGGCAGAACTGGTTGAGCAACACAGGAGCCTCACATTTCAGTTTTGTGGTGATAATTATCGCAACAATGAAAGGAGAGTTTAGCATGCCACTGACCTTTTGGGAGAGGGCTTCTTTGTTCTGTTTTTGGGTATTTTTAACCCACCTTTGTGTCAAAGGTCCCCTAGGTGGCAAATGATACAATAATCACAATTACAATGAAAGGTAACAAACAATAACTGGGCTAAAATAATGTTAGAATCACAATATAATTTAAACCATCTGGGCACATAAGTGTTTTGCCTGGTTCTAAAATAATGTTAAGGTAGGTGTTGGGTAGGCCTGTTTGGGATGGACATCACACTCATTGTATCTTACATTGCAGAAGCATTAAGAGAATAATCTCAGATGACTGTGCTGGTGCATGGGGAAAGAAGTGATCATTCAGATACTGAAGTTCCAAGCCATGATCAAAACCAGCACTTTACACTGAGATAGTGGGCAGCTCTCCAGGCTATTCTGTCTTTCTCATCCTCTCAGGGCAAAATTTTAAGGCAAAAAAGATGAAGCAATGAGACATCTTTGGGGGAAAAGGATGAATGAGAACAGCCAGAGGTGGATTTAGGGTGGCATGACTGGTTCCACCACAGTGGGTGCAGGGCCTAGGACAGTAAGAGCTGGACAGTAAGAGCTGTTTGACAGTGGAATTTGCTGCCAAGGAGTGTGGTGGAGTCTCCTTCTTTGGAGGTCTTTAAGCAGAGGCTTGACAACCATATGTCAGGAGTGCTCTGATGGTGTTTCCTGCTTGGCAGGGGGTTGGACTCGATGGCCCTTGTGGTCTCCTCCAACTCTATGATTCTGATTCTAACAGAGCAGAACAGAAGAGAGGCGGGCAGGGGAAACCCACAAGGCCTGATCCTTTGTACATTTACTCAGAAGTAAATCCCACTGAATTAAATTGGATTTACCCCTAGGCCATGAAACAAGAGGCTGAACAGTTCATGTTTACTTGTCCTTAAATCGAAGAAGGGGGCTCAACATATTGCTATTTTATTATGTTTTAACAGTGTGGGTTCCCAAAGTTCAAGATATTTTAATATCTCAAATGCTTTAAATTAATTTCTCTGGCATCCTATTTACATTTGGAACTACATTCCTATATATCCAAACCAGAGCTACGGCTAAGATTTCCTTTAGTCTTAGAAAGAAACACTCTCTAGTTTTTGTTAAAAAGTTACGTCGCTCTCAATAGATTTACTTCAAAATAATAATTAATCATAAAAAATAAACGAACAATCGTCTTGATTTCAATGACAAATAGGCATCTGAGATGTTTCCACTTTCCGGTTTGCTGACACCGGGAGCCAACATTTCGCCCAATACCAAGCTGGGTTGAAACAAAATGCAGAATGAGGAGACACCGCCGGTGTGCGGGTTAACAGCAAAGTGCGTTCTGGCATTTTGGCATGCAGGTGAAGAATATCATTTGCTCACCTTTAAAAAAACAACAAAGAAATAGCACAGAAGGAAGGAAAGCTTGTGATCTCGTAGTCCCCCCTCTCCACTAAGCTGATTTCCTACTTTCAGAGGTTTATCTGCCTTTTTAAAAAAAAAAAAAAGCGGAGGAGCATTAGAAACGCGATTCCTCCTCTCCCGTGGTCATTTCCACCCCTTTTCCCTCCACGAGGGGGAGGGGAAGAGACACCGGTGAGGCGCCGCCATCTTGGCGGAGAGGAGCGAGGGGGAGGCGGGAGCGGGGAGGGGATCCGGGTGGCCCTTAGAAGGTGCGCGAGCACCGCCCCCTCTCCCTTCTCACCGGTCGTTCAAATATCGCGCGATTCTTCCATCACCACCACCACCACCACCTCCCTGTCTCGGCTGGCTCTGCATTCTGTCTCCGAAAGGACCCGTGAGCCCGCGCGGCCGTTGGCGCCCTGAGGCGAGTCCAGGTGAGGCGCCGGCTCTCTGCCAAGCGGCTCAGGTGAGGGACGGGGGCGTGGCTTGGCGCCCAGCTGCCCGCCCCCCCGCCCCCTCCGCTGTGGTTTCTTGTCGTCTGAGGGACGGGACGCCTGTGTTGGCATGTGGGGCGGCCGCCGAATAGAGGCAGGTTAGAAAGAGTTTCTTCTTCTTCCCCTGCGCTGAGGGCGGCGTTGGAGAAGAAGTAGAAGAGGCCGTTTGTTTGGAGGACTTAATTAAATCCGGGTTTTCTGTTCTCAGCATCTTGAAAAAATGCTCCATGGCAGGTAATGCCACTTCGAAGAGCTTTCAGGGCAAAGTCGCTGGTGGGCTCTCTCGCTTCAAGTCTTCCCCAAATCCGGGTGAAATAGCTGTATTAGGACAAGCGGAAAGTCACGAAAGGGCGTGTGAGTTTTCCAGAGCCTTTCTACCAGGCCATCTCTAAGGTGGTAAAGCAGGGAAGGGAAATGCTGGCTGCAGTTCAAGCTGTGGAGGCATTGTCGAGGAAAGGAAGGAAGGGAGTTGGTTTTTGAGGCGGAGAGAGCCTCGGTAGTTGCAAACTGTGGGCGGAATCGGGCTTAAAACGTACCTGTTAGAATAGATCGTACCTCTCTCTCTATTCACGTTGTAACGTGAGCTTTCTCCCCTCTGAAATGTCTGCCGTCAGCTTAATTGGTATGTAGGCATCTTTCCCTCTTTTGGTTCATCTGTGCGATGAGGAAGAAGTTTCAAAGCTCTCCAGTCAGCGCAGCAATGCAAACAGTTCTTTTGCAAACCACATTGTAAACTATAAATGTATTGGCTGTATTGAGGGCCCTCCTGTAAACTTGCATGTTGACGGTTGCTGCTTATATGGAAGATGTCTAAATTATATGTTTAGAAGTTATGACTGACCTACATTTTGAAAATTGGGGTGTGCCTTTCAAGTTTCTGATGGTGTTTCTGAGAAATTTACCCTGTGGGGTTTAGTTCTTCTTAACATGTAGTATGTCTTTGTAGCTGCAATCCCAAGTAATCTTCGTTGAATGTAGTGAGACTTATTTCTGAATGAACATGCATAGGCTTGTACTGTGCAGAATAGTAACTGATTATTAGCTGAGCTATCCTGATTGTCACTGCTGTCAACGACTGATCCAGTTGTCTTTTGCCTTGAGGAGGTGTAGGGTAATAATAGCCTACCTTATTTCTAAAAGTATTTGTAAGCTTTTGCCTTTTAAAGTTCTATTTGATGCATTTCAAAGATCTTGAAGCAGTTACAGCTATGGTTAACTGTTCTTTTTTCCTTTACAGTGCGCAAATGGCGAAGTTTATCTTTCAAGTAATCGAGACAGGCAGATGAGAATATGAAGAGAAACAGGAAATCCAGTCTTGCCATTTCATTGCAGTCTCTGAGAAATTAAAAAAGGAATATGTGTTTACTTTGACTGTGAACAAAGTATCCTGTGGAGAAGCTGATCATGACACAACACTGAAGTGTGAAATGCCTGGGAAGATGGGTATCTTTGTACTTCTGACTTTGAGCTTAATCTTAAACTTGACACATGGGCATAGCTTATTCACATGTGAACCCATTACTATCCCAAAATGTTCTGGAATGGCCTACAATATGACATTTTTCCCCAATGTGATGGGGCACTATGATCAGCAAACTGCAGCTGCCAGAATGGGGGTGAGTTGTTCTTTCTCTACCGTACATGCTATAAATATTTTTTCTGTTATATGTACAAATGTGATTCTGTCAGTAAAAAGAATTCTAGGTAAGACATGTTCAATATTACACATTATGAGGAAAAACCTAGTGTTCTGAAACAAGACTTGAAATAGTGACCAAACGCCTAAAAATCATACAGAGATGCAGGTACAAACATAACAGTATGGGCATGTGACCAGATTTTAGGGTCTATTCTTACATGGTTTGAGCCTGAAAATTTACAAAAGAGCTCCTACATCCTGTCTGAATAAATGTATAGAAGATCTTCTGTGTTACCTTTTTAAATCTTCAAAGTGTTTAGTCATCTGAGCTTCCTGACTGTTTATAGCAGGCGACCTTGTGCTGTATCCCCTCAGGCCATTGGCATCTGCATGCAGTTGGCATAAAAATTCATTGCTGCCCATAAAGTTCTAAAATATGAGATGCATCTCTTCCACAGATCTCCTAACTGTGTATAAAAGCATAGGTGTAGTAACTCCTCAAATAAGTTTTGTTCATTATGCTAAATGAAAGGAGTGTTAAGCTTCTCTGAAGTTTATTCTTGTCTCTCACATACTCCTTCAGTTACAGGTAGGTAGCCGTGTTGGTCTGCCATAGTCGAAACAAAATTTAAAAATTCCTTCCAGTAGCACCTTAGAGACCAACTAAGTTTGTTATTGGTATGAGCTTGTGTGTGCATGAAGAAGTGTCTGTGCACATGAAAGCTCATACCAATAACAAACTTAGTTGGTCTCTAAGGTGCTACTGGAAGGAATTTTTTTATACTCCTTCAGACTAGACATTCACAATTGACCAAACATGCCTGTGAATTAGGGATGTAATCTAATTTTTTAAAAAAGAAACTTAACCATGTGAGTTTGAGTCAATTAATCAATGAACTGTTAGAAGGTGCATAAATTTCCATGGGATTTTTTTTCTAAAGAAAAAAGTACTTTAAAATATGCATATTTTTCAGCAGGCTGTGTCAGAAGAAATTCTTTTTTCTGTCATGGAAGGCAATACCTTTTTTTAATAGTGGTGATTACTATGTACAATGCTTTCCAGTAATTGTAGTGAACATTAATTACAATTTTGAAGCAATGTAGGATGTCTTTTTCTTGATCTAAATATTTTTAATAGTTTGACTAAGCGCATCTGCCTGCTTGCTGATCCTTTCTTTCTAGGTGGTGCAGCTATAGAGCGTTGGTAATGGAAAAAGCAGACATCTCTCATGTGATCACCTGCACTCTCCCTCTGCATGGTACAGTGGTGAGGAATGAGCCCAATTGTCCTCACCATTCCACCAGCTTTGAGAGCATGAGCATGAAGAGACAATAGGGTCAAGGATAGGGCAAGTGATAGTTGCCTCTGAATGCCCAATTATCCTCTCCCTCTAGAAGCCTATACCTGCTCATGCGTTCTTCCTTTGGGTGCTGGAGCAGGAAGAATTAGGCCCAGCAAAGCAGCTGATGTTCTTTGGAGGAGCAGTCACCACTTCTGCTTACTGGGCAGTATTGCGGCAAAAATTGGACCCACACACCCTGCCATCCACAGGGAGAGTGCTGTTTAGCGAGTGGTTGCTCCTTCCATGACTAGAGGTCTCTGCTGCACTGCCCAGAGAGATGGGTAAGCAAGTTGGCAGAGGCAACTTCTTGAGATTTCTTGCCAAGTGGTACCATGGGCCCAGTCCTCCCTATGTCAGTGTCTATACCATGAGCAAGAGAGGTAGTGGGAGCAGCTGCTGCTTTTCTTTGCTTGTGGATGGAGGAGGTGTTGAGGGTGGTTTCTGTGGGCTTCCTGGCTAGGATGTTCTTCCTCCTTCCTGCACTTCAGCCTCTGCTACAGAGCAGGGGAAAGGAGAAGAGATTGCTGTTTAATGTTTGCCAGTTTTAATATGTATGTGTTAGTGTTTATTTTAAATATTAACATTTATAATAAGTCTCCAAAAGCATTAAACTGTGAATCCCAGGTAGACTTTGGATATTTGGAATAAGAACACGAGTGAGGGGCACATTGGTATTTTCATCCTTCGCTTCCCCTCCCATTTCACTTGGAAGGAAGATGTGCATCCTTCAACCATCTGTACTGTTGAATCCTTATTCTGATTTCTGTCAGACACTTCTAGTTTTGGTGGTATATATTTTGGTGGTGTTTTCTCGTATCTAAAGATTTCTAAGCTCAAGCAAATATTTGTTTGTGACAGGAAAATTAAGCTACCTGTGCAATTAGAAATTGCACTGAAGCATTCCTTATTCTCTTGTAATATAACCGTGACAAGTCAGTGCATGTAGGAATGGAGAACAAAACTTGATTCACATTCAGTGTTCTAAAGGATATGTCTTCTAATGTTGCAGTTCTAAGCACACTTTCTTGGAGCATATCCTATTGAAGCTAGAGGCACTTGCTTCCGAGTAAGCTTGCATGGGACTGTGCTGTAAAACAAGACTAAAACGCTAATAAGTAGACAGATTTTTAGCTCTGTATATGAGCATCCATCAGAGCTAATGAACAAAGTGCTAAGTAAGGTAACATTAAGACAAAAACAAAACAAAACTCATGCTAGATGGAAGTCTAAACAGGCTGTGTAAGGAGCCTCAGTGTCATAGTAAAGTTTTATGAGTGATAAAAGTAAAATTCAGTGATGGAACTATTGGAAGGGAGTTTGAAAAAATGTAGAAAACATTGAAACTTTGTAATGCTATTATATACAACTATGGTGTACCTGCTTTTGGAATACTTTGTATGCTTTTGGTTGGAATTATTAGGGAGAAGATTTGAAAGCAGCAGCAAGTACAGCAATATAAAAATATAGTGTACCCACTTTAGAATACTTTGTGCAACTTTTTTGTAGTCCTACAAAAAGAACTTGAAAAGGTACAGAAAATGGTAACTATAGTGATAATGGCATGATGATGATGACTCATCCTTTAAAAGTCTTCATGTCTTTAGCCATTGTCGTCATTCTCTGATTGTGAGCTTTTCCAGGGTATCCACCTGCCACTATTTGAGAAAACAACAAAAAGTCTTGTAACACCTTAAAGACCAACACATACAGAGAGAGCACATGATGAAAGCATGAAGAAAGGGAAAATTAAACAAGCAGAAGAGTTGATAACTGAAATAATAGGTTTAAGCTGTTTTGATCCATAAAGATAATTCTCTGCACCATGCTTTGCTACTGTGAAATTGCTATCCTGATAGTCCTCAAAAACTATTTCTATAATGCTTCTTTGTTTCAGATAGGTTAACTTTGCATCATGCTTTCGGACAGGCTAAATTGTCATGCATTTAAGCAGTCTTCAACCTCGGCCAGTTTTATATTGTAATAGCTCAGTGGCATCAGCATACTGGTGATGAAACTGCTTCATCCCAAATCAATGCAGTCCACTTTTAGTTGTGACTAATAGCTCAGTTATTGGCTCTGCTTTGCTCCTTCCTTTGAGTGTTTGTTCCTGACTGGAATGTGTCCTTGAGCTCTGATAATGTTTCTTGCCTGCCTGAATAGAAGATAGAGAGGGGTATGTAGGAATTAGTATACTGTACAAATAAAATATTCATTGTCCATTGCTTTGCCCACTTTTGCCTGTGACCCCTGGAAGGTTTCCCAGAAGGGAATGCAGCCCTCCGACCAAAGCCAGCCTGCTCATGAGGTGGGATGAAGTGCCCACTTCAGGTGGCAGAAGCACAAGAGGCAGTGTTTTGCCCACCCCACTGATTCCACCATCGCCAGAATACCCTCCCCTCTTGCCAGTGAGCGGGAGGCATTCCAGCATGTGGTGTTGCACCTTGTCTTCCCTATTTCTAGGCAGAGAAGCCAAGCAGCAACTCTTTGTGGAATTGCTCCGGCAGTGGTGGGGGGTGCAGTGACAGAAGTGGTGAGAGGGTGTGGGGCGGTAGTGGAGCACACGGCAGCAATTCCCATTTTGCCTTAGGATGGTAATGAAATGGGAGGGGCTGCTCTTCTGACTGAAAGTTTCCTCATCCCTGTATTATAGCAAGATAAGCTGCTAGTGCAAGCAGCCTGTATGCTCACTTGATATGGAGCAAAAAACGACTTCTTGCACCTTTTGGGGGTGTTTTTCTTTATGAATCTGAGGATGCTTCTCAAGAAAAATAAAAAGTTCTAAGCTTTTGTATTTGCGCAAGTAGGGGATAGCTCTTTTCACATGTATCCCATCAAATTGCAGTTCAGTATGCCACCTGATAACTAGATTGAAAATGGTTTAGATCTGAGTTCCTACTTGGAAGTCAGTGTTCAGAGCCGTGACCATGAGTATTATAAACTCTAAAACCACTGCTAATGGTGCCTCATAACTCACACCCAAGTGACTCTCCTCAGTTACTCATACTTAGCGGTTCTCTCTGACTTAGCGGTTCTCTCTGACCAAATGAATTTCTAACTTAGTTGCAAATAGGGAGAATAAATTATCACTTGAAGTTAAGGATTGATGTGCTATCCCATCAGTTTGCTAAGATAACTGCAAATGCATTTTAATGTACAGTGGTGCCCCACAAGACGAATGCCTCGCAAGACGAAAAACTCGCTAGACGAAAGAGTTTTCCGTTTTTTGAGTCGTTCCGCAAGACGAATTTCCCTATGGGCTTGCTTCGCAAGACGAAACGTCTTGCGAGTTTGTTTCCTTTTTTCTTAAAGCCGCTAAGCCGTTAATAGCCGCTAAGCCGCTAATAGCCGTGCTTCGCAAGACGAAAAAACCGCAAGACGAAGAGACTCGCAGAACGGATTAATTTCGTCTTGCGAGGCACCACTGTATCAACTGAACATTGCTGTCTGCTTTACATAACTGAATCTTAACGATGGAGATGAATTTTAAAAAATTAGTTCTGGGTATGGAAAGTAGCTGATGGGCAGCCTTGTGTGAGTCGCATTTCTCAACAATAGTTCCCGGTCTGGGAATGAGATCTCCTGCTCGGATTTGTTGAGAAGGTGAAAATATTACGGATTTTAAATATATGTGCTATGCCAGGAAATCTTTGGTATTCATTTTTTTAATCAATATTTTATATAATTACCTTACTGAAAAAGAGAACCTAATAATTTTATTTTCCAGGAAAACAACTACTCCCTTTCAATTGTCAGTTCTAATACAAGCTGCTTTGGGATTATAAAGCTGTAATTCATGTCATGGACATAGTTTAATAGCCACAGTGGCAAATAAAGGCCTTGTTTTAAAATCATAGATAAAAATGCAAACCAGATATGACCCACCTAAAATCCTATGGCATACTGTTCTATTTCTTTAGTTCAGAAGTTGCCACTTCCATGTTTAGAGATACTATTGGTAGATGTACAGGCGTACTTTTTATTTCTGTATAAGGTTGGTGGGTGATAGAAGGAACCAGTGGGGTTGGAGACTGCAACACTCTTGTCAGAATTCTAAATGTTCCCATGGCCCCTGTGTTCATTGTATGCATGGAGTTATCCCAACCTTGCAAGAAACTTGTGACTCTGCCCAAAGTTGCACTCTCTTCAGTCTGAGCAGGGATATGGACTCGGCTCTCCCTGGTCAAAGTCGAGTGCTCCAGCTGCTCTGAATCTTGAAACTTCTCTTGGGACATGGTCCATTAAATTTAAAATATAACTAGCAGTACTGTCACAGTTGCTTAACAAGCAGCTTAATTAGGTAATGTGTTACATGCTTACTAGAAAGTTGAATTGCAAAGCAGAATGATGTCCCCTAACTTAAGTTGTAGAGGTTTGAAAAGCTAGCTTGGAAGTCAGGCTTGCTTTATGTGAAGTAATGCATATACTTAGGTTAGAAAGGGATAACACATGTGATTGAGAGAAAAGCTATTTTTAAACATCATTCTTTCCTTTTGGAGAAAGTGAATGATGCTGCGCCTCGAGTTCACGCAAATGTGACTTGTCTTGCTGAATGTGTGTAGCTTCCAAGTCCAGTGTTTTAACTTTAATACATTAGACCAGGGGTTGCTAACGCTTTTGGGCCTGTGGGTGCAGGTAGACTTCTGAGAAAAGGTTGTGGGCACCAGTCACACTTCCTCTCACCCTTTGTAAGAATTGAAAGGTGCACTAGCTGCCTAGCCAAGAGATTATCCCCTCCTATCCATGCACATGCATGCAGCACAGACACACTTACATGCATACATATGTTTACACACATGTGATGCATCTGCGCACATACACTGTCCCTCAGCCAAGCAGTTAGACTTGAAAAGGGTTAATTTTCCCCCAAGCCTAATTAAGGATGAGTGTGATATTTCTGGAGAGTGCAGCTAGGGAGGGAAGTTCCAAGGCCATATTGTTCAGCTTTCTCCCCAGCTGCAGTTGACAGGAAGACCACCCCTCCTCCATGCCACAGCAATTGTAGCATAGGGAGCATTTTTTTATGGCTCACAGCTTTGAAGGGTTTTTCTCGCCTTCCTGTGGAACACCACTCATCACCCCTGCCAAAGCACTTAGGCTTGAAAAAGCCTTCTATGGGCTACGACAGATGGATTTTTGAAGCCTAATTTCAGCAGGAGGGTGGGGATACTCCTGTTGCCAGATTGGGAGGTGTCAAGGTCCTCTTATGGACACTAGGGGTGGCCTTGGTGTGTGCAGTGCCTGTGCGCACAACTTTCTAGTTGCAGTGGCTGATGTAAGTAGACTGACACATCTTAAATTCCACCCAGAAACCCATACTGCTGTCTTGGATCCAGTAATTTTGCTGGTGACTTATTGGTATGGTTTGGTGCCGAGTTGCCAGACTGTAGTTTGGTAATGATGAGCACGCCATAGGCTTGCCTACTCCCCTTCCTTCGCCCTTCCTAATTAGCTTTAATTGAGGTCAGTGTTACATCTAACTGGCATGATTGCATTACCACTAATCATAGTTGGCTTGTAACCAGAGACAAGGACTTGAGGTGCTGACCTAGAGAGGGTGAGAGCCAAAAGGGAAGGGGAAGAACGCTCCTGAATGTTCAGTTACAAAACTATGGTTTGACAATGAAACTTTAATGGACTCTAGCCTAAGGCAAGTAATTGCTTTGTCTGTCACTCATATGGCCTCCCTGGCATTTGATTGGAACCTTTCAACTGATTTCACTTGCATTAAACCCAGAGAAACACCTTCACAGTTCTAAGATCACAAGGCAGTTGCATCTGTGAATATGCAGTGTATAAATGTTGAAAGCTGCAATTACATCATCTTGATCCTGATAGTGTAGTGTAAATGTAGGGGATAATTTGCTGGTTTTAGCCAGGAGAAGTTTGGATTCAAATCCATACATATACATGAAGCTCTTTGGGTGGTCTTGAGCATGTTTGTGGACTTAATTAGATAAACTTTGTTAGGTACAAAACCAAATTTTCAGTAGCACCAAGGGCTCCTGGGGAAAAGAAAACCCATGGTTTCTTTCTGTTTCTTTGTCTTAAGATAAGTGGGGGTCAGATTGGAACCTATATTAAGTTATTGCAATGGTTATTGATTGCCTCAGGCCTTGCTGCTGAGGCAGTGTACAGTCTGCAGCGCAGTGTGGTTTAAACATTTATACCTGATAATACATGTATGCTCCCCCATCTTCCCCAAAATGAAATTGGCTTCTCTGCATCCCATGATGAATTCTGTTATCAAGAAACCATGAAAAAAGTAGAAGTATACTCTTACATTCAGTCATGTACTTTTCTCCTGGGATTGTTCTTGGGAGAAATTAGGAGCAGGCCATTATCTACATATTCCCATTCTCTCCTCTTTCCTTCAGCGAACAGTAATTTGAACACCAAATTTCCCCAGACCCTGAGAGACAAAACCCTCTTTAAATGCTTAAGAAACAATTCTTAATTTCCTGTAGAGGAATGATCTCAGTTATTGTGCATTCCACCACCCTCTCCATGCTAACAATTCAACTAGAGAATGTGTTTTCCTCTGCTCTTGTTGTTGATGGTTGTTGGGAAACGTGGACTTCCCACGTTTATGGAAAGTTTCCAGTTGGTCTATTTAATGTATACGAACAGTAAAGGGAAAATATGTCTATTTATATATCTTCCAGATGGCCACTGAAAATAATAAGCAAAATAAAATTATTTCATTTAGGTAAGTATAGAACCTGGTACTTTGGAAAGCGTCATCTGTCACTTTTAACAACTAGCAGAAGGAAATTACCGAATGCAAAGTGAGCAATAGGGCTCTGGATATTTAATTAAACATGTAACATGGTTACAAGAAACAAAATATGATGTGACTACTATAGGGTTCACAGTAGAAACCTGGAATTTATTACAGTGGCAGCAGCTACATTTCCTCATCCAACTGTTGCTGTCTGGTGTGGTTGTGTGTATATAAATACATATACACTTATTTCTCATTATCTCCCCACCCCCAACAAGGGATTCATTAACTTTCGTTTGATGCCTGCTAAAAATATTCTTGTTTAAACAAGCCTACACAGATGCTTAGAAAGTTGAAGTAATTTTAATCTGTTTTTAATATTTTAAGTTTTGTATGTGTTAAAGTGAGGTTGTATTCTTTTTTCTTGATTTTTTTTTTGTTTTATCTTGTAAACTACTTTGAGGGGTTTTTTTTACAATCAAGCAGTGCATAAATTTTATGAAATAAATAAAATAAACAGATGAAGTCATTGAATTGAATTTTTGAATTGAATTTACTTTATTACGGTCACAGACCAGCATAAGCAAAACATCTAAATAAATAGCATAACATTGTGAGTCTAAGTGGATAATTGTTAAATAAATGGGAGCAAGAACCAAATGTAGATTAAAATATATACATAGAATATTTAATTAAGCATAAATAATGGATGAGTAAAATCTGATAATAAAAATTAAAAAGACCAGTTAAAACAGCTATATGGGGTGGGGCTTCAGAAGTGTGGATCTAACAACATGGGCCTTTAATTTAGGACTGAATTGTAGCATAGACCATCCTTTGACAAATATCTATCATGGCAGCGCAAAATCTGGCGATTGAATATGTGACTTCTGGGCTTTCATCCTATAGTAATAGGGAGATGTTGTGTTGTTCTGAACGCCCAGGGAACTTATATAAGATGGGTTGGATAAACCTAGTTCGAATGCCTAATTACCTGGCAGGGGAGACACCTTGATCATGATGAAGTCATTCTGTGCATACATTCCTTAAATAAAGAGTCTATATATGCCTATAGCATGAAACTCTCAAAAGCCTTTTGGTGCTGAATTTCTTGCTCTGTGGGCTTGCTTTTTTGGTCAAGTTTTTTATTATTTCATTTTATAATGCATATATAGCAAAGAGAACAATTATAACAACAGATGAAAATTAAAAGATGAAAAACAAAACTATAAAATAGGCATAAGTGCAGTTGTTCATGGGTTAAAATAACAAAGTCCAGGTAAAGACTATCAACGTTATCAGATTATCAAGTACAGTTCTAGATTTACCAGGCTTGTCTTCAAAGAGGTTTGTCTTGGAAATGATGGTTCTTATATGCTAAATCATATAAAAAGTGTATGGAGGTTATAGTCCTTGTTGAAATCTCAAATTATGCATGGTTTTACCCCACTATACATATATTCCAGAGGTGAGTTGTACCAAGCGTCCTGTGTAAGATTTTGGGCTGTTTTACATTGAGTTGCAATTACTGTTCTTGCTGCCAAGATCCTATATAAGACCAATTCTTTTTGACAATATATTTACGTTGGTTTCATAAAAAATATTCAGTAACATTAATTTTGGACAAGAAAAAATAGTTTCTTTAGTAATGTTGATCATTTCTGTCAAAATTAAATTCCAGAAATCATGCACAGTCTATGGGCTTTTAGTAGCTACTGCAGTGGGCTTCCGTGGTTCTCCCTGGAGCCAACTGCTTCCTGATGTTTGAAAAAGTTTTATGTTGACTATGTTAAAGATAGATGGGAGTTGCATGAATCTAACTGGAAAGAAATTGCCAGATGCAAATGTCCAAATGCACTGTTTTATAGTCACATCTTTCAATTCGGTGCACACTCCAGTTTTTTTTATATATACTTCCAAACTTACCTTTCCTCTGCTCAGCAAGATGCTCTAGGAATCTGGCATTGCCTTGAAGACTGTGTTTCCCTATGCAGGGCAACAGCAGCAGTAGGAGAGATGGGGAAATGTGAAACATGGCTATTGGCAAAGGCAGATGAGAGAAGATGAGCTGGAGTGCCCTCAACCTCCATTTAAACACTTGTTCCACTTCTGAAATCTCATGATTTACTAATCTATTGTAACTCAAGTTCTGTAACAAGACAGTGTCAGTTTTACAAGAAAACTTTGTAGATGTGCTAATCAAAGTATCATTTTCCCTCTCCCAAAGGATTTCCTTCCTCTTCTGAATGTCCATTGCTCACCAGATATTCATGCATTTCTTTGCAAAGCATTTGTGCCTGCCTGTTTGGATCAATCGCGTGTGATTCACCCATGCCGAAGTCTCTGTGAAAGAGTGTACTCTGACTGTAAACAAGTGATAAACACTTTTGGAATTAATTGGAATGAGGAACTTGAATGCAGCAGGTACAGTGTTTTTAATTCTCTTTATTTCCAATGGATTTTACTCTGGCCTAAGACAAAGTCCTAGTCCATACATTCATGCAATAAACTTCTCTTTGTTTGTTAAATATCAGCCTGTGTGCTTCCTCCACACAGATGATCTTCTGTATAAACGGATGCTCTTTGTTGCAATCCATTTCTGTGATGACACCCATCACCCCGAATGCATGCAGTTCTTCCATTCCCTCCCTTTTTTTGAGGAGGAACAATTGTGAATTGGACTCCCCAGTAGTATTTGTGATGAGAAGAGTGTGCCTGCTCTTTCAAGGGGGGAGGAGCACTGCCAGGTTTATGAGTATGCTTGGACCAAGTGTATATCTGATGAAGTGAATAAGCAAATTTGCTTTGCATATATATTTCAACCTAGACTGTTCAACTTTTCTGTTCTCTTCTGTACAAGCTCTTTAGTGCTTTGGATTCTTGCTCATCCATATAGGAAACAGAGGTCATTACAGGACTAGCATGCATGGTAGTTGGTAAACAGCAGTTGAGGTGAAGAAGACTGAAGAATTAGGAAAAACTCATACCTTGAGCCCCCATCTCCTCAAAGATGAAGCACTTTGGAAGGAGAACTTTATTGTTGCCTTTTCTTCTGCCATGGTCATAAAGCACATAATATGATATCGCCTATAAAGGACAACATGTGCATTTGGAGGCCACTTTATTTTAAAAGCATTTAAAAAATCTATGTGTTATACAACATATAAAGCAAGTCATGTCTGGGTAGCTCAGTTGGTTAAAGCATGGTGCTGATAATGCCAAGGTTACAGGTCTGATCCCCTATGGGACAGCTGCATATTTACAGGAGGCTGGACTAGATGGTTCTCATGGTCCCTTACATCTCTACAATTCTATGATTTTATGGCTGCATCTCTCAGGCAAGTGTTTGGCCTCAGCTATGCTTGCTTTGGAAAACTCTTACAATGACTGCTCCAGTTCACTCTTCCTGGAGCTGCCTTGAAAGATGCTTGGAAGAATGCTGTGAGTTGCCTCTTGACTGGCAAAGGCCACAGCTATTTTAGCATACCTGTACTGGCTTTCTGTTAGCTTCTAGGCCCTGTACAAAGTGCTAATGAAAACTATTTAAAAAACCTACCTGGTCTGGGGTCTGCATAGACAAGCATTTCCTCTCATATGTACCTCCCTGCTTCCTCAGATCTGTGGGCATGCACTGCTTCAAAGGGCAATTTGTCCAGGGCTTTAATCCCTGCCAAATTGGCAAACAGGGACTGAATCCTACTGCCTTGGCTGCGCAATCTTGGAGCCCCTGATGGAGCAAGATTGGCCTGCAAGCTGGAGGCTCCTCGCCCTTGTAATTGAGGTTATGTTTCCTTTAAAAAAAAATCCGTTTTTATTCTTTGTGATCCCAGTCCCAGTCTAGTTTGATAACCAAGCATCTGAAGTATGTGCTCTGAGCCTCTAGGCAAATAGCACTGAGTGGTCCCTCTGCATTTTCTCTCTTTCCTTTCTAGGTTGGAGGATTGTGATGAAACTGCTGCTGTCACTCCTTCTCTCACTACAAAATCTCATGACACTAAGAAGACTCCAGGACAGCCCAGAAGGGATTATGGATTTTGGTGTCCACGTCATCTGCAGACCTCCGGTGGCCAAGGCTACAAGTTTTTGGGAATTGATCAGTGTGCACCCCCCTGTCCCAACATGTATTTCAGTAATCATGAGCTAGACGTCGCCAAAAGCTTCATTGGGATCGTTTCAATTTTTTGCCTTTGCGCAACTCTGTTCACATTCCTAACGTTTTTGATTGATGTTAAGCGGTTCAGATATCCAGAGAGGCCAATAATATACTATTCTGTTTGTTACAGCATAGTGTCTCTGGTATACTTCCTTGGGTTTGTCCTGGGAAACAGAACTGCCTGTAATAAGGTAGATGAAAAACTGCAGCTTGGAGAGACAGTTGTTCTTGGTTCTCAGAACAAAGCCTGCACAATTGTTTTTATGGCTCTGTACTTTTTCACCATGGCTGGAACTGTGTGGTGGGTGATCCTCACAGTCACTTGGTTCCTAGCTGCCGGACGAAAGTGGAGCTGTGAAGCTATTGAGCAAAAGGCAATGTGGTTCCATGCAATTGCCTGGGGCATGCCTGGCTTTCTCACCATTATGCTGCTTGCCATGAACAAAGTGGAAGGTGACAACATCAGCGGTGTTTGTTTCGTTGGCCTCTATGACCTGGATGCTTCCAGATACTTTGTCCTTTTGCCTTTGTGCCTTTGTGTCTTTGTTGGATTGTCTCTCCTCTTAGCAGGCATCATTTCTCTAAATCATGTGCGGCAAGTTATACAGAATGATGGCAGGAATCAAGAAAAGCTGAAGAAATTCATGATTCGAATCGGTGTCTTCAGTGGCTTATACCTGGTACCTTTAGTGATGCTCTTGGGATGTTATATCTACGAGCAGGTGTACAGGAAGATCTGGGAAACCACTTGGGTTTATGACCATTGTGTTAAGTTCCATATACCTTGCCCTTATCAGGTAAGGGTAAAATACTTGCACAATTTATACCTCAATAATTAAGAATATTGGTATCTCTTACTGCTGCTGCACATGTATGCAATGCTGGGGATTTGACTGCAGCAACAACTGTGATACTGCTTTGTCTATTGTTCTTCAGTGCTACTAAAGCCTCAGAGTGGTCCTACCCTAGTGTTCAATGTGGAATCCAGTCTTCCTCCGATCAGTATTGTCCTAGAAAGTATATACTCTGAGTACAAAGCAATGGAATAAATTTCTCTTTAGAACCCTCCTTGAAGATGTTAGTGACTTCTAGCTATGATTTCCTAAGAAGAAAATTTAAAAAGACTGTCTAAAAACAACAGCAAAACTAATATGCTGCTGACAATAATCCTTCAGATTTTACACCCATCTCTTTGTTGCTTAAAACATGCTTTTCCTCCCACTAAAATAGATGGGAAAGTTATCTACATTGCATATTAAAGTGAGGTTTTAAGTCACTCAAAAATGGAAAAAAATGAAAACAGAAGTTTATACTTGTAGATAGCAACCTCTGATCTAGTTATAACTAGGGAAATGTTAATTCATTTTGGCTGCTTATGTAGTTCCCTCCAGATGTGAACTTCCATCAGCCCCAGGCAGCACAGCCCAATGGTCAGGGATTATGGACGCTGTAGTCCCCAACATCAAGAGGGAACACTTTGACTATCCCAACCTAGATGTATACTGCATTTATTCCAATATAAGGATTATTTAAGCAAAAATACTTATAGCAGAGCATTTCCTTTTTAGTGGTATTACTTTATTACTTTATTACATTCAGCTTGGTCCAAGCTTTTTAAAATAACTATTTACTCAAAATATTATTTCTGGCATCAGCTAGTTAATGATCCTCAAGCTAATTAAAATAGGCCAGGGTGGTAATGGAGAGACCTGAATTGGCCAAGCTAATACAAAATAAAAATCTGAACACTAGGTAAGACAGACAAGTTAGCTCTTGAGTTAAATATCATTGCCCTTTTTTGAGCCTGTTCTTCACAAGAGTGGATTAATTTTGCAGCGAACAGCAGAAAAGACACTGGTACATACCCCCAAGGCACTCTGAAAATCCTGCCACCTCTAATTAACTTCAGCCCATCAGTTCTATCATCTTTCCTGTGTACTCAGATGACACAACTGTGTTACTGTACAGAGTATCACTAAAGAAATTGGTTAGTACTGAGCACTTTAGAAGAATTAGCTACATTATTTATGCATTTCTCCCTTCTATACAGCTGTGGCCACATTTTTTGTGACTTAACTGTATCTGTCTTCAACATTTAAGAACACAGGAAAGTTCTAACGAAGTTTCTTCAGGCTTCTCCTAAGGGATTTCTGGAATTGTAGTTTTGTGATGCTGGAGTAACTTAACTCTAACGTGTTGTGTTTTTTCTCTCATTAATACATTTTTCCTCCATTCTAGCAGGGGTTTCAATGCAAACCCCATCATGATCCTGGAGCAAGACAAACCTCCACTCCCCACCGACTACTGGGCGGGGGGAGCACACCTTGCTCCAGCAAAAGAACAGCGGGGAGCTCACTTTAAGCTTGCCATTGTTCCTTTGAAGTCATGCAGGCACTGGCCCCACAAATATGGCAGGTGTGGGTGCTTTGCCAGAAAGTGCCTAATAGGCCGAACTGGGACCCCTGACAGGCCAAAGTTGGCTACAGACTGGAGGTTCCCTACCCTGAGGCTTATTTCTTATTTTTGTGTCATTTTCTAAATAAATTAAAATCACACCATTCAGTACTGTGTCATAGCATCATATTATCCCTGCTTACACTTGCAGCATTTCATTTTCTGGAGTTTCGATGACAACATATTGTGATTAAGCTATTTTAAATGTGTAGCATAGGTACAGTATTCTCATTTGCTTAAAGTTGTTTAAGCCTGAGTGCAGCTTAGTTAACATAAAACTGCAAACTTCTGTATCACTATTCATTTTCTGCTTTGAAGTATAGGGTCGGAAAACCATTTTTCTATTGTATTTTTAATGAATGGTTATTGTTTTCCAGGTCAAGATATTGGCAAGGCCAGAAATAATTTTGTTTCTGATGAAATACCTTATGACTTTAATTGTTGGCATCTCTCCAGTTTTCTGGGTGGGAAGCAAGAAGACTTGCTCAGAATGGGCAAGTTTCTTCAACAGGAATCGCAAAAGAGAGTAAGACACATTTTTTGTGGTAATATTTATTTTAAAAACAACAAGATAAAATTAGTGGGCACTGTTAATTGGTGTGTTTTAAAAATGTGTGTGTGTGTGTGTGTGTGAGAGAGAGAGAGAGAGAGAGTGAGTATTCATCTTGGGTCGCTTCCTGACTTTGTTCATAGGATTGCAGGTTGTTTTTAAAAAATCCCCACCCCCGAAAACATGTGGTCTCTCATCTTTGATGTGGAACTTCCTGTTGTCATCATTGTTTAAGTGCCGCCTCCCTGCCTCCCTCCCTCACATGTGAACCTGCAGGGAATTGGAACTTATGGGCAATACCATCTGCAAGGTCTAGAAGTGCCCTCGCATGGGGTTTTTTTTAAAGCTGTAGTTAGCCAGATGCTGAATTTCCTCCCAAACCAAATCTTCCTTGGTAAACTGGCCATTTTTTCTCCTTTTCAAGAGAGACTGAGCAGTTTAATCCTGAGCAGCAGGGGTCTGACTTGGTCAAATTTTGTATCTGCTTTCTCACAGCCTGTATTATTAGCATGAATGTTTTAACGCTATGCCATATTTTATATAGTCTTTCTTGATGCTTGGCATTGCATAATTATTTGGAGATTGATCTCAGGAAGAGGAGAAATTGAGAATAATATTTTCTCTAAGGTCCCACAGAGTGGTCTGTTCTTCAGTTTAAATTCTTCTGGAGTATATTTTGAACAGTTTTATGTAGGCTATGTGTAAGTTCCCTTGGGAATACTTTTTTCCATTACTCTCCTTTGCATCCTGAATTCTTAATATGGCTTTTAGATTTCTGTATTTCTTTAAACTTCTTTAGTCAAGGTTTGCAAGCAATTATCTTCAACTCCTTCAGCCCACATTCCTTTACAATGAAGATGTATATTCCTTTCCATATTCCTTCTTTTTCCATTATTGTATAGCTATTTCATATGTGTGTCTTAGCAAAGTGATGTTCTCTACCAAAATACAGCCCCTTATTATTACCCTGTTAGTTTGTCCCAGATAGTCAGTTTTATTTACCCACATCCCGAGTAGTGTTACTTTAAGGTAAATATTGCACTTTTTTGCACTAAAAACTTCTATTGCTTGCATGTACAACCGTATTATGCAGTAATATGAAACCTGGAGCACCATTTCTGGCCACTGAGCGAGTTGCTGTGATTTGATGAATATTCCAATAGTTCAGTGCATTAATGGCTACAATTTTGGCAAATGATACAGATTATGTGAGGAAAGTGAAAAGCCAGTTTCGGGCAACTTGGGATTCTGTGGTGAGGGCAGGCAGTAAGAGTGAAGACTAAGGAGCAGAGTGGGCCAAAAGTGTAGAGCAGGGTTTCCCAAACTTGGGTCTCCAGCTGGTTTTGGACTACAATTCCTGTCATCCCTGACCACTGGTCCTGCTAGCTAGGGATGATGGGAGCATTCTAATCATGATAATATTGCATGTTAATCATAATCATATTGTTTTGAATACTAGTTGCGAGGGAGGCTGTTGCCCTGATGTCCCTTTTGTGAGCTCACAGGTTCTGTGAACCGCCCTGAAACCTCCGGGTATGAGGCAGTATATAAATTAAATAAATAAAAATATCTGCCTGCCTCTGTAAGTAACATGGTGTAGAACCAGATGGATCTTTCATTTGATTCACTAGGGAAGTTATTGAAGGGCAAAGAGATGAAGACATGGATAAAGATAAAATACAGGTGGAGAAAACTTCCCTACAGACCTAGTGTCTGATAAAGTTGTGTGTTTTCTTTACCAAGAGAGTGGGTGAGTAAATAACAATTAAGGGAGAACTAAGTTTCTTGTACTTGCAGGATTGTGGCTCCAATGCTACTTGCATAGAATATTGAGCATGGGCCTATGGTGCCAACTTGGCAGTTAACTTGCTCAATGTCCTGGAGCAAATCATGCACTCTCAAGTCCCTTCTTGTAATGAAAACATTTGAAAAAATGCAGTAGCTCTTAAAACGACTGTAGCATGATCTTGTGCACTAGATAAGATATTTCCACCCCTTTGTAAAGATGGGAGTGGAGCAATAAATAGTTTATAGACTTGCTCCATAAAAATGGAGGGGCATCTGGCTTTGATACCAGTACATGTGAGAAGGACCTAGGGGTCTTAGTAGACCAGAAGATCAACATGAGTCAGCAGCGTGATGCAGCAGCAAAAAAAGCTAATGCAATTCTAGACTGCATCAACAGAAAGATAGTGTCCAGATCAAGGGAAATAATCGTTACCACTTTGTTCTGCCTTGGTCAGACCACAGCTTGGACTACTGTGTCCAGTTCTGGGCATCTGGGTTTTAAGAAGCTGGAACATGTGCAGAGGGAAGTCTACTAAGGTAATAAAAGGTCTGGAAACCAATCCTTATGAGAAGTTGAGGGAGTTAGATATGTTTAGTCTGGAGAAAGCAGAAATTATATGATAGCCAGCTTGAAATATCTGTAGGGTGTCACATGGATAATGGAGCAAGCTTGTTTTCTCCTGCTCCGGAGGGTAGGTAGGACCCAAACTAATGGATTCAAATTACCAGAAAGGAGATTCTGATTAAACATTAGGAAGACCTTTCTGACAGTAAGAGGTGTTTGACAATAGAACAGACTACCATATAAGGTGGTGGGCTCTCCTTTATTGGAGATTTTAAAACAGAGGCTGAATGTTCATCTGGCAGTGATGAAAGAAAGTAAAAAAATGAGTTGAGAGCAGCCTGTCACATCTTAAAATTGGTAATTTTGACAATGACTTCAGCAAGATGTTTGCACGTCTGAATGCAATTAGCACATCTAAATAGTTATGGAGGAGGGTTGTAATCACCATGTATTGTCTTCTCCCAATCAGTCCAATCAGTGAAAGCCGAAGAGTATTGCAAGAGTCATGTGAATTTTTCTTGAAGCACAACTCTAAAGTGAAGCACAAAAAGAAGCACTACAAATCCAGCTCTCACAAACTGAAGGTGATTTCAAAGTCAATGGGGACCAGTACAGCTGTCACAACCAATCATGGAACTTCTGCCATGGCCATCGCAAACCATGATTACTTAAGCCAAGACACGTTCACTGAGATCAAAAGCTGTCCTGAAACATCTGAGAGAGAGATGGAAGCAGATGGAACGGTCAGCCAGAAAGTGAAAGAGGAAGAGTTTGCCTGCAGCGAACAAGGTGCACCGCACATGTTACCTAGCCCTAAAGTGGCTTTGGAACAGCTAGAAAAGAGAGGGAAGGCAGACAACACACAGGATATTGCCAGCTTATCTGAAAGCATGAAAAGAATGGTCGAAGGAAGGTAATTGCTTTCCCCTTAATTTTATGTGTTTTTTTACTATTGCATGCTAGTTGTTAGTACCATCAGAAGAGAAAAATATTGCATTTTACTTTAAAATAGCAGGAAATGGAAAATATATCTTGCAAACAAAGCTTTTTATCACATCTGCACTGGAGTGGGCATCTAAACCAATCTTTAAGCAAAGGTAGCTACATTGTCTTAGACACCACACCTCTGAACACCTGAATATAGAATGCAAGGTGTAATTGTTCAGATACTTGGCTAGCATTTGAGAGGAGACAAGCCAAAGTAGAAGATATTAGCAGTGAGACCTCTAAGCAGTTCAGGAGAAAATCAAGGGCCCAGTTGGATGAATTGCTACGACAAAGACTCTGAACCAGTGTGGGAGCCTGTGCACTCCTGTTGGATTGGATCTGGGAGACCTGACTTAGGTTTGCACAAGGTGGCTCAGTGTCCTTACATTTCAGTTATGCATCTATAAAAAGACTCAACTCCCACAAAACAGCATAAATATTGTAAAAATTCAGTGCACACTGATAAATTATGAAAACAAATGTTATTTTACTTTAATGAAGCTAAAGTTCTGTTTTGGTCCATCTTGATACCCAGATATTCTATTTTCATTAAGCCTTTCATAACAATGTAGCCAATCATGTAGCAAAGATAAAGGTCCCATGCTCTTGGCGCTGAACCAGGATCTGGAGTTTGCTGGGTTATACTGTAAGAATCCTGATCAGTGTTTGAAACTCCCACTGTTCTAGGCGGGTTATGTGACAGGGAATTTCATTAGTGCAAGCAGTTTCTGAGCCCTGGGCGCAGTACTGTGCCTAAGATTTCAGATTAAAACTGCAGAGTGGGAGGAAAGGAGGACCTTTTTCTGCCTGCCCCTTCCAGCTACTCTCTGAAAACTGGAGAAGAGACCCTCTGAAGAATATTAGGGAGGTGATCAAGGGAAGGACTAGACCATGTGAAAAATGGACATACAGTGGTGCCTCGCAAGACGAAAAGAATCCGTTCCGCGAGTCTCTTAGTCTTGCGGGTTTTTTCGTCTTGCGAAGCAAGCCCATTAGCAGTTTAACGGATTAGTGCTACAGTATTAGCGGCTTAGCGGGCTTAGTGGATCAGCTGATAAGCGGCTTAACTATAAGCTGATAAGCGGCTTAAGGATCAGCTGATAAGCGGCTTAACAATAAGCTGATAAGCGGCTTAACGATCAGCTGATAAGCGGCTTAGCATCAGCTGTTAAGCGGCTTAGCCATCAGCTGATAAGCGGTTTAGCGGCTTGGGAAAAAGGGGGGGAAAGGAAAAAACCCGCAGGAACTCGCAAGACATTTTCGTCTTGCGAAGCAAGCACATAGGAAATTCGTTTTGCGAAGCACCTCCAAAACGGAAAACCCTTTCGTCTAGCGGGTTTTCCGTCTTGCGAGGCATTCGTCTTGTGGGGCACCACTGTAATATTTTAGCTGCAGTTCATTCATTTTCAGCCTTGTATTTTGTGTAGGCACACTTTTTTAAAAACATTCCATTGTTACTCCCATAACCTAGGTTTAAGGTACCATTTAGCTCCTAGCTTTCATATCTCAATTTCTAACACTGATCCTGATGCCTGATTCAAAGACAAATGTAGCCCATGTTGTTAGTTCTGAGTGATAGCAGCTTTTCTACTAAAGGCTTTTTCCATCCCTGCTACCCAAAAACTTTAGTTGAAAACTGCATGTCTAATAATCAATTCCTGTCAAGTACGTGACCGATTTTTTTAAACTTGAGTGTTTGTTTTGTTTGCAGCAGGGATGGGGAATCTGTGGCCCTTCAGATGTTGCTGGGCTCGATCTCCTATCAGCCCCACCCAACATGTCCAATGGTTAGGGATGATGGGAGTTTTAGTACACCACCAACAACTAGAAGCCATAGATTCCCCATCCCTGATTTACAGCAATTATATAGGCCGCCTAGTAACATCATTCTCTGAGTAGTTCATAGGACCTTGTGTTTTTAAAAAGATGTTATCATCTGTTTCAATGTAGAATGCATTTTCTTTCTTTCTTTTGTATGCATATAACAGGACAACTCCTAGAAGTGATCTAATTGAATCCCTTCCCCTCCAAGTTGGTCATCCGCACCTTGATGTTTCCCAGCCAGGCAGTCCCAAGGGGTCAGTCTTGTTTGCCCATTCCTCTTCAGATTCAAGGAAAGCTCAGGAGTCTGGTCACAGTTCCAACACTTAAAAAGGCGAAATTGCTACGTGAGTCATTTCAGCTCATGGATGGAATCTGTGTTACACTGGAAATGACTGTTGCGCTCTGCTTTGCAGGGAGGTGCCACAATATCCTCCTTGGTTGCACTTCAGGTAAAACTAAAATTGCATTGTGAGGGGCCTAGCAACAGCTTGCTCTTCAAACTTTGGACATGTTCTAGCTAGCAGTAAGTTTGATGTGAAAAAGATGATTAATAAGTAAGTACTGCTTTTTATAACCTTTATGTCAAACTGCATTGCAGTAGCAGAGATGGGAGGTATCTTGAGCTGTGTTATAAAACTACCACCTCCTTCTAGCAGTGCTATTTACTGTATCATAAATAGGTGGGTCACACAGGGGCAGGGGAAAGCTGATGCAACATGTGAGAATAGCAGCACGGTCCCATTCTTGGAGAATCGGCTTAAGCTGCAAAGTACAAGCAGAGACTTGAGCACTTGTGGCTGAAGTGTCTGCCTTTGCTGCTCTTATCAGACAGCTCTGACCTGCAGGCTAGAGAAACCCTTAGCCTAGGTTCTCCAGTATGGTGCCAGTGGACACTACATCTCCCACAGAAGCCCCCCTTGGAACTTACCAAGGTATCTCCCTATTTTGGTTGAATTTGGGGTTGAATTTTTCATTTGTCTTATTTTTTGGGGGGAGGGGTTCTTTTGTGAAATGGGGATTTCTCAAATGCCCCTTTCTTATTATCACATCTGGCAAGTACACATGTACATCCACTTCTGATTTCTGTGGTCCAACAGCCCATGGGATGCTGCTGAGAAACGTAGTAGGGACCCTGCTTTTGCGTCTGCCCAAGCTGTGCAACTGTCTTTATGAATTACAACTGTATTGTAAGAATACTGGGTGGTCACTGGTGCAGATGCTTCTGTGCAGGTATTTGTATTGGGTCTAGTAGACCAGCTATTTTTGTAAAAAAAAAATAAATCTTAGGTGCAATGGCTCATAATTTTTGGGCCAGTTGTAATATTTTATGTTATGGTCTAAACACTGAAATGGAAAGGGACTCTTGAATCAAAACCAGTTTTGAAAGTAGCTACTTTTATACAAGTATAGCACAGATCAATTGTTTCTCTTACATGACAGGATGCTTTGTTATATACCTGTCTCCTACCCTTCATTATTATTGTTATTATGCTCAAGTAAGGTAAGGTGGGGAGTGGTGAAGCCAACCGCTGTTTAGATATAACGCAATAACCTGGGAATTTACTTAACCTCAATATTTCTACTCAGGGTGGTACCTTTCAAATCTGAGGCTTGAGCACAATCTAATAGTAGCTTATATTTTATAAAGTGAGATTCTGCATAAATTGGGCATTGAACCCCATTCCCTTCCCTTTCTTTTCCCTTATCAGAATAGATCCTTGAGAGAACATATAGACCACAGTACCTATGAAGCTCATTTCCTAGCCTTTTGTAGTTTTGAAGATCTAAGCTGTAACCTTCTATAAATATATTTTAATTTTTTCTATTAGCTTGGAAAATGGGAGAACTGTGTGTTACTTTGCTAGAAGTCATTCAGTCCTGATCTTTGCATTTTAAACATCAGTTTTTGTGATTTCTGAGTCCATTTTTTGATCATTTTTTGATAAATCAGCTTTGAAGCATCAACTGATTAAAACAAGCACTTTCTACTATTCTAGTCTACAGGTAGAATTACAAAAACCAAATCTGTCTGGTTCTACCTGATATAGTTTCAGCTTTCTCCATAATATAGCACTTATTCCAGAGCTGTAAAACAGCCCCTGGGCTGCTCAGATATTCTGGGTCAAGGCAGTAAAGACCATTCAGACAACTTTCATGGCTTCCAACCCTGGTGCTTTTAGCTTATACCCACTAGGCCTTGGGATTTCTGCACCGTGTCCCTACCTGGCAATGATATAAAAAACATCAAGTAGTCCTACAGCAAAGCTTGCTTTCACTTTTTTAGGAAGAAACTGGTAGGATATCCTGTAGAAGACTGGAAATAGCAAGCTTGTCTCTTTAAATTCAGTTGAATTGCAGCAGTTGGGGTTTGCTGCTTGTCTAGAAAGGTGCATATCAAGGACCCGGATCCTGCGATCAACATTTGAGGACTTTCTTTGTGTGCCCCTTCCACGAGAGGTGCAGAGGGTGGCAACACAAGAACAGACCTTTTCTACTGTAGTTCCCTGTTTATGGAATGCTCACCCCAGGGCACCTTCATTGCATCTCTTTAGGCACCAGGTGAAATGTTTTTCTATAGCCAGGCCTTGGGCTGATTAACATGCAATGGATGGCCTTTTAAATATGTTTGTGAAAGGGGGTGGTTATTGGTATGTTTTTGTTACATATTTTGTGTTCTCATTTGTATTTTTATGTTGTGAACCACCCTGTGATCTTTGAATGAAGGGTGGTATACAAATTCAATAAATAAATATACTGAGTGTATGTTTGTGCAGCTCTGAAGCACAAGGGCAGGACATTTATCAAGGAAAGGGTGTGATTATGCTTAGCAGGGCTTGGGTAAACTGTCCTGGGTATTTCCCCTTTGATGCTGAAGTCACTTGCAGTTTCACTGGATCATATTTCCTCTGCATTCAATTTAACTGACCGCAGGCTCCAGTATCTCCAATCCTGCTGTGGCTCAGGAATGTTGTATTCTTTCCAATCCCCTTCCCTTTTGACTGGATGGCCCTAGTAACTAAGGTATTGCGGCACTGAGTTAGGTTGCGTGCATAGCAAGCATGCTAAAGAAGGCAAACAATTTGGATGTTATAGCAGTACTCTTGCCCTTTGCCGCTTCTCATAAAAGAGCAGAAGGAAGCACAGCCAAGTCTCTCTTCATCTTTCTTTACAATATGTTCCTTTTGAAGGTAGAGTAGGGCAGTTGTGCTTCCTTGCTAAAAGGCTGCAGAAGATGCCCCTATACTTTATAATGATATTTCCTGGATTGTACACAGGGTGGTGTCTCCTTATGCCAAGCACAGCATAATGTGGTAGAGCCCTACATCTTTTCCAAGTCAGTTGTAATGATAAAAAATGAGTCAAAAGCCTGGCCCACAATGATATACACTGTGCAGTTTACAATAGTTACATAATGTGACTTTGAAAACTGCATTTTGAAGACTAATCTGCTGTGGGTCTAGTGAAAGCTAATGTTTTGTGATGCATTAATTCTGGGTAGCAAAATAAATTAAGTTGTTTGTGTGCAGCCATCTTGGGATAATAGTCCTCACCTGTTGTCAGGAGTCAGTGATTACAGTTACCCCTGTTGCCACAGCAGCCATAAATTTAATGCTTCTGAGTAGCCTGCACCAATAAGCCACTGTAATATTTTGCTCCTTAAACAAAAAGTATCTGTTTCTCCTCTTCAGCCACTGCTGATGAGTTGCTAAACCTGCCTTGCTAAACCCGCCATGCCTTCTCCCAGCCTCTGACTTAACTGGAGGTAGCTGGTCCATCTTAGTCATTTTCCTTGTGTGCTCAGGTTCTGTAGCTGGATCAGGCTAAAGGCCCATCTAGTCTAGCATCCTGATCTCACAATGGCCAACCACATGCCTGTGGGAAGCCCCAACTTCTTCACTAGTACTCTCTCTGCACTTGTCATTCCTGGCAAGTGGTATTCAGAGGTGCAGTGCCTCCAACATTTTCTCCATGAATTCGTCTAATCCTCTTTTAAAGAAGGTGGCCTTCTCTACATCTTGCTTCCACAGCACCTGCTCGTTTATTTTAACTGCACATTCCTCAGTTCCAAACGAAAAGCTGCCTTGATGTTGTTGAATTTAAAATTCCAAATAGAACAAGTGTTGAATTTCTAAATAGAACAAGTGTTGGATAATGCCAGAGGAGGAAGAAGCCTTTCAATCTGTCCTGTAAGCACCCCTTTCATTCTGAATTGTAAGTGTGAGGAATATACATTACATTTGGCTCAGTGGAAAGAGCAAAGCACTGTGCCTTTGTTCAGATGCACTTTTTACCATTCCTGCTGGCTTATAGAAATTATTGTTGGCTACTCAGCCCAACTGCATTTTACGCTCTTAGGTAAGTAGTGCTAACAGAGAGGAGGGTGATTATAACTGAGCTCTTATCTATGACACTAACATTCACTTGTTTTTATAGCTCTTCATCTTTGTAAGTGGTTTTTGTTTTTTTAAAGAAAGCACTCCCAGTTTCTTTGTTTTTCAACATTCCACTTTGTGCAACATCATTTGGTTGTCTTGGACACCAAGTAAAACTATATTATAGAAAAGAAAGGTAAACGGCAACTGAATAAGGAAGATAGTTCTGATGGATCAAATTGTTTTCTGTTATAACAATGTATTGAATTTTGAATGTATTATGTTCTCTGCATTTTATAACTTTGTAACTTATTGCCTTTAACAAAGACTATTGGTGGTTTAACTGGATATTTCCTTATTTTCAGAACATACTATTCTTCCAATAACTAGAGAGACTTTCAAAGTTGTAAATATTATCTGTGGAAAAACAATTTTTCTCTTATTGGCACATCTGATTTTTTAAAAAAATGTCTGCAATTTGGCATATGTATTTTTACTATTGGTCAATAAAGTTTTCTATACTGTAAAAAGTCACAAACTGTGTTGTGTTTGAAAACAGCTTGGAGCAGGGCCAGCCCTACTGTTAGGTGGAATCAGGTGGGCACCTTGGGCTCCAAGTGCTGGGGGTGCACGTGGCAGTGAAGTGTTGTCTGCTTAGGGCTTTATGTGCTGCCCTGCACCTCTTAAGCCAGCCTGCTGTCCTCAGGTGTGGTGCACAACACCATCCTGATGCAGTGCGGAAGTAACGTTCAACCAGTAGTCCGGTCAGCTTCTGCATCTTGTCTTCTGCCTCAGGCAACCCTAAACATGAGTGTTAACCAAATTTCTAAAAGCTAAGTGGCTAAGAGGTTAAGTGCAAATTACATTGCTGGCTGAAGATGGGAGATCCGTTTTTCCAAATGTTAAGGCTTCAACTGTGGCCATCTGTATGCTTCTTGAAAGTTCACAAATAGATTATTGTGGAGAAAGCTGTTGCGCTATTTCTCCCCAGCTTGTGTTATGACATACTGCCTCTGAACAGCAAGATCCAGATTTTGCTACCATCGCTAGTAGCCATTGATAGACCTAGGCACCATTTTGTGGCAAGCATGAGTACCAACTTCAATAAAATTTTGGGAGGTAGGTAAGCCCTGCCCCACATACTCGTTCACGAGACGCAGTGCATGAGCACCATTTGAATGGTAATGCCCATCAACTCTTTTGGGGGGCAGCCTCCTCAATTATTTTATTGGGGAGTGAAGGAGTTGGCTCCTATGGTAGAAAGAGTTCCATGTGTTATTTGTACTCTGTAACATTCATTATTGTTTTGCCAGTAAGTTTCATTTGATGACTTTCTGTTCATGCGCGCCATCTCTAATCTTATAAATTTCTATCATATTTACCTTCCTTATACTTTTTTTTTGGGGGGGGGATAAAATTTAAAGTACTACCTTTATACCATTTCTTGCAGAGAACATATTCCACTTCGACCCTGATAAATTTTAATTCCCTTTCCTACACTGCTTTGAGAACTCTGTGCAGTCACACAAGTTCTGCAAGCTCAGAACCTGTATAACTGCACATACGTAGAGCAACATGCTGCGGTAGCATTTTGGCAAGCAGCCTGCCCCCTAGGGCATGACTCCCACCTTCCTAGTCAGAACACATTTCATTGCTGCCCCAGCAATTTTAATTGCCATTTTCTGCACTATTCCCCATGTGGCATAATCAGAACTTGACAAAGTACCTCAAATGAACATTTGTATACTGATAAAAACTGCATTAGGATTCTTGGCACTCAAAGTGCACTGAACTTCATACTACTGAATTTGCTTTATTCATTGCTATAAGATCCTGTATTCAACAAGCTTTCCATAATGATAGTGCTATGCAAAGTTCAAACCAGCAAAATACCACCAGTAAACCATGGGTTGTATCCCACTGAATCAATGGGTTCAGGGAATGACTTGTGCGAATGCAATTCAATTTCTATTACCTCCCCCACCCACTGCCCTCAAATCTGTTTTGGGTTTCCTCTCAACCTCTCCCCTCCCCAAACAGATTTGTGGGCATTGCGGCAGAGTGAGGGGGAAGAAGGAAGGGAAGTTTGGTCACACTCACAGAAGTTCTTCTGTGCACATAGTGATTTTGTTGGCTACAGCTCCATGTTTGTTGGTATTTCAAGTCTCTGTAAACATCTTCTGGTAAGAGAAATAATTATAATGTTTCTTCTTTGCAGCACCTCTTTAAAACATAACCGTAGCCACCAGCAAAGAGCAGGAGGCAGCAGAGGATGTTGGTTGTGCTTCTGTTTGAAATGTTGTGACCTGTTTCAAAGCAAAGTGCAGGGCCTCCCTTTCCCCCTCCACCCAGACTCTTTCAGCCGGTGGTATGAAGTTTCATCTAGACTTTCCTTCCAATTCAGCTGCTTCAGCAGAATGAGAGAGGTAAGCTTAGCTTTCTGCAAAACACTGAAAGTGAAGTGGCCAAATGGGATGCAGCATAAGATTTCTCTTTGAAGTCTGACCACCCACTCTCACTGGAGCATCTCATTAAAATGCCACATCACAGGGAAACTGAGCATCCATCAGCTGCCACTGGGTGCTGTGCTCAGTGAGTGGTGCTTTGAAGAAGCTCGGCTGCTTTTTGTTTGAGCAAAACTCTTGCCAGTATTCACATGCAGTATTCATATGCAAAACCCCACAAAACAAGTGAGAATTTGGCATCAAATGCAACATGGCTTACAGGAGCTTTATGGTGTGAAATCCTCCTATTGCATTTTTATTTCTCTTCATTATGATTCTCTTCCTGTTTTCTTACTCTTTTTGAAATGCAAGAAAGCTGGGTACTCATAAGAATCTTCCATCTTATTAATCTGAATCTTTTTGGGTGAGGGTACTTCTGTACATAACGGGATTTCTGACCTGTACTTAACACTGTTTGAGCTTTATTAATTTGATATACCCTTGGAAGAGGAGAGAGCAACATTTTTTTTCTTCTTGCCTAAGTCAATATAGAAATGTAAAGGAAACCAACTTCCAGCATTTATGCAAACATTGACATACTGAGGCATGTCTGTTCTCTACAGCTGGGCTTCTTAGAACTAATAACTTGCTGGAGGTTGAAGCTGAAAAGAAGCTGATCTGGCCTATGACAGTGCTATACGTGAGGGGAATCACTGTAAGTAAGGTTGGAGCCTGTATGTGTACAGTTCAAATCATAATTCCTAAAAAGAGACTATAGCATAGTATAATATACTAAATAGGTGAGGACAGAAAATGTTGTTCTGTTGGCCAATTCACACTGCGTTTTTTAAGAACCCTCTGTTCAAAAGATAAAGAGAAAATACAGAATTCTAGCTGATCCCCCACCTCAGCTGTTGTGTGATTTTATGGTAACTGGATAACAGTGATGTGCACCTTGAATCTTTTGCAGGAAGACTTCTAATATCCTACTGAATCCTAATATCACACTGAATTGTAATTAGGCCCATTTATAATGTAATGACGAACCATGGTTTACATGCTATGGGAACGCATTCTGGGAATGACTGATTTACCCAGATTAATGTTCAAAATTCCAATTCAAAATTGCATTTTTAAATTTGTTTAGCTGAGTGCCCCACTGTTCGGATGGGAAAGCTTGAATATAAACATTTTAATGGAAAATAATACAAATAAGCAATACAGACGTCCCTGGAGTCAGGAACAAAGCTTCTTAAGATACACATAGAGATGAATCACAGCCTACCTTTCTTTATACAAATGTTTATATGTGTATGCATATGTGTGTTCCACTACAGTGTTTGGTAAAACAGTATCTATAGATTGAAGCTACAGGGCATTTCCCTTGTAAGTCATGCACTATGAATTTATGTGCATAGGGTTTAAATATTTCCAGATGGATTGTGTCAGTGGCTTTAATGGCAAGTGGGCAGGTCCTAGCAAGCCTTCTCAGTAACAAAGATAAATGTGTACAGTGAAGTTCAGCTTCCTGGCAAGCAATTAAATGCCTTGTCTCTGACTCAGAACCACGGGCATTTGCCAGCAATTAACTGGAGTAATGCCAGAGAGCTCACAAATGACGATATATATATATATATTGGCCATTTTAACAATTGTAACAAAAAGTAGGATTGTGGGGGGATTGCCATCAAAGCAGTGATAAAGAGTCGTAGAATCTACAATCCCCAAAGTGGCCAAGTTACTTCATTATTTGGTCAGTGTTCCTAACTCAGTGCTGGTTTCCTAACTAGGCTTGAGGTGGTGATTCAGAGCAGGGCTGGTTTCGGCTGGAGTTAGTTGTGGGGGGAATGGAACTGTCTTTTGGCTACCTCTTTGGTCCAACATCCGTATCTTAAATAGAAGAAAATAATTATTGTCATTAGATATTGTTGTAGCTTTGTGTCTTAAAATAGCTGCAGAGGAACTGTAACCATCCAATGGAAAAGAGAAATATTCAAACTCCAGCGTGATGCCTCCAACTGTGGATGTAGTACATGACACGTAACCATTCCATGAATTTGTCCAACCCTCATTTTAAGCCATCCAAGTTGGTCCCCATCGCTACATCTTGTGGGAGTGAGTTCCGTTGTTTAACTATATGTTATATGAAGAAGTACTTTTTTGTCTGACATTTGTTTCTTCCTGCTCTATGATTTTGCCCTTTGCCAGTTGTGCTGATTTTGACTTTTGTACAGTGCAAGCCATCTTATTCTTAAAGGTGAGATGTTGAAGGTGCAAATGCCGATGGAAAAGGAGACACTTAAAAGATATCAGTGTGGCTGCATAAGGAGCTTACAGATGAGCTGAGATATAAGAAGAGAATGCACAAGAAAGGGAAGAAAGGAGAAATCATGGTGGAAGAGTATACATGAGTAGCCAACAGCTCCACAGAGAAGGTCAGGAGGGCCAAAGCTTGGATAAACTCAGGCTTGCAAGAGAATAATTTTAAAGTTTATTTTCAGCTACGTTTGAGGCAAGAGGAAGAATAAGCAAATAGTAGGTTGCTTTTGAATTATGGTGCTGGAGGAGACTCTTGAGAGTCCCATGGACTGCAAGAAGATCAAACCTCTCCATTCTTAAGGAAATCAGCCCTGAGTGCTCACTGGAAGGACAGATCGTGAACCTGAGGCTCCAATACTTTGGCCACCTCATGAGAAGAGAAGACTCCCTGGAAAAGGCCCTGATGCTGGGAAAGATGGAGGGCACAAGGAGAAGGGGACGACAGAGGACGAGATGGCTGGACAGTGTTCTCGAAGCTACCAGCATGAGTTTGACCAAACTTCAGGAGGCAGTGGAAGACAGGAGTGCCTGGCGTGCTCTGGTCTATGGGGTCACGAAGAGTTGGACACAACTAAACGACTAAACAACAACAACAAAAGGTCTCTTGAGAAGATTGAGAAATGCTGTTGGGTTACAGAGAAGAGGGAACTTTTCAACACCTACTTTGCCTCTGTCTTCACCCAGAAGGAAAAGCAGTGTCCAACCTGGTGATTACAGAATAAATGGAAGGAGGGAGCTGCAGCCCAATGTCTACTCTACACAACGTCCAGATCAGGGATTTCGTTTGCAACAACTTTTAACACTGCATCATCACTCTGTGCAGCCACCAACAAAAACGTGCAACCGCAAGGCAATGCATTGCATGTGAGTATTTATAGCAATGGAGAAATCAAAACATTGCAAACGCCCCGCCCCCTTTGTAATGGTTATCTGTTGGTAATGCAAAGGGGGATATCAGCAGGCAACTTTCTCCTTCCTGCTAAGGAAGCCTGCGTGGGCCGGGCTCCTCTCGCGCATCCCGCAAAGCATCTGGAAATGCAAGACCTCTCTCCCTCTCCGCAGGCAGATTCCGGACAAAGAAGCGGCTGCGTTTTCCTCGCCTGGCTTTCATCCAAGCAGACGGCTCTGGGGCGAGGAGGAGGACCCGGCGGCGGGGCAGTCGAGCCGGGCGCCCCCCAGCGGCCATTCTCTGCCAGAGCCGGGAAAGCGGCGCCGCTGTCGAGGGGCGCAGAAGTTGCCTTCGCCCCTCGCCTGTGCGGCGCGCTCCCTCCACCCCACCTCCCCTTTTCCTGCCTCCGTCCGCATGTGGCTGGGGGGGGGGGGAGAGACCCCCTGCCTTCTCCGCCCACCCCTCTCCCCCTCCGCTTAGCCGGGCGGACACTGCTGCTGCTGCGGGCTGCGCATTCCTGGCCGCCCCCCCGGGGAGGGACTGAAAGGCTCGCTTATGCGCGGCGCAGACACTGCCCGATTCATCCGCGCCTCGCCTCTGCCTCCCGCTCGCTCCGCCAGCGCCATGAAGCTCCTGCAGCCCTGCCCGCCTTTGCCGGTCGCCTTCGCGGCGCTGCTGCTGCTGGGGGTGCTGTCGGCGAGCCCCCCGGCCGGCCTGGCCGAGACCCCCAAAGGCAAGCAGAAGGCGCTTCGCCAGAGGGAGGTGGTGGACGTGGTGAGTGCGCAGCGACGGCGCCGCGATCCCCGGAGGGCTGCGCAGGGTCTCGGGCTGGGATGGGTGGTGGGTGGCATGGAGGCAAGCAGCATTGCATGGGATGGGGGCAGAGGCGTACCTTAGGCTCCCTTGCACCCTGGCCAAGCGGCTGGGCGCTCTGCCATTCCAAGCCAGAGTGGAGAGGCACCATTTTGGCGCCCCGCTGGGACCAAGGGTGTCAACTTGGATAAAATATGGAGGGGGGCAGATAAGCCCCGCTCCACATAATTGATCACAAGATGCGTCACACACACATCATTTGAATGGCCTTGTCCATCAACTGGGGGGGCGGGCTAGGAGTTGGCTCCTATGCCTGGGCCGGCAGCCTTGGGGGGCAACCTTTCCAACCCCTAGGTACACCCCTCAAGGAGACCTCCTGCTTAGCCCTCTTCTTGGTGTGCCACTTCCCGTCTTACTCATTTATATCCCACCATAAAAAGCAGCAGCCTGGCTAGCAAAGGTAAAAGGACCCTTGACTGTTAAGTCCAGTCGAGGACGACTCTGGGGTTGCGGCACTCATCTTGCTTTATTGGCCGAGGGAGCCGGCGTTTGTCCGCAGACAGCTTCCGGGTCATGTGGCCAGCATGACTAAGCCGCTTCTGGAGAACCAGAGCAGCACATGGAAACGCCGTTTGCCTTCCCACCGGAGTGGTACCTATTTATCTACTTGCACTTGACGTGCTTTTGAACTGCTAGGTTGGCAGGAGCTGGGACCGAGCAACGGGAGCTCACCCCGTCATGGGGATTTGAACCACCGACCTTCTGATCGGCAAGTCCTAGGCTCTGTGGTTTAGACCACAGCGCCACCCGCGTCTTGCCGTGCCACTTCCCGTCTTACTCATTTATATCCCATCATAAGAATTAGCAGCCTGGCTAGATCAGGCTAAAATAGCCCAGCTTCCTATTCTCCCGGTGGCCAGGCAGACGCCAATGGGGGGAGTCCAGGAGCACAGGGGACTGCAGTGTGATCTCCTCCAAAGAACTCAAGGTGGCCTACCTGGTTCTACCTTGCATTCTCCAGGTCACCCTCACAACAACCCTGCGAGGTAGGTCAGGTGGCTGACTGACTCCAGGTCACTCAGTAAGCTTCTTGGTCGGCTGGGGATTTGAGCCCTGGTCTCCCAGGTCCTGGTTGATGGGTCTGACCTCTGCACCATGCTGGCAACAAACGATGTGTAAGAAGATAATAAGCCAAGCCCCCAATGTTTTCGAGCTGCTGAATAAGATTAAGAAAACAAACCTGACAGACACAATACTGGAAAAGGAGAGGATGTGGGGAGGGAACAAATGAGCATTATTATCAAACGCAGCTGGGCGGAAGATGCAGTCCGCATCCAGAATTCGACTAGTTTCTGAAAACTTGCAAAGATCCTTCTGAATGTTGAATGGCTCTAAAGCCACATTTAGATATGATGGTGCGCAATTAGAATAATTTACCCGTGCATGTGTTCCGTTTCTAATTTAAACTGGGTTGCCTGGCCGTCACATCCAAAAGCACGCAAGGCTTAATGTTGCTGACGTTAAGCAGTTCTGGGTTTGGTAAGAAAATAACAAATAGTGTGCAAGGGAGGCACAATCTAGCAGGGGCCATACTGCAACAGGATGCTAATGTTGCATACATAATGTGATGCCAGGTTCAAACAACACTATGCAGATAAATCCTTACTGTTTACCTGGCATCATGTTTAAATAAAGCTTGACTGATGGAAATTAATCTTAAAGTCTGCAGATGGGGTGGAATGGGAGCTGTGCTGTGCTCATTGTTACAACTTGAGATCTCAAGGGCTGTGTACCTAAACATGCAGATGTTTATTCTTCATCCAGTGTGCTTCCATCTCTCATTTGGGAAGCGGTGTACACCTGATGCTATCTAGCCTGTTGTTTCTTCTTTTATGCATTTCCCCCCAAACCAGCTTTGGCCTACCTGTGTGTTAAACTGGCAATGCATACAGCCTTTCTCTCTGCTAACGTAAAACTCACAGCTGCCTGCAGGGTTGCAAAAGAGACAGCTGTGTAATCTGCTGTGGTGGGACATTATGGCTGCAGAGGATGAGTAATCTGACTGATCTCCTCCGCTCTTTGTTATTACTCACTGAGCATGAATATTTAGGGAAATGGTTAGTGGGTTTCTTAAAACATTCTTCCTCACTCAAGCCATTCATTGCCACGTTGGACACAGAAGCAGAGCTGGCCTTGGTAGGCTGTGGCTGTACTCACCACATTTCTTTAAGTAATATGTCCATTGGGGAAAGCAATGCCTGGTTTATGTGTGTGTATGAGAGACAAGGCGGGGGAGAAAAATGGTTCCTTTGCAACAACAAAATAACCAATGTGGCTATTGGTTTACTGTTTCAGGCTCAAACAACTATGTATATATAACTATGTGTCTATAAAATGGGAATAATTTTGATTTTCAGTATAATGGGATGTGTTTGCAAGGACCTAATGGTGTTCCTGGAAGAGACGGAAACCCTGGTGTCAATGGAATTCCTGGAACACCTGGGATCCCGGGTCGAGATGGACTAAAAGGAGAAAAAGGAGAATGCATGAGAGAAAGCTTTGAGGAGTCTTGGACACCCAACTACAAACAATGTTCATGGAGTGCTCTGAACTATGGCATAGACCTTGGAAAAATTGCAGTAAGCAAGTACCATTGCATTTATAATGTATATTACAGCAACAGAGGTGGGTGAGGGTACAAAGATGTGGTGATAATTCTTTTCCTTATCGCTTTGGCTTCCTTATTCCTAGCAGCTAGGGCCTACTGCAGTCAGCAATCAGAGATCCACTTAAGGAGGCCCACTGAGGCATCTCAAATGACTGATGAAAGATACTGTAAGCAAGCTCTGGTATTAGGATTTAAATATAAAAATCTAGAGCAGAGGACGCAGAGGATTGCTGGAGAAGGGATGCTATTTGGCTAACTCTATAAGAAATAACCAGGAGTCTGTTGCACTTTAAAGACTAACCAAATTATTATGGCATAAGCTTTTTTGAGGCAGCTGTCCCTTTAAGGTAGTAACTATTTCTTTTTAAATGACAAGTCAATAAATAATCAACCACTTAAACACACTTTTTCTTGTTTTGTAATAGGAGTGCACATTCACAAAGATGCGCAGCAACAGTGCTTTAAGAGTCCTCTTCAGTGGATCACTTAGACTAAAATGCAGAAACGCTTGTTGCCAGAGATGGTATTTTACATTTAATGGAGCTGAATGCTCTGGGCCACTTCCCATTGAAGCTATAATTTATTTAGATCAAGGAAGTCCGGAATTAAATTCCACCATTAACATACACCGCACTTCTTCAGGTACGTATCAAGATAATCTTGTGAGACCAAGAAGAATTTCACTGTAAAAATTCTGGGCACATGTGAGATGCAGATGGCGTTACTTGCCTGGTTCCCTGTAGCAAATAAACACAATAATAAGGTAATAGGTACATCAGAGTTTTCCTTTCTGGTGATAAAGAACTAAGGTTTAGGATCAGACAAATGAGAATCAAACCTCCTCCAGGCTTAGACCCACCCAGCTATAAGCTAGAAAGTATAGAGATATAAACACTGGCCTGTGAGCGTTCCATTTGGAGAACAGCCTTTACCAAAGGTGCCATGCGCTTTGAAGACACTTGAACTCAGGACAAAAGGAAGAAATGTGCTAAGAGGAAGGCATGCTTGGCAAACCCTAACCATGATCAGTTATGGCCCAGAAACCTATGTCCCCACTGTGGAAGGATGTTTGGATCCAGAATTGGCCTCCACAATCATTTATGAACTCACTGTTAAAACTGTGTTTATGGAAGACAATCTTACTTGGCTACGAGTGATCGCCAAAGAAGAAAGTATAGAGATATAAATGCAGCTACTAGAGCCCAACTCTAGACACCACCTGGTAGCCCTGCATCTGGAAGGAAGGTTGACAGAGCGTAAAAGCCATTAATGTTGCCCCACAGCAAACTGCTAGTGATGGCTGATCCATTCAGCTTCTTCCCTGAATTGTAGGATGCTATAGCAGAAAAACATTTGTTCCAGAATGCAAAGGTCAGAAACTAAACCAATTATTGTCCTTTAAATTTGCTCAGACACACAGAGTATGAGTAGACAACTGAACATTGTTAAAGTTTCCATTAAAATGAGAGCACCTTCTCACAGAATATTGATTTTGTTTACTGACAGCTATCATTAGTTGATGGAGATGTTGTTTTTAACAAACAAAACCAAAACCCAAGCATGGGGCAGTTTCTTCCCAAATCGCAAAGAATGGTTCTCCTCTTTTTTATGTCTATAATATAAATTTTGTTAAGAATAACATGAAACAATACAAACAAATAATGGGTGTTGATCACCAGATACAAAGCAAAATATAGTCACGATGTGTATAAGGCAGAAAATAACAGCATGTTAAGTAAAATAACCAAGCAAAAAAGATTTTTAAGGGGTCTTGGGTCCTCCTAGTGACAGTTAATAAAAGAAATAAACATGAACTACAGTAATCAGCATCAAAAGTGGCTCTTCTCTTTTTAAAGATGCCAGTCCTTTGGAACTCCCTGCCTATTAGTTGTACTGTTGCAAACATTCACTAAAACTTTTTATTATTTCCATGCAATTCTGTGTGGACATACAAGGGTGCATCCAATGCTAGTCCTACACAGAGTAGAACCACTGAAAATAATGAACATGGTTATTTTTTGAAAGTAATAGAGGGATGATGGGAGGTGAATGAAACAGTGCCTGGTGGGCACAGGTTCATTCCCTCTATTTTGGGCGAAACCACTATGCTTTTTGTCTTTTATACAGTGGAAGGACTATGTGAAGGGATCAGCGCTGGCCTGGTGGATATTGCTGTTTGGGTTGGTACTTGTTCCGATTACCCACCTGGAGATGCTTCCACTGGATGGAACTCAGTCTCTCGCATCATTATAGAAGAACTGCCAAAATAGAGCTCTTTCAAAGATTCTCTCCCCCCTTTGACCACTTATATTTCATACCTTACATATTAACTCCATGCTTTAAATCTATAGTTTTCTATGTTATCAAAGTACTTGACTATAACGCACAAGCTTGTTCTACAGAAAATATCTGTAACCAATGGATTTCTTTTTTAAAAAAGTTTAGTTTATGGGTTTATACACTTTCTGGATTTATGTACTACTTTTGTACAATTTGTAGGCAATTCTTACATTTGTTAATAAAGACAATCGTTTAGAAATAGCCAAATAAAAGGAATTTTAATATATGTTATCAAATAAAATTTGCCCAAGCCTACACCTACTACCACAAATCAGTACAGTTTTAATTAAAATCTCACCAACTTTGCATTGAAAGGGGTGTGGGTGAAAAACCACTTGTAATGTCAATATAGTTGAATTCTGATTGCTTTCTAGAAAATAGCTACTTCAGGCTCAGGGGCTCTGATAAGCATGTGCACACTCTTCCTTTTTCAAGGCAGGGCAAGGCCACAAGTTCATTCCTTTCTGTATGCAAAACTTCAACCTGCAGTGTAGTGAATGGCAGTGATTACTCACATAGGAGCTCAGCCCGTGCAAACTGGAAAAATACATGGAACTTTTGCTTTAAGCTAAATGGAAGGTCAAGCTGAGTTAGCAGCACCAATAAATCTCACAAATACATGTCACCCTCTCAAAGAACTAGCTTTAATATAAAAAGCATTGCAGGTGAGTTCAGGTGAGACTTTGCAAGTACAGCATCTTCATAGATGGTTCTATATGACATGCTCAGGAAGCAATGTGGAATATGCATGCAGGATAGCTACATACTATCCTCATTTGCCAAGTATTCTTAGGCATTGAAAATGGGTTTTCTGGACACAAATTTAATCAACCCACGTCTAATTTGTTGGGGGTTCAAGTACATTACGTACAACTTGTATTAAAGAATGAAACTAAAGAACCTACAATTACAAGGAAATTCATACACAGGGCTTTTAGACTTTCTCTTGCCCTTTTGTTCCAATTTAAACATTAAATAAAACTACAAAAATAAGCTGAATATATACCATGTAGCATTTTCCTCATATGCAGGGACCTTTCTGCCATTTGGGGATACCTGCTTTCATATGTTTTTTGTATGATAACTTTCTATAGTTAAAACCATGCTGTGTATCCTCACTTTTCAGACAAGCATGGTCTCCTCATGAGACTCAATTTAAAAAATGAGAGGCCCAGTTTTACAAATCAAAAAGGCAATATGCAAAATGAAGGTAAGTAGGAGAATATAGAGGATTAGTTATTCAGGTTGATAATGGAACAGTGAAAAACAACAGTTGGCATGTATATCCAGCTGAGGCCAGGCTAATCCTCCATTTTGCTTGATTAGGTATACTGGTGGCTTATGTTCCTTGGACCAATGATGGGGCCACAGACCCTTTCTCATTGCTTCTGTACTCTCAAGGCAACCAGCAGCTGGAGCACAGTGCTTCCCAGCCACTGCAAGGAGGGCAAAGCAAGCTGCCTGCCCCCACTTCCAGGCTAGCTTTCCCCATACCATCTGAGGAAAAGGCAGGGCCACTAGCCAAAGCCACTCATGTACTTATACAAAGCCCATCTGGATAAAAAAACCAGTAATTTCTATCCAAGCACCATTTTAACTATTTCTAATTCACCAAGGATTTAAACTGGATATGGGTAAGAGTGCTTTAAACATTGGCTATACTTTATCCAAGTAATTTATAGGCGGGAATCCATGGGGCTTGTGCTAGCATAACTGTAGACTTGGAACTGCTGATGTGCATATCCCATCAAACAGTGAAATTCTGTTCGATTTCAAAGGCAATTTGCCTGTGACATGGGGTGGTGGTGGTGTTCCAGAAAGCCGCATCTAAAAAACCAATTGGGTTTTCATTTTTGTTTTATTCTGCTCATAAACTAGTTAAGTTATAATTACTTACCAAGTTCCGAATAATGACAACCACCTGTTTTCAAATGACCCTTTGATCTACACATTCATTTTATTTAGGTTTCCCCTTCTATTTGCACGTTAAAAATTCAGTTTCTCCTAGTAATGGCATGCAGAACCCTATGATCAATGGGTGGTATCCAGTGTGAGTCATACTCAAAGTTGATCCATTAGAATAGTTAAGAGCCCATAGATTTTAATGAGTCCACTTAGAAAATGTCATTAGATGACCGCCAGCTAATGCAAACTATACTAAGCACTATGACCATAAACAAATGTTGACTCAATCATGCTTGACCTTTATTTCTATGAGTTTTAAGCTTGCAGCCCTATGCACACTTTCCTGGAATGCAAGTCTCATAAAAAATGCATACACAAGCACACATAGGTTTAATGGGGATGTCAGGCTTTTGGAAGCCCCAAGAAACCCTTGGAAGGTCCCTTAAAACAGGATGAAACTTCAGGACAGGATCTGGACAAAGTAGGTAAAACCAAATCTTGTTGATGAAAGGCAGAATTTATCTTTGGTACAAAAGAAGGGTCAGTCTATAGAACACTTTTTATGAAAAATGCAGTTGTTTGTTAATAGAAAAGGGCATTCAACTTCAAGGCCCGGCAAGCTGATATAAGTGCAACTAAGAGGGAAGAATCCAAAGAGGTGCAAACTTTTGTGGCTCCGAAAGAGGACGTCATAAAGCGAAAAGGACCTTATGGAGATCTCAGGTTGGGGGGACCACACATTAAAGTAGCCCTTGAAGAAATCATTTTGAGAAGAGGATGAGAACCAAACAACACCGAAGAATGAAGAGACACCGAGGAAGTGTCTGAGACTTATCTACGTAGGATGTTCACTGTCAGCCTCATCTGCAAACCCTCCTGAAGAAAGTCAAGCACATTCTTGCAGGAACATGTGCTCTTGGTAGTGCAGCAGTGGGCAAACGCTTTTCAAGTGTATTGGAAGATTCTTACATTGGATGGTCTGCAGCATGCCATGATGGTATCAATAATAGCTGAAGATAATCCAGATTTCTTTGGACTTTGCTGCTCAAGAACCACATCAACAGTTTCAACCACTCTGGATCCAGGTCAGGCCCTGGGGCTGATATAAACAAGTGAAGGAGTTCCAAAATCCACAGAAGGCAAGGCCAAAATAAAGCCACCAGAATCAACTGTGCTTTCTCATTCTGAAGCTTCCGCAAGGTTTGAGCAATAAAGGGAATTGGGAGTGCATATATAAGCCTGCTCAGCCACAGGGCCAAAAGAGCATCCATTGCAGCCAGAGACTGGAATTAAGCAGAGCAGCAGGGACCTTGCCGATTCTGGAATGTTTTGCCCAGAAGAGGCTGGGTAGGTTTGGCAAGGAGCAATATAGCAGCAGCAAGAAGACTGGTGAAATGGCTGTTGGATGGTGAATGATGGATAAGGGGAGTCTGGAGTGGTGGCAAAAGCAAATGCTTCTCAATGCCCATCCAACAGCTTTCCAGCAGTGACAGGCCCTTCCACCGCGCTTTGTCGTAGGGTTCTGGTTGGTGGTGCCTGACCATGACAAGTTTTGATGCTGGGCCTGCATTAGATCAGGCTACACGTTGAACTCTAACATTCTATTTTTCAAAAGCTGTAAAGAAAAGTTACATGTATTCAGATACGCATATATAACATTGATACCAGCAAGGCAACATAATAAATATTTGCTTTAAAGACAACATAGTACTTTAGCACTTTCCCCATTTTGCAGTGTGCTGAGAGCCATATTATGCATTCAAAACTAACATGTTTTTCCAGTTCTATACTACTGAATCCAAAAGCTTCTCAATTACACTGATCCTTGCTAGTTGGAGAATAAAAGAATTTGAAAAGCTGAATTCATTGTGGATAAATACATGCACAATTTATTGGTGAGGTATCAGGTAATATGCAATAATCTGAAACACTGTTGGGGAATTTATTCCATCTAATATTTTTTACACCAGAGACCCACCACTGTACATTAAGAGTCCACTGCTGTTCATATAGCAGGGTTAAGAGAGAACAATTCACTCTAGAGCAAAATTTTAAAACCACATATTGCATCTATTTTCTCATCCAGAATGTTCAGATGAGGTAATATTCCTGGCAAAGATTGAAGATTCAATACAGAAAAGATTTATCTAGTAGAACAAAATGAGTTCTAGTTTCCATCTTCTGTGAATACCAGAAAAATAAACCAGACAGCTGTCTTGAATATCTGATTTGCTGCAGAGCCAAAAGGTGATGATGTCCTTTCCTGAAGCAATCACCAATATTTAGTTACCATTCTTCAGGCTAAGCAACAACTGGGATACTTTCTCATATACTACAAAGGTAATACAGCATGCAGGAGTGACTCTGAGAACATTAGGTATAATTCCTTTGTAAAATCCATGAACTCCTTCTTTCCTAGGGAGAAGCAGAAAGAATTTACTTGCAACTTCCATACATATTTTATAGAGGGAAATCATTCAGCCTATTAACTTTAAATTACATTATTCTGATTTTATTGTTCTTATTATATTTAATTATTGTGGTCTTGAGTATCAGCGATAGAAAGAAAGGCAAGGTATAAAAGCAGGTCTGAATCCAACTAAGTGATATTTAAAATAGGTCCATTGATTTCAATGAGTCTGTTCTGAGTTTGACTTGGCTGGATGCAACCCATAATAGATAAATAATTATCCACATATTTTTATTCTAAATTGATCTTTTAGGTGACACTTCTACAAAGACCATCTTGAAACATGAAAACTGAATTTCTAAAGCAATACCTAATTCAGGAAAGCACTGAAAGTCCATACTGAAATAACACTGAAAGCTTATTTGCACAGAGAAGTGTTACAATCGCCTTGGATGCCTAGAAAACAGAGACTGTCCACAAACTGCCAAACTGACTTTAGCAAGATTATACCTAGCTAACAATACAAGGTTGTTGTTCTCAAGTGATTTCTCAACAGGCATTTCACTTCTGATTTGATCAAGCTGACCCCACATCTTTTCTGCTAGAGCACTTGTCTGTTTTTGCTTTTTGTGGAAAACCTCTGCTGTTAGGTTTCATGGCTAAGCCTTTCCGGCACATAACCCGACAAAAGATTACACATGGCCTATTTCACCTTGTACAACACTTCTCAATATATCTAGGGTTTTGTGACTTTATGTGACAGGTGATTTTCTCCTTTTTTTTGGAAACATGTAAATTACATCTCCACAGTCCTTCTGTTAACCCTCCACCCAATTTGTTGTGGGATAATCCTGGAGACCTTGTTATAGCGGGAGGTGGAGGAATGATGGAACAGTTGCCCATCCCATAGGTAAGAGTGATGATGCAACCTGCCAAGGAAAGCAGTTAAAAATGGGGCTGGGGAAATCAACAATGAAACTCAACAGGGTTACAATAAATTTTAACCTGAGTATGACTTAGATGAATATCCCTACCTGTTTATACTTCACTACTTTTACAGTGCATTCCAAATCAGGTTTACTCAATGAACTCAATGGGGCTTAATCTCAGCAAATGTGCTTAGGATTGCTGCTTTAGTTTCTCTACTGCTCTCACAAACCCATTCATGCTTGTTTTGAACTTCTCTCAAATAATTATAAAGTCACCCAGCTGATATAACACAGAGAGGAAACACACAGAGAGGAAAAGTTGAAAGCTTTATGTCTTTAAGAATGCCAAGTACATCAGTGATAACAAAGGAAGCCCTTTCACACCAGCTTTATATCTCCAGGCCTACCTCCATGTCCTACGGATGACATCGACCAATCCAGAGTATCTGTTGTGCTGATCCTGGAGACGTGCTCTCACAACCTGATAGGGATATGTAGTTGAAACTGCAAAAATTTTCGACAGTGCTGCCATTGTGATATATTCTAAAGTGCTCTAAAAAGAAAATGGTATCAATTTTAGCTCCCAACAAATTCACTAAAAGAACAAAAAACAAAATTTCACATTTTACGCTGCTTATTTCTATCATTATACAAGTGTTAGTAGTTCTAAGTTTAAATTCTAACTAGATACTTCCATTTCACAGGATGTCTTACCAATTTCAAATCCGATCGCCTGTTTCGATGTCTATTGTATTTTGATTTCAATTCTTCATATGCCATGAATTGAAGTGCTCCATGCGATGTTCCGAACAGACCAGGTACAAAGCCCTGAACAGAGTTTTTCAGACAATTTAAAATGCAGTTTCATATGAAAAGCTGAGCAACCTATGACACAAAATGTATATAAACAATGCAATATAACTTTACAGTTATAAGTTTATAATGCCAGAATGTGGAAGCTGGTTGAAATGGCCAAATACAGAAAAAATATGCATGTAAGAGAAGAAAATATATGGAAACCAGTTTTCGAAAGAAAGAAAGATAAAACAGCTGAGCTTTAATCCTGGTAAGATGGAGGCACTGTGGGTGAGTAGTTCCTGTGCCTCAGAAATTAGTTAGTTGTCTATCCTGGATGGGGTTGCACTCCCCCTGAAGGAGCAGGTTCACAGTTTGGGGATACTTTTGGATCCAGCTCTGACACTGCAGGCTCAGGTAGCCTTTGTGACTAGAAGTATCTTTTACCAACTGCTACTGGTGTGACAGCTGCAGCAATTTCTAGACCAGAAAAGCCTTCCGACAGTAGTTCATGCATTGGTTACTTCAAGACTGGATTACTGCAATGAACTTTATGTGCAGCTGCCCTCGAGCTTGATCTGGAAGCTGCCGTTAGTGCAGAATGCTACAGCATGATTGCTTGGGCTCAGAGACCTGCACTGGCTGCTGATTTGCTACCAGGCCAGGTTCAAGGTGTTACTATTAGTAATCCAAAGCCCTTAATAACTTGGCACCAGTTTATCTACGAGATGGCTTCACCCTACATGTGCCACTCAAACACTTTGATCGACGGAATTGGCACTACTACAGGTGCCACATAATAGTCATTCTACGTTTGTAAGAACTCAGTATTTTAGTGTGGCAACACCTAGTTTGGAATTTCCTGGCTATTGGTAACAAGCAGGAGCCTTCACTGGACTCTTTTCAGTGCCTGCTAAAAACATTATTCTTTAGACAAACCTACCCAGATGCTTAAAAAGTTGAGGTAATTTTAGTGTTTTAGTATTTTAACTTTTGTATGTTTTCAAGTATGGTTGCAAAATATTCTTAATTTTATTGCCTTATCTTTTTGTAAACCTCTTTGAGGATTATTATTTTTTTAAAATCAAGTCATGTAATTTTTTAATGAAATAATAAATGTAGGAATTTTATGAAGCTCAGACACAAATTAAAGACTACTATCTCAAAGCCTGTGATCGCTTAATCTGTCTATTGTTATTGCGATACAGTGGTGCCCCGCAAGACGAATGCCTCGCAAGACGAAAAACTCGCTAGACGAAAGAGTTTTCCGTTTTTTGAGTCGTTCCGCAAGACGAATTTCCCTATGGGCTTGCTTCGCAAGACGAAACGTCTTGCGAGTTTGTTTCCTTTTTCTTAAAGCCGCTAAGCCGTTAATAGCCGCTAATAGCCGTGCTTCGCAAGACGAAAAAACCGCAAGACGAAGAGACTCGCGGAACGGATTTTGTCTTGCGAGGCACCACTGTAGTTATTGTGTGTCTTGAGTATCTTATACATATTTATATAGCCTTTTTTTTACACACACTATAAATACTTTATTGTAATTCAACTTTTAACTTCTCAAAAATCCTTCCAAGTCAATGGCTGGGAGATCTAAGAAAGCACAATGATTTCTACCCGCAGAGGGAGAAGGCCCAGGCAGGTAATAGGCTGCTGCTCCCACCTGTTCAGTTCAGAAAGGGGCCTTTTGAGGAGGGGGGGTGCTAACTGGATCCAAAGCCCCATGGAGGGGCCTCATTCCTGGGTCTCTTGGAGTTTTATTTTTTACTATGCAGTTCCAGTTAGGTGATGTCTGTGCACCAGTCGTCTGTGGTCAGGAAGCACCTCATCCTCTAAAGACAGTCCACTGATCTAGCAAGAAGGCAGGGCTCCCAGTTCTCCCAGATCAGAAGCCCCTCACTTTGCAGCATCATGAACTGACAAAAACTACTTTCCATTCAGTCTACTCACAAGTATGTCTTTTCCTGCTACCTATCCGTTCCTATCTACTGGTTCTGCCACTACAGAACAGAATTATCTGTTAACTCAGGCATACTGGCCCAAATGCTAATCCTGACTCGGTTTAGACTGAACTCCTCACTGTCGGAATTCAAGCCTATATCAGTAGTAACTGGCAACTCTCCAGGCACCCGGCTTGATCTCCTGTTGACCTCCCTGTCTGCATTCCCCAGCAGGATCCAGGCAGAGGTCATGATAGGCGATCCTTCTCGGCGTGAGAAGAACACCCCCCCTCTTTCCTGCCCCCCCGGCAGGGGAAAGAGATAGACGGAAACGTATCTACATGTCTTTATTTCTGTCTTTGCAGCGTTACAAAAAACATGACTGCTCTCTTCAAGCTCCAGCAGTCGAGTGACGAACACTTCCTGTACTTCCTGTACAGGAACAGAAGGAAGAGCTCATATTACACTCTGAGCTAATTCCGGTGCTTCGCACTGTGAACTGACTGTCGCTCTGTTTCCCACGGACAGTCCCAACATTCCCATCATGTTTTGTTTTCAAGCTAGCAGTTGGCAGCTGCATTGCATCCATATCGTAACATACTCCCCCATATGAATCAATGTGAGCTGCGAACAAAGCTTGATCCAGAGAAGAAAACAAACAGTTGTTATACATATAACAATCCCCTGTTGTTTCAGTTCCACCCTTGGAACTACCCGCCACTGGTTTCCCCAGTGTACCTCTCTGGTTGTCTGACTTCCAAGGAATGAGCGCATCTGCATTACGTTGGCTAGGGAATGTAGTGTTACGCTTAGCAACTCCCTGTTGTGTCTTTGTCTCTGACTTGGACACAGCTTTAACCTGTCTTGAGTTGTCTACAATACAGTGGTACCTCGCAAGACGAATGCCTCGCAAGACAAAAAACTCGCTAGACGAAAGGGTTTTTTGTTTTTTGAGCTGCTTCGCAAGACGATTTTCCCTATGGGCTTGCTTCGCAAGACGGAAACGTCTTGCAAGTTTGTTTCCTTTTTCTTAACACCGTTAATACAGTTGCAACTTGACTTCGAGGAGCAACTCATAGAACGCGGTGTGGTAGCCTTTTTTGAGGTTTTTAAAGACTTTGGTGATTTTGAAGCTTTTCCAAAACTTTCCCGACACCGTGCTTTGCAAGACGAAAAAAATCGCAAGACGACAAATTAATTTCGTCTTGCGAGGCACCACTGTAGTAACACATGCAACAGCTGACTTAGCAAACTCCTTTGAATACCTCTTGGGTGGTACACCCTTTGTAACTCTCTCAGACTTGCGTATGAGGTGCTGATCCTCTCTGCTCACTGGTTCAGTCTCAGGACTATTTGGAGAACCAGTTCCAATAGTAAACAGTGGTTCATCCCTCACCTGTGAAGGTCTATCCATTGTGTGAGATTTCCTCTCAATGACTGTGTCAACTGAGCTCTTTGAGCTATTACTGTCACTCTCAGTACCACTGTAATCAGTAAAATCATCATCATCATCTGAATTGTCCTTAGTCGGAAATGTGTGAACAATTACTCTCTCCTGTTCAGGAGCACTCTCTAGAAATTTTGTGAGAATCACCTGACCAGATTCAGACAAAATTACTCTGTAGAGACCCTTTTCATAACCCACAAAAATGCCTCTCGCATTCTTTACCCCACCTGGAGCATCAGATTTCACATGAGACCCAAACACCCTAAAATGGGCAACAGAAGGTTTTCTGTTAAATAGCTTTACAAAAGGAGAACATCCCAAACCTTTTGAAACCTTTCTCAACCAAGTGTAACAAAAACACGATAAAGATTCCGCCCAATACTCATGTGGCAAATGTGAACTCAGCAATTGTGCCTTCATCCCATTTTGCAATTCTCTGTTCACTTGCACACAGACACTTTTGTTCCATGCACCTGCTGAAACAGCAGTCTTGTGCCCTATGCCCTGCTTATCCAGGAAATCCTGAAAATCCTGTAAAAGAAAAACTGGCTTTCCCACTATCTCAAGTATGGCTCTGTGACAAGAGAACTGAAAATGCTAAAGAGGCAGAGGGAGGAAAATGATGATAATAAAGCCCACTGGCAACCTTATTGCAGTGAAACTCATGTAATAACCATTCACTGATTTTGGACACAGTGGTAAAATACCGTCATACCCATATCAAATACCAGAAGTCCTGGCTTTGACTTATCTTACCTTATATAGGCCACGTACACCTTCATACTTGTATATTTTGATAAGGGCATCAAGCATCCCTTTGTACTGCCTCTTTGATGGGTCAACACCAGCTTCATACTGCAACACAAGCCGAGTCTTTGTTACCCAGATTGGGTTTGTAATGCACAGAGTCATTGCTCCTATGATCAGATGGAGAGCTGACAGTTATTTTAATGTCAACACACAACATCCCCTCAACACATGGGCACTCCTACACACACCTGGCAATTTCTAAGGCCAATGAAGTTTTACGCTGGCATTTAACATTCCAGGTTGATTTAGCAGTTGTTCTGCACTTACCAAGAGCAGCAGATAAAAAGTATATTCTGCTAAAAAATGGACCAATCGTACAGGGTATTTGCACAGTGTGCACTCTACCAAATGCTTTCATTTGACTCCCTATATCATGGGTTACCAACACAGCACCCACTGAAACACATGAGCCTGTAGACATCTTGCTTGGTGTCTGTAAGTTTCCCTTGCTGAAATTAGGGTTGAAAGAAGTCTGCTACTGTAGCCATGGAATAATTTTTAAAAGCCCAACTCCAGCACTAAGAGCTTTCGGGTGTGGGTGGGTTTACAGTTGGAGAAAACAGAAGACTGCTTGCAAACCTAATTAGAACACAGGCAGAACAATTTGGATGGGGTGGAAAAAGGGTCAACTTTTCCCTTTCCAGCTGTACCCTAAGTGCTCTGGAATCACCCTAGGTGTTGTGGAGGGGAATTATCTTCCTGGAGACTGCAGGTTAACTCTTGCCTCCCCAGCTGTATGCCCCCCCCATACACACACACACTCCATTAGGTTTTTAAAAAAGCAAAAACACCTTTTAAAGCCTGTCTAACAGGAGGCAGTGTGTTTGTGCAGAGGCACAGTTCCGATGCACTCGTGTGCATGGTTGCAGTACATGCTGCCCAATGTCTCTGGTTTGCCAATGTGCCCACAGCTTTAAAGAAGTTGCCAACCTCTTCCCTATATATTGATCAACAATAACAACAACAAAATACAGTATATGGAAAAGCTGAAAGTATTCGCTAATCCCACTTTTATTTTCCTCACCTGCCTCAGCAGCTGACACTAAGTGTTCAGTTGGTCCAAGACTTTCCAGCTTATCCTCTGTCTTGTAGGCTTTAATGGCATTATAGCTGCAGAGTGAAATGTTGGGATAAGGTTAAAGCTGATTAGTTGTTTTACTAATATGTGAAATACATTCTGTATATCAACACACAAAGTAACACACAAACATTTGAACAAACAAAAATGACACATGCTTATCTACAATGTATATAAAATGTATAGGCTAGAAGCAAAACATGTACTTTTCAAGCCCATGGGCACACATCAGTAAGTAGAAGCCTCTTCCCCATTCTTCTTTGAACAGCAGGTGTTATGTATGCCATATCAGAAACTGCTTTTAAAACTTTCCAAGAGGGCTAGAGTCCAAAGTCCCATGGATATATGAAACTAGAAGTTTGGTTATTTGGAATCCAATCATAGTATTCTATACATTAATTAATATTACTTCGAGGGTTTTTTTAAAAATGAGCTTTACAACTATGATTGAAATATAAAGCATTTAACGATTAGGCTATTATCTATACCATACATATTTACGCGCGTGTGTCTGGTTATTTGTATGTTGATGTAAATAAAAGGTTTACAAAGGTTGTGAAAGAAAAAGCTATATCTGTAAGCAATTACGCTGCTTCCCCCTCCTTGCTAACAGCTCATATTCAGTTAATACTAGAATTCAATGGTGACTAAGAGATTGCTCATTTTGCTACTGGACCTGTAAAAACCGGCAAACATGCTGATAAGGAAGCAATATTCCAAAGTTTCAAATACTAATGTAGCCTTTATTATACTAAACTTCTATACTATAAACAACAAATTTTATACATATATATACACATATATACACATATATACATATATATATATATATACACACACACACACACACACACACCCCAGACAAGAACCTCATGGCCTCTAGGTGTGATGGTAATAAGATTTGGCTGTGGCTGGCGAGCAGTAATCCAGAGCAACAGAAGTGAGCAACAGAAGTCACACAAGTAAAAGCTGTTGATAATTAGAAGATTAGCTCTGTGCAATCTTCAGACTTGACCCTAGGTCCTGCGAACTTAATAGCAGATGCCCAGCTTCCCTCACTATTAACTGTAGGGATAAGATACTTATGACATAGTGTGCACTACTACTTCATTTCATACTTCGAAGACAGAGGTCCTGTGGCTGGGACGGGACGATATGGGAATGGGGGAGCAACTCCCATCTCTTGCAGGGGCGCAATTAGTGCCAGCACCGTCCGTTAAGAGTTTGGGTGTAATCTTCGACACCTCCCTTTCCATGGAGGTGCAGAAACTCCAGTGGGTGCAGAATGCTGCAGCGAGACTCCTTACGGGGTCTTCGCTGCGAGATCACATTCACCTGGTGCTATACCAGCTGCACTGGCTCCCGGTGGAGTACAGGATCAGGTTTAAGGTGCTGGTTTTAACCTTTAAAGCCCTATACGGCCTAGGACCCTCGTACCTACAGGACCGCCTCTCCTGGTATGCCCCACAGAGAAACTCACGGTCTTCAAATAAAAACATCTTGAAGGTCCCAGGCCACAGAGAAGTTAGGCTGGCCTCAACTAGAGCCAGGGCTTTTTCGGCCGTGGCTCCGATCTGGTGGAACACTCTGTCACAAGAGACCAGGGCCCTGCAGGACTTGACATCTTTCCACAGGGCCTGCAAGACAGAGCTGTTCCACCAGGCCTTTGGCCAGGGCACAGCCTGACTCCCTCCCTCGGCAATCTTCGCGGAGCTCTGGCCCAATGGTTGCCAGTGGCTTGAATTAATTAATTTTATAATGAATGATTTTAGAGTGTTGTTTGTGCTGTACTTTTGTACTGTTTTATTGTTGTTAGCCGCCTTGAGCCCGGCTTCAGCTGGGGAGGGTGGGATATAAATAAAAGTTATTATTATTATTATTATTATTAAATTAGGGTTAAATTAAAATGCCACACTGGTATTCCTTGTCCCAGCCAAATTTACATTGCTTGCTCTACCAGTCTAGCTCAAAAACTCTCCAGTGAACTGCAGCCTCTGGTACAAAGGTCCTTCAAGATTAGCCTTTCAAATATTCAGTATTAGTCTTTCAAATATTGACCAGAACGATGGAAAGTAGTTTAAACTTACAAGAAAAAGTAGAGGCCCCAAGAGGCACCTGCTCCCCATATGTTTGGAGTGACCCCTTGATACAAGCCACGTAAACCTTCATGCTTCCAGACGGTTGTCAGGCAATGCAGGATACCATTGTATTTCGGTCTCAGCTCCAAGCCATCACTCACTGCACAAAAAACTACGGGAGATTAGTCTGAAGAAAGCGCATTTCAGAATGAGCTAAGTGAACAACACAGTATACAAAAGTGAGGCACTGCAAGATCTTTTGAGAGTGAAAAAGTTAATTAGCTATAGCCGCTGCACTTGCTACGAATATGGGGAATCCAATGACCTATTGTTATTATTTCCATGTGGGTTGGAAATGGAATGACACACTTGAAAAGCAGACACTCTGCCCTAACTCATTTAATGGGAATATCTGAAGAGGGATTCCACGTGTGCTCTGCTGTGTGCCCTTAAAAGCCTCCTCGTTGCCAGAGTTAGATCATCCCCGGCAATTTCTATTTTAAACTACGCTAATTATTTCTATAAATTACTTGTTATGCGTATTGTACAAACTAGCACGTGCAAATCGATGCCCTCTATTGGCGGGAAACGGAGCTGCCACGTCGTGCCGGGAGGAATTGTGGGGGAGGGTCCCAGGCTATCGGGCCGGCCGATGACGTCACGGACGGTGGGGGTCGTGACCGTTGGTACGGCCGATGACGTCAGCAACAATCGGTGCGGCGCAGGAAGGAGGGCGGGAAAGACGCGGAGCGCCTCACCTGCGAAGCGGATCTTCACCAGGTCGAGCGGGTGCAGCACCAACGTGGAGATGACGCCGCCGCTCAGCCCGGCCACCAGGTTCTCGAAGTGCACGTGCCTGAACAGAGACCGCGCTGGTGGGGCCGAACTCGTCGTCGTCGTCGACGCAGACCCCGCCACGGTGCATGCTCGGCTCTGCGCGCCTGGGACGGCGGCAGCGGGATTCATGGGAAAACTCCTAGGATATATTTCGAATTAATAACAATTGCAATAAATAATAAACCCCTACGCAGACCTTAGCCGGTAACGTGAGTCGGCTGAGGTAAACTGCCCTTTGACCTGCGAGGCACTTGCCTCGTCCTATAGGGGAGCAGCAGCCGGTCCCTCCCCCTGGGCTGCTCCAATCGGACGGCCGTGCCTCTCTCGGTGGGCGGGTTTACTGCCTTAGTCCGCCCTTGCTCACGTGACCGGGGAGCTGCCGGTTCCTATTTCATCCGCCGTTAGTAGACGCTCGTGCCCACAGCGGCTCTCTCGACCCGGAAGTCGTTCCTGGCTTTGCTTGGTTTCTGCCTGGTCCATGTGGGCTGCCGGAGGGTAGCGGAGAGGACCGTTTCTTCCGCCATCGCCATCCCGACGCCCTCAGTCGCCGACGATGAAGGTGAAGGTGTTGAGCCGGAATCCGGATGATTACGTGCGGGAAACCAAGCAGGACCTTCAGCGAGGTGAGAAGGGGAGTTATTCGAAAGGGCGGCCGGGTTTGTGTTGAGCGTCGATTCTTAGGAAGCGAAGTTTGGTTCCCTTTGCGATGCCGGAGTGGCTTCCAACACCTGAAGGCAACTCCCGAGTCAGGCTGAGTTTTCCTTTTCTCTTTTTTGCATCGTGCGCCTCTTCAGGCTGGGAGAGATCTCAGAGTTGTTCTGCACATGGCATCTTCCAGAGAGTCATGGGAACTGTAGCTTGTCCAGGGTGTTGGGCCTTGTAGCGACAAACTGCGGTTCCTATTCTTTTCTTTCTTCCTTTTTCTTGGGGTGGGTTCTGTACTTTTAAAGTATGGTTAGTACATAGCTTTGCACTGTGCCCATTATCCAAAAACCACGGCCGAAATTGGGGAGGGAATGCTTTTATACGTGTGAAGTAAAATTTGGTGAAGAAAATCTATGGAGCACTGAGCACAGGGGTCTTTCCTCTCCCTCCCCTTCCTGTGAATTGGGTTGCATCTCTTTTGCAGTGATAAGGCCTGTGCCATTTGCCCTGGTTGCTGGCACAATCTGGGGCTTGTGTGACATTATGGTAAATTCTAATCTCATTGCGCAGAGCACTTGGATTATTGCAATGCATTCTGTGTGGGGCTACCCTCCAAGACTTGAAACTGCAACTAGTGATGCGGCAGCCTGATAAGTTAACCAGGACAGCTAGATGTAAACATGAAACACCAATCCTAAAAGCAGTGCACTTGACTGCTTATGTGCTACCAGGCTCAACAACATCCTGGTACTGGCCTATGAGGCCTACTCTGCAGGAGTGCCTTTTTCAGTACCAGACAATTTGATCCATAAGATCATTGCTGGGGTGCCGGGGGGGGGGGACGGACACCCTTTTCATGGACCTCTGAAGGGCCTTCTCTAGTGGCATGCTGATTTTGGAAAGCCCTCATCTTGAAGATCTGTTTGTCCCCCTCCTTGCTTTACATAAACAGTTGTCCGTTAAATACATTTTTGTCTGGTTTTCCTGAACTGAAGTTACTTTGTTTTAATACTTAAGAGCTGCAGATGATTTTTTGGTGTGTTATAATGGTTCTGAGGTTTCTGGATATTTTGTATGTTGGTTATTATGTTTTATATATGATTTATGTTTTATATGTTATTGTATATTACTCTAGGTACTCTTGGGAGGAATGGTGATTTAGAAATGTAACTAACAAAAAGAAATAAGAAATTTGCTAAAACATTGGATTTAATTCATGAACATGTTCTACATTCTCTGAGCAGTGTGGTGGTTTGCCTGATTACCAGTTTATTGAAATCTCAATTTACCACATTAAATGGATTGTGTATGTAGTGACTGATAGAAACATATTTTTAAAAAAATATATTTGAGGGCTGTTTATAAACAATGTATGTTCATTTAAACAGGATTCTCAATTTACTCAAAGCTAGTAAGGCTGATCCAAACAAAGTATGAGAACATTTTTGTTTTCCAGCATAGTGGTATCTTTTTAACTAGCTACATAAAAGGCAAAAGGAAGCTTTATGACAGTAATCTTCTCTGTTGTTTTGTATGTTCATATGATTATTTGGTTTATAGTTCCACGGAATTATGATCCTGCATTACATCCCTTTGAGGTTCCACGGGAATATACTCGGGCACTAAATGCAACAAAATTAGACCGTGTTTTTGCAAAGCCTTTTGTTGCATCATTAGATGGCCACAGGGATGGTGTTAACTGCATGGCTAAGCATCCAAACAGCTTGTCTACAGTTTTGTCTGGAGCATGTGATGGAGAGGTATGTATAATTGGATAAAAACAACAATCATAAAGTGTCAGATCATGTTTTTACTGTGGTTATTTAATTCTGCAAGAAATAGAACCTTGCATTTCAGTTATGTGTGCGCCTAGAACTGTGAGCAAGACTGCGCTCTCAGTTTTAGTGCTTAGGTGCTATGCCCTGAGAAAAGGCCTATTTAATGGAAACAAGCTACAGTATATTGGATTAAGGGTAATAATAATAATAATTAATAATAATAATAATTTATTATTTATACCCTGCCCATCTGGCTGGGTTTCCCCAGCCACTCTGGGCAGCTTCCAACTGAATATTAAAAACAATACATCATTAGACATTAAAAACTTCCCTACTTCAACTGTTGCTCTTGTTTCCTAGTGTATGTTCTCCTTCCCTCTTGAGACAAGGTATTTGGGGAGAAGAGTAGGAAGGAAGCCTGTGACTTCAGGAAGTAATAATCCAGTCATAGCATGAGAGATTGGATAACAGTAACTCGATTGGTTTCAGTTGGTGTTGCCTGTGGATATAGCCATGGAAGGTGCCTAGTCCTGCAATCCTATATACAGGTACTAGGAAGTAAATCCCACTGACCTCCATTGGGACCTGTTCAAAAGCTAAATTATAACATTGTCTTAAAAATTGAACCACCAATTAAAAGCTACCAGTTTAACACAAGTCATTCAAAGCTCCTCTGGCAAAATTCTCTGTTTTATTTGTCTGGTTTCTATCCACAATTTTTTAACAATAATATTTTTATTGATTTTCACAATTAAACATTATCATCACACAAGTATAAAAAGAGAAAATAAACCAAAAAAGAAGATAATGAAAAAGAAAAAAATTCACACCATAATAAATTCATATTTTAGGATTACTTAGATCCCTCGACTTCCCCCCACTCCCTTCCCTGGTTCTCTTGTATTCTCTTTATTTATGCATGTCAGTAATCCACAATTGAGCAGCTTCCTGTATTTTGCTGCCTGAAATATTGAAATAATGTTATAGTAGGATCACCAATTTTACTTATTCGATCTGATCTTAATGCAATTTGCCAACAAATAAGAAGAAAGGGGGCTGGAAACCCTTGCTTACTGGGCGCTGGATGCTCTCGCGAGATCATATGGAATCATCCAAGATCTCATGGAGTCAAGATCTCCAGAGTCCTCATGTGACTGTCCCAGAGCCCAGCAAGCAAGGTGGAGGGCTTAAAAGCTATTTCCGTAAAGGGTTTACTGGGCTCTGGAGACTCCCTCAATATATTGTGGGGCCATCTGAGATGTTGGGTGGCTGGGGCTGTTCTCGGGCTCATTCTGACTTTGTATGATTTTACCTTTACATGCAACCCCCAGAAATACAAACTTCACATAAGTTGTGATCACACTGTCCTGATCTCTAGATTTCAAAAGGGCATCGCACCGTTTTGTAATATTGTTCCAAAAAACAGTTTTAATGCTGAATTGTTCAATAACAACATGCTGCTGTTTGTTTCCAATAGGTTAGAATTTGGAACTTGATGAAGCGTGAATGCACCCGTACATTGCTGGCACATGAGGGCTTTGTGAGAGGAATGTGTACCCGTTTCTGTGGTACATCTTTCTTCACTGTAAGTATAATATTGGCAATTATGGAGAAATATTAAAGTGCTTGGTATACTTCTTTTTCTTTGTTACTTTCCCCCCATTCTGTTTTCTAAATAATAGAATCAAGTACTTTTTTTTATAACTCTCGCTTACTACTGCAGCAGCTTATTTTTTATCTAGTTCAGGGGCAGGGAATCTCAGGCTTGGGGCAGTGGGTCAAATGCAGCCGTCCAGCCCTCTTTCACTGGCCCTTGGGTCTCTCCCCACTCTCCTGAAGTGCTTTGGCCTGGCTGAAATCTCCTTGAACTGCAATAATGCTTTTGCTTGTCTGGAGGTAGAAGTGTTTTCGTAGAAACCTCTTGACTTTTATGTGAGTGGAATGCAACCTCTTATACAAAGGTGAGAGTTATTTTGCGCATTTTTGCCTCTGACTTTACCCAAAAAGTTGAGCATGAGGGAATGTGATCCTGCAGACAGAAGAAGGTTTCCCACCTCTTTAGGTTTTACTCTTCCATACTAATGCTACTTTCTTGGAGCATAAAGCAAGCCCAGGGGTAAGCCAATCCTCCAAACCACTCCTGCTATTTCAGAAATTTGCTGCTTTCTTTGAGTTTGAAGAGCAGGCACAATGTTCAAACAAATGTGTTCTCTGTTCGAAAAAACTATAGATTTACATATCCTCTTATTTAAATATCCTCTGTCACTATTGTAAGTCCAGTCACTCGGTACAAGTAATTCTTTTGCCTCTAGCAAACAGTTCAATAAAGTAATGGAGTCCTTGCAGTGTACTTCAGCATAATTAAATACAATCCCTCTTTAGTACAAACACGTATCTGTTGATGACTATTGTGAGACTTAAAATATTTTTATGGGTATTTTTAAATACCTGTTGTGCAGCCTAATCCAACTTGTATTTAGACAAAAGTAAGTCCCATGGAGTACTTGCATTGGATTTGAGTCTTGGGATAGATGTGCGGGAATATTTGCAACACTGTTAGAGCTAATAACTCTTCATCATTTACTTTTCACAATTTGCAGTGTTCACTATGTTATTCACAGAAATACAGTTGCTTTCATAGCCCTTTTCCATAGAACTTTAAAAATGTTTAGGCATGCAGCTGGAAGGACAATAGATTTGTCACTCACAATCAGTGAGTGAGGTCCCAAATAAGGAGAACTGGCAGTTAAAAATGATGAAATATGCAGAGTTAGCAGGTCTAACAAGTAAACATAGCTGTCAACTTTTCCCTTTTCTTGCGAGGAATCCTATTCAGAATAAGCGAACTTCCCTTAAAAAAAGGGAAACATTGACAGCTAGGCAAGTAAAATAAGAGAACAAGAATATCAAGTATATAAAGAGGAATGGAAAAATTTTGTGGCGTATTTGGATACAACTGTAAACATGTGCAAACATTAGTAGGATTAAGGTAAATTCAACAATATAACACATAACAAAGGAATAATAAAGAAATAAGGGAGCTAAATGGATATACAAGAATAGGTGGGGTGGGAAAATTAAAGGAACGAGGGAAGGGGAAGTTGTAAATGACTGGGGTGTGGGTGTGTGGGTGTATCTATAGCTATATCTATATGTGAGAATTTTGTCATTCAATCTGAAAGAAATGCAATCTGGCACCACAGTTATAATCATCATCATCATCACTTTTAATTTGTATACCTTCTTTCTATTTTACAATACCCAAGGTGGTTTGCAGGTTGAAGAAACAAAGAATGTACACCTTATAACAATCTAATCCAAGACAAAAATGTGATAATAAAACATAACTTGAAAATAAGCAACCTATATCAAATAAAGTAATATTCAACAATCCATTAGAATAGTATAGAATAATATTAAATATCACATATAAAAATTAAACAGAAATCCACTCTTAACAATTATAATAAATAATTTCTGAACTATAATCAATAAAACAATGGCAAATCACAGTGCATAAAATAATACAATACAAACTGAGAAGCAGAGACTGAAGGGTGGGGCAAGGCAGGTGGAAGAAGGCCTTGCCTGATGAAGTCTCTCCCCTCACAGTTCTTCCTCCAAGAAGTAAATTTAAGATTGACTATGCACACTTGTTACTTTCACATAAACGTCAGAAGGACTGAATTGTAACTCTCTTACTTAGAATACAATGTTTTCTCCAAAATCATTAGGTTGGTGATGATAAAACAGTGAAGCACTGGAAAATGGAGGCACCAGCTTATGGGGAAGCAGAAGAACCACTAAATACGATTCTTGGAAAGGTATTACTTTATTCATTGTCTTGTTTTGCTCTCCTTTTCCTTCTATGTTTAAAGATTCAGATGAAGTTATTGTTTTACTTGAATACGAGCAGAAAACTATTGACCTTGGATCTGTAGTGTCAAAGATAATGTAGGTGTCACTGAATGCAGTTATCGGACAATATTCCCATAAGCTGAGTGCCCTTGCAATGCTGGTACAAAGCCTCTGTATGAGTTAGTTTATTTATTAGATTTTTATACTGGCCTTCAACAAAAATGGTCATGGGTTGTTTTACAAAAAAAGAGAAAAGAAGCATAATGCACCTTAACCAAAATCATTAAAATAATTATCATAAAGTACATAATTGGCATAAAATACCATAAATGTGAGTTAACCCGTCAGCCACTAAAAATTCAGCAGGAAGATGGGTTTTTAACCCAATATCTGGAAGAATACTAAGGGTGAGATTTAGGCACGGAAAGACCACTGAAAAGGCTGCAGGAAGAATCAGGTTGTAATTTCCTGCCATACCTCTTGAGTATTTGTGTCCTGGGGCAGTAAGTTGTAGAATTCAGCTGCATATATTCATGCTAGTGATAATTATCCCCATTTTCTTAAAGTTCAGCAAATAGGTGTGATATTTCCATAATAAAATTTTCTGGATAGTGGATTAAGCTACCATTTAGCTTTTAAAAAATAGGTCCACTCAAGTATAGTGACTTGCTATGCTGTTGCCTCTTGTGGGATTGTATTTGAAAATGTGATAAAAAAAGGTTGCAACTTTTGAAGTACTTGTAGAGCTGTACCCATGGTTAACTGTAATTTTTTAAAAAATAGCTATACTGTACTGTTCTTCCTAACCAAAGTTACTGGAAATGACTAGCAAAATGTCTGAATAAGTAAAACAGACAATTGAGACCTCAAGGGTCCCTCATGAGATTGGGTTTCCTTATCGAGATTGCTGCTGTCTCTTGTACCTGCTGGCACTAGATGCAAGAGGGTGATGAGGCAAGGGTGTTTACAAGCCTCCACCCTGACTTCAGATGTTCCAGCTGCTATTCCGCTGCTGAATTTCTGGGTCACAGGAGGTTTCAGAAAAAATAAATCCTGCTCAGCAATGGTTGCTGAAGCAGGACTCCCTTTCTCTTACTGTTTTAGATGTCTCTTGCGGTTCCTGGCATTGACACTAAGCACAAAACCCTCCGAGTATAAAACAGCAATTCATTGTTGGTACTGTTTTTTATATTTGCATTTTAAAGACTGTGTACACTGGAATTGATCACCATTGGAAGGATCCTGTTTTTGCTACTTGTGGTCATCAAGTTGATATCTGGGATGAACAGAGAACCAGTCCTTTATGCTCTTTGACGTGGGGAGTCGATAGCATAAGCAGTGTCAAATTCAATCCAATTGAGGTAACATTAATATATATTCCACTGTAAGTACTGTCACTAAATGTTTTAGTACCAGCAACATAGTCAGTGTCGCTGTATAAAATGCAGTTGTATATCCGTTCAGAGGAGTTGGAGGATAACTTGGGTAGATAAAGGTAAAGGAAGATAATGAGTGAGGAGGGTGAAAAGACGCATAAATCACAGGCGACGGCAGACCTTCTTGTCTGTACTTTTTGCAAGTAGATTTTGAGGAAGGATTTTGGAAAGGGAGAAATGGCTTGATGGGCAGTGAGCAGGTGGGGGTAGATGTTCACAGAAAAGGCAGCTGCAAAGGGAGCAGAACAGAGTCTTGGGTGAAAAGGTAGAGATGTTTAAAACTAAAAGTATTAGATTTCCCAATTGTAAAGTAAGATGGGGTCATTAACCCTAAAAAGAGCATCTGTTAACTATACATATCCAAGGATTGCACTCATTGCATACACTGAGCAGTTTTAAGAGATCCCCTGTCATTCCTTCCACCCACTCAGACTACTTTTAGATTCTCCTAGGTTTTAAAATCAGTTTAAAAGCATGAGATCTGGGAAATGTCTTGAGCTTTATCCCCTCCACATTATCTTCTTTTTTAGCAACAGTAGATTAAATAAGATAGCTTATGTACTGCCGCTGAAAATTACACTGTTTAAAAGATAGGGCTGCTGGTTTAAATAAGTCCTGTATATATTATACCTTTTTCAGTTAGCACTTAACAATTTTGTTTAAGTTTTTTTTTTTTTTTTTTGCTTGAAGATATTTACATGATATGCAACTAATTTTTCAGATGTACCTTTTGGGAAGCTGTGCTTCGGACAGGAATATTGTGCTATATGACATGAGACAATCAACGGCATTGAAGAAGGTAATGCATAATCTTTAAGATCCTGTGACTGAAGTGTCTGTATGAATTCCCTGCACACGCCTTTTCATTTTGGAAGGGAAGTTATCTATTAAGTTCCACTGCTAAGGAGCTCCATAATTTTCATAGTTCTCGGTTGGGTGCAAGATTCTTTTAACATAGAATTCTTTGTCATGTAGCAGATAGAAAACGTAGCTTTTCTGAGATCACTTTAGGCCAGCATTGAGAAGCCTTTGCCCACAAGGCTGTTTCCCCCCACATCACACCCAAATAAGGTGTGCAAATAAGGCAGATAAATATTTGACTACAAAGGAACAGTTGGCAGACTTGAAATGTGCTCCCAAATGTTTTTTGGGCAGCGGAGATTTCCTTTGGATAAACAGGACTTTTCTAGCTGGAGAAATGGGTCTTTACCACAAGTCTCCACTTGCTAGGGATTTAGTCTTGTTTTTAAAAGTATTTGTTGTTTTTGTGTTTTTAAGTGTTTTAAATTTTATGTAAATTGCCTTGAGGTGGTGGTTTAAAAGGTGATTCATAATTTAATGATAGTGCAAATAATAATAATAATAATAATAATGTGTGCATTTTATATTTGACACTGGAATTGGTTCCACTGGGGAGCTCCCACGCACAACCAATCCCTGCAGAAAGCAGGGCTTGCAGTCATTGCTGATCAACTGATCTGTACTGACGGCAACCCCTACAGTGTTTGGCTGCGCTCCAGAGCTGCCTATTGGGAAGCTCCGACTGCATCTTATCCCTGTTGAAAGCAGAGGATCAACTAAAGGGATCTTTCATAGTAAGCTGGCCTGAGTTCAAGCTGGTCTACTTTCAACGGATGTCAGGTGATGCATGGGTGAGCAACTGCCTATTAAAAGTGCCCTGTGCAGGGGCGGGGTAGGGGAACACCTGTTGGGCTGTATCCAGTTCCCCACCCCTGCTTTAGACTACTGTAGGGAGATAGTGGAGGTATGAAGAATGCTTTGAACACAATACCTACCCTTGGAACTCTTTGCCTGTTGAGATCAAGCGGGCACCTTCACTGCACTCTTTTCGACGCCTGCTAAATACATTCTTGTTTAGACAAGCCTACCCAGAAGCTTAGAAAGTTGAGGTCATTATAATCTGTTTTAGTATCATAACTTCTGTATTTTTTTAAAAAAAGTTTTTCAGTATTGCTGTATATGTTTTTTGATTTTATTGTTTTACCTTTTTATACACCACTTTGAGGTTTTTATAATTCAAGTTTGGGGGGGCTGTACACACATTAAAATAGTGCAGATTTGGAAAAGGACAGTACCATGGGCACCTCTCCATACACTTATGTGTCACACTTCCTTATACTAATTTCTGTTTCTCTTAGGTTGTGAGTCAGCAAGCTGGAGTCTGACTTTTTTTTTAACCTGTGTAAAATACTTAGGCTCCCTTTTTCCGAAATGTCATTACTGTGGAAATGGAACATTTCAATAAACAACATTGTCTGTGGATTAGAATAGATCATACAACACAACTGAAATTTTGTTTGTGTGGTTCAGTTCGTGGTGTGGTTTGTTCAGTTATTTGGTAAATAAATGGTACAAGATCATGCTATGCAAATAGTTTCCCCACCGAAAAGGAGATATTCGAAGCCTCTTCAAGGTTCAGTAAAGGTGAAAGGTATTCACTGACTGAGGATAACAAACTTCCTTCTTTGGCTTACAGTATCTCCCAGCTGTCGCTACCATTGCCTTTTAGAGTGGGACTGTACAGCATATGGACTGCTAAAGATTTTTTCAACTAATCAGCCTTCTGCCAAGTAGGGGTCTGGCTAGAGTAAGTTGTCAGTTTCATCCCTTCAGCAGAGGATCAGGGCAGTCTCTTTTCATTGCCATCTGGCTTCTTTTCAAGCCTTGTTCAGAGTTTCTGATCAGCAAAGCAAATTACTACCAGTATGTTCCAGGGTCTGCATTTAAACCAATTAACATAATTTCACAATATCTACCCTCTATACAAGTCTGCCCCAAGTAAAAGAGGAGTGTCCAAGCCTGTAGTTTTCATTGGTGAACTACATGTACATTTCATTGGTGAACTATTACCTCAGTAAAGGAATTGTCATCATATGAGAAAAAATTATTGTGCATTATAGTTCTCCTGATAGCTGTAGAAGCCTAGGTGAGTTTGAGATCATGGGACCTGTATTTTTTTTAGTAGTCCTGGCTTTTGTGAACAAGAATCCATTGAACAAATACACTTGATGATATCTTGTCATGAGTACCTTATTTTGAATCTGCAGTTCTTGGGCTGCATCCTGAGTAGTTTTTTGTTTTGTTTTTTTTACTTGTCAGTTTCTTTACATACGCTTTGTTTTTGGGAAATTCTTGATGCTGACACCAGCATATTCTACACCTTGCACAGGCATGTTGGGAACTTGTGGAACTTGTACCAGTTGTTAATACATCTGTATAACTTCTAGTGGTTATCTGAAAAATGTTTGAAAAATATTTAAATTTTCTCAGGTTATCTTGGATATGAGAACAAATACGCTTTGCTGGAATCCCATGGAAGCTTTCATTTTCACTGCTGCAAATGAGGACTTCAAGTAAGAATTATTGTTGCCTGCCTTGCTCTCTATTTAGACTTCTGTAGTTATTCAGAACATTTGTAATTTTAAGTTTTGACTTCTGCTTTGTGTAAGGATATGATTTTTATAGAAGTTACAAGGAGGCTGTTGGATTTTAACTTTTATCTGGAATCGAAAGAGCTACTTATTTAAATTGTTTTTACTTGTTGGTTTTTCCATCTGTGTGGACCTTCAAGATGTCCAATATATGATAATCAATTTGGCAATTCCTTCAGGAAACCTCGGAGGAGGACAATGGAAAAGAAAGCAAAGCAGAAACAAACAATGCCTGGATGAAATACTGGGCTCATAGATAAGGAGGGGGTTCAATAGATCATTGCACGTGTATCAAGTTGAAGCTCACTCAGAGCAGAATTGGCCTCTAAGGGTAAAATGTACTCCTGGAGTCCAATGGGCACCTGCCATGCTTGCTTTGTAATTTACCGTATTTTTTGCTCTATAAGACTCACTTTTTCCCTCCTAAAAAGTAAGGGGAATGTGTGCGCGTCTTATGGAGCGAATGCAGGCTGCGCAACTATTCCAGAAGCCAGAACAGCAAGAGGGGTTGCTGCTTTCACTGCGCAGAGATCCCTCTTGCTGTTCTGGCTTCTGAGATTCAGAATATTTTTTTTTCTTGTTTTCCTCCTCCAAAAACTAGGTGCGTCTTGTGGTCTGGTGCGTCTTATAGAGCGAAAAATATGGTATTTTTTCAGAGGAGTGTACAAGAAAAAATAGAAAAATAGAAAAACTACTCCAATGCTTTTAAATTCCTTTATTATGACACTTCATAATACAGTCATACTTCATGTTACGTCTGCTTCATGTTACGTTCTTTCAGGTTATGTCCCGCCGCAACCTGGAAGTACCGGAAATGGTTACTTCCGGGTTTCACCACTCACGCATGTGCAGATGCGCAAAAGCGGCGAATTGCAACCCGCGTGTACGCAGACATGCCGCTGCGGGTTGTGTTCATGTTGCGAACGGGCCTCCGAAATGAATCCCGTTCACAACCAGTGGTACCACTGTACAAACAAAATGCTCTATCAAAGTCAGATATGTGGGTACAAAGATTTTGAAAATACATTTGATTATGCTAGTATTCAGCCCCTGGAAATGAAGCTTTACCTGAGCAATTGAACATAATGGAATTAAGTGTAAAGTGTTAACTTCCTTTCTCTTGCAGCTTATATACTTTTGATATGCGATATCTTGACAAGCCTGTAGTGGTTCATATGGATCATGTGTCTGCAGTCCTTGATGTGGATTACTCTCCTACTGGGAAAGAATTTGTGTCTGCCAGCTTTGATAAATCTATTCGCATTTTTCCAGTAGACAAAGGTCATAGCAGGTCAGTGATTTTACAAATAGGCTTCTCTTGGGACCCCCTCCTCCTTTCCCACCATTCTTAATGCTCTCATAAACTTATTTAATGTGTTTATTATCTTGAGAAAGGATATATCCTCCTACCAGTAGTTGTTTGTTGCTTGCACTGAAAAAGTAATAATTCACAGCTGTTGAATTTCCAGTTGAATTGTCCAGTATTTCAGTACTTCCTATTCGTTAGAATGTATATTGAATTTGCAAACCAAAATTGATTGGGTTCTAAATCCTACCTTAGACTAGCCTAATGACGGGCTCACTCAGTGGGATTTTTGCTTTTGCAAATCCACTCTTTCAAGAGTCTTGTGTCATGTATAACGGTGAGCTGCTCAAGAAACAAGTCACTTTTCTCTGCGTGGAGTGACCTTATTTCTTATGCTATCTGTCAGATTCTCCTGTGGGGCTGGGAGAGGTCAACATCTGACCCACTGGCAGGATCCACTTCCCTACCCCTACTTATATAAAGTAGCTCTGTTTTCCTTCAGAATAGAGCTTTGCTTCTCAGGAGTTCAAGATATTATAAAAATACATAATTAAAGGAAACAGTTACAGTATTGACAGACTGTGTTGAGACACAGTAAAGTCATTCAAACTCAGAAAATAATGTGTATGTGTATTAGTTGACTTCCAGGATCCACATAACCTAATGATATCTTTTTTAAAAACATGAGTTTTGCATAGAAGTAATATTTTACTTATCAAAGGCACATTGCTGAACTTATTTGTCTAATCCAGGAGGCCTCTTTCACAGTCCCAAGGGCTCATAAGCCATGGCATATTTGTGTTCCTAATTAAGCCCGGAATGTGAAACTTGAGAAGACAGAAGAAATAAGAGATACTCTGTTTATTAAGTTCATTAAAAGCCCTTGGCAAATGAACCAGATGTTTGTGTGATTAAATGAAAGAATCAAGTTATTCACCCATATGCTATTGTATTGCTCTTGTCCTCAGAAGAGTGATTTTTCAAAACCTGTGACAAGCAAAAGGCACAAATAAAATATTTTTTAAAAAAGAAAGGGTTAGGTGAAAGAAGCATCTGAAATTGCATACAATTATTTTCTTCCAGAGATCAATAAGGAGAGTAGAGGGCACCAATAAAGTGGTGTACTTTATTGGTAAATACTCTGTATAAAATAAAGTACTCTGTTTTATCAGAATGTCATGACTGCTGTTAAATATGTCATGAAGTTAATGATCTAACATGTTAAGGAGTGATTGGACCATTCTTTTAAAAACTAATAATTTGAGCAAAGGGGAGACTTCCTCTTTAGTTACTCTCTTTTGTCTACATAATATATGAAAAACAGTTAATCTCAATAAATTGAATTTGTTGGTTGTTATCATACTATAACCTTATTTTATATGTGCACAGCCCAAGACTCATGGGGCTCTGGCTTGGTTGTGAGGTCCTCCTGAACTCCTAAACTCATATATAAGCGTGCACATATGAACATACTTCTTTTCAGGCAAACCTCACTGAAAATATTGGGTGAGATTCAGTATAGCAGAAGAGGGTATCCACTACAACCCCCTGTGCACCCCCAAAATCTGCTCTGGTGCTTTGGGAGACTCCTCTTGGGCAGTTTTTTGGGGCATGCAGGGACTGGAAGGGGAGAAGAGAAACCACAAGTCCAATTACACAAGCAGATTTCCATCAACTAGAGGATGAATATTGTTTGATGTTGCCCACTGTTTATAGTTGAAACTATAAGCACCAATTAAAATTATATAACACTATATGATATCAATCTGTATAATAAAATGGCCAAGACATACTTCAAAACTGCATCTCCCTTCACCTCAGAGCAAGATTGTTTTTTTAGTAGCCCTGTGGTGGCAGTGAATAATAAAATAAAGCTATGAATATGTATTCATGATTGTAATGTGCTTTGGTTGCATTCCGATCTTAATTGAAAACAAATTAGACTACTGGGGACATAAGCAAAGTCTCCATGTAAGTAGTAATTATCATCTATAGCTGTTCTATGTGTTATGTATTTATTTTTAAACAGTAGACTTGAATGAAGAAAAAATATAGGTTACAATAAATAATATAACCAAATGAAAATAATTGTAAATTGTACATAGTTGTTAAATAATTACAAGATGGGTACTCTGCGCCTTTGTAAATATTTTAGAGTATAATTTAAATCAGAACGGAGTACTTGCTCTAATTTAAGGCGTTATATCGAAGAGTGAAACTCATTTTGCGTAACATTGCTTTTGCAGCTCCTTTTTTCTCTCCCACAAAAAGCTATTCCTGTGGATTGAGGGACCCTTTGGAATAATGTTGCTGCTGCTTGTTGTTGTTAATTATTATTATTATATTATTATTATTATTATTATTAGATGACGATGATGATGATGATTATTATTATTGAATTGTCTTACACACGTTTCAAGCCAATGTGCAAGATACAAGAAAGGAACTATTAAAAAACCCCAGTTAAAACCAAAAGAGAAAACACCAGCAGATATATATTTTAAAAATACAAATCAGTTACCTTAGCAGGGACACATTCATCCAGCTTGGAATGCCTGTTGGAGAAAAAATGTTCACAGTATCATCTAGGTTTCATCAAGATAGGCTCTGCTGAGTTTTATCTTTGCTGCCACAAGCCAAACTGGTCATGTGACTTTCAATGACATATGTTTCAGGGTTTTTTTGCACTTAAGCAGAACTACAACCAAGCAGGTGTTGACTGAGTTTCTGACTGAATGTCAAAAGCTGATCTATATAACAGCTTCAATGCCTGGTATTGCCAACTGCACACCTAGTTAATGGAAGCTTAGCTGATAGTTACCCCCCCCCAAAAAAAAATCAGTTTGGTCTTCCATGTGCTCAGAGTCATGAGAACAGGCTAGAAGTTGTTATTATTAGCACAGAGGTGATTCACACGACCACTGTTTATCTCATCTGTGTATTCTGGTAACAGACATCTTCCTTGAGGTGTTGGGTAAGGGCCCCAGAGATACCGTATTTTTCGCTCTGTAGGACGCACTTTTTCCCCTCCAAAAATTAAGGGGAAATGTGTGTGCGTCCTATAGAGCAAATGCAGGCTGCGCGGCTAAGCCCAAAGCCAGAACAGGGAGACGGAGCGCTGCACAGCGCTCCGTCTTGATGTTCTAGCTTGGGGTTGCCGTATTTTTCGCTCCATTGGACGCACCGGACCATAGGACGCACCGGATCATAGGAGGGGGAGAACAGGGAAAAAGATTTTTTTTCTTGTTCTCCCCCTCCAAAACAAGGTGCGTTCAAGGTACATTCACCAGAGCTTTGGGGCTGGCGGTGGGGAAGCGCTGCTTCCCCACCGCCAGCCTCAAAGATCCCTGAAGCCTTTGGAGCGCAGCGCCCGCTGCCCTGCAGAGGTTTGCGCGCAGCCGTCCCCAAGCTAGAGCAGCGAGTCGGAGCCCTCCCTCTCGCTGTTCTGGCTTGGGAACAGCCTTTCTAGCTTCTGCTGGGCATCGGGTTGAATGCTCCCCGCTGCCCTGCAGAGGTTTGCGCGCAGCCCTCCCCAAGCTAGAGCAGACAGTCCTGCAGAAGCTAGCAAGGCTGTTCCTAAGCCAGAACAGCGAGGTGGAGGGCTCCGTCTCGCTGCTCTAGCTTGGGGAGGGCTGCGCGCAAACCTCTGCAGGGCAGCGGGGTGCCTTCACCCCGCTGTCCTGCAGAAGCTAGCAGGCTGTTCCTAAGCCAGAACAGCAAGATGGAGGGCTCCGTCTCGCTGCTCTAGCTTGGGGAGGGCTGCGCGCAAACCTCTGCAGGGCAGCGGGGTGCCTTCACCCCGCTGTCCTGCAGAAGCTAGCAAGGCTGTTCCCAAGCCAGAACAGCGAAACGGAGCGCTCCGCAGTGCTCCGTCTTCCTGTTCTGGCTTTGGGCTTAGCGGCGCAGCCTGCATTCGCTCTATAGGACGCACACACATTTCCCCTTAGTTTTTGGAGGGGGAAATGTGCGTCCTATAGAACGAAAAATACGGTAGCTGCGCAAAGCCTCCCCAGGGCAGCAGGGTGCCTTCACCCCGCTGTCCTGCAGAAGCTAGCAAGGCTGTTCCCAAGCCAGAACAGCAAGATGGAGGGCTCCGTCTCGCTGCTCTAGCTTGGGGAGGGCTGCGCGCAAACCTCTGCAGGGCAGCGGGGTGCCTTCACCCCGCTGTCCTGCAGAAGCTAGCAAGGCTGTTCCCAAGCCAGAACAGCGAGACGGAGCGCTCCGCAGTGCTCCGTCTTCCTGTTCTGGCTTTGGGCTTAGCGGCGCAGCCTGCATTCGCTCTATAGGACGCACACACATTTCCCCTTAGTTTTTGGAGGGGGAAATGTGCGTCCTATAGAACGAAAAATACGGTAGCTGCGCAAAGCCTCCCCAGGGCAGCAGGGTGCCTTCACCCCGCTGTCCTGCGGAGGCTACGAAGGCTGTACGAAGGTGGGGGGAAGGCTGCAACGCCAGCCCCGCAAGCTCGGGGGGCAGCGGGAAGGTGCGTGACGCCTTCGCGCTGCTCCCCGACCTGGTCTTTGGGGCTGGCGGTGGGGGAAAGCAGCGCTTCCCCTTGCCAGCCCCAAAGAGCAGGTCAAAAGGAACCCAAAGCCTTCAGAGCCCAACAGGAACTCCTGATGGGCTCCGGAGGCTTCGGATGAATGCACAGAACGCACCTTGTTTTAGAGGGGGAGAACAAGAAAAAAAATATTTTTTTCCTGTTCTCCCCCTCCTATGGTCCGGTGTGTGCAATAGAGCGAAAAATATGGTAATTATTTTTGAGTCTTTTGTATGCAGTTAGTAGTTTCTGAGGATTTAGGTGGTGCTACATATTGTTTAATTTGTCTGCAATACACGTTGTATACCTTAAAAATAAACTTATTGGTCCCTTTTATGAATAAAAAAAAAACACTTTCCAGTGTTGAAAGGAAAATGCATGATGAAAGAAAACATCAGTATAAATGTTCCAATTTAATAGGTGTTCTTGTTTGTTTGTTTGTTTGTTTGTTTGTTTGTTTGTTTTAGAGAAGTCTATCATACAAAGCGAATGCAGCATGTCATTACTGTTAAATGGACATCTGACAACAAATATATCTTGTGTGGCTCTGATGAAATGAACATTCGTTTGTGGAAAGCTAATGCTTCTGAAAAACTTGGTGTGGTAAGTAAATTCAAATTATATTTTAAAAAGTGAATTAAGGTGACAAAATTATATTTATGTATTTAAAATGTTGATCTCTCATTTGGCTTAGTTGTATGCATGATAATCTTTCATTGCAACTAGCATGCCTTGAGTTTGCTCACATATTATGTTTACCATATATTATGGTATATATTTCTATCAATTTAATATAACTGTTCAGTGGCTCAGTTCACACGTACAGCTAAGAGCAAACCATGTGTTAGCATGAGGCTGTGGGTTCTCAGAGAGGTTATTGCTGCCACTGCAGTCCTCCCCCATTTCCACGGCAGTACCTGGGGCTCCGGCTCTTTGTTTTCTCCAGATTGTCTCCTCCAGATTTGTTGGGAGCGAGACAAATGATAAACCTGAGTTTTTTATGACACATTAAATCAGACTGGTTTAGCACTGGCTAATGCAGCAGTAGGACTGGGGGAGGAGCGCAGAAGTAGCTGTTTGGCTAAATGCTCCTCAAGAGAGTAGAGTTGATCATTCAGCTCCATGCTCATGTGATACTGCCAAAGATTAAGCTTCTGAAGAAAAAAAATGCAATAATATTTAATGCATAGGAAGTTTCCTGCAGGCTAAACCTTTTTTTTTCTTTAAAGAAACCAATATGAATAAGAGGAGCTTCTCCATCATTGCAGAATTCTCCTCTGTCAGAGATGCACTGCACAATTTCACTTGACGTTTGGCTTAGACCTAAATACACTGCTTAGGTTGTGGCTTTCATAGTTGATGAGTGTTTATTTGACTGGTAGTTGTACTTTGACACTGAGGCTGCTCAAGTATTCATCATTTCTGACATTCATGTTTCCTTTGCTTCATTAATGTATTTGGCGTTGCACTCATTACGTAAAATCAGTGGAACACTCTAGCAAGAACAGCATCTCTGCAGGAGCCAGAGGCGCTTACCCTGTCTACACTCCACTGACGATTAAGCCTATGATATTCTGGGTAACTGTGGTGGAGATAAATGACATCTAGTTGTTACAGCTGCAGGAGAGTGTTCTTTAAAAAGGACTGTGCTGCTTTCCAAAATAGAAACTTTACATTTCTGCATCTATGTAATGCAGACTTTGTGAAAGCAAGTCTGCTTTTACATTGCAAAAGTTGTACGCGATTGAATAAGTTACATGAGATGGGCATTTTAAATATCTAATGGGGTGCACCTGATACAATTTAGACACGCTGCACGTTAATCTTGGGTATCTTCTTCACAAAGAGAAAGCTACAGTTGTGGTCATGATAATGTAAATGAACTAGTAATTACGAGTATTTACTCATTGTAATGTTTTGTAGAACTCTCTTGGATTGTATAACAATTAGTATGGGGTTTAGTAACTCAACGAGCTTTTATAGCCCAGTCCTTTTGAGCTTCTGTCTGAAGTAGTAGCATATAAGCACAAATATAATATTCGAAGTGCTAGTGTGAGGCCTCTGCTTCTGTCTTTGCTATATAATAACAGGAATCATCTTTAATCTTGGATCATAGTCTCACCCTTAAGCCCAGGACAGCCCTCAAAGCTGATGCTTTGGAGGAATTTACTTTGGCCTGTTTGTGCTAACAAGAGCAAGTTGTCAATATGCATTGAACTGAGGTCAGCGAAGTGATGATACAGTTGTGCATTTGCTTTTAAAAAGAGAGATATTGAGATTTCTGTTCTAGGTGTTTATAACATGATGGGGCTATGAACATAATGTGAATATCAGGTGCAGTTCATGCCTAATCCCGAGACATGCCCCTGGCTTCTGCTCTACTGCCATTTTGTGAAAATTCATGCTATATTTTATATTATACTGACCTTAGTATGAATGCCCCTCATCATGGATGTTACCCTGTCACTTTTCCTCCTATTCCAAGCTCCCTTCCCTCTCCTCCCCTTCCTGATTTTGCACACATTCACCTACGCAGTAATTCAGGAGTGCTGTGCATATAAACTCACAATATTGTTTTTGTCTGCAGAAGGAGCAGGGTTCTATCAGCAACCATTTTTTAAAGTAATTGCCTTTAATTAAAATGAAAGCCTTTTAATTTGGATTGCATTGACAATTTGCACTGCAGGAATGCCTGGAATGTATTGCTGACTAAACAAACTATTATGGGATGTCTTGAGATAATGACCAAGGAAAAATATCGCATGTAATTTGTAAAGGATTACTGTATTTCATTCCTGTAAATGTCTGCTAACATTGATTCAATTCAATATCTTATATTTGAGAGCTAAGACAACTCCAGCTGGACATTTGTATCAAATGTTTTCCTCTAGAGCCCCAAAAGATGACTTTCTTTATTCGTGTATGTTGGTGAAATCATTAGGGGTTTGGCATCGAGATGCTTAGGTTTTGACTCTATAGGTGAACAACCCCCCTCCCATTAATTCATTAGACCTTTTTATAGATATAGAAGGAAAAAAATTAAGGTGTCCAGGAAGAGAGGCTAATTGAAACCGTCCTACTCAATTAATAAAATAAGCTATACCTAACTAAGCAGCTGAGTAGAATGGGCTTCTGCTTCCTTGATTCCAGCAAAAAAATATTCCTACTCTAAAACACTGGAGTGATTAAATTCTGCGTAGATTGCCGGTAAAGTGATAACAAATAGGCAGCCATTTTATAAAGTATGGCAAACTTAAATAATAAATATGTACATTCTTGCATCAACTTCAGGTGCAAGTATTTATCCATTTGCGATTGGATCTAAAGGTGACCTTCATAGATGGACTTTGATCCAGTTGTGGTACTTGCTAACAAAATTGGGCAGAATGTGACTTCTAGTTATTTCCCCTGCAGCTTTCTATCCACATCATCTCCCACACTGAAGAGGGTTCTTCAACCCTCTGGGGCAAAATTTCAGGCGGAAGCAGGGATCTGTAAAAGTCACCTCTTCTCCCCACTCCTTCCATTAGTGGGTGCTGTGAGTGGAACTCTCCTCACAGGGTTATTGGAGACCTAAGATGCCTGATGAAAAATCCAAGGAAAAAAATGGGTCATGTTAATGCTTGTGTTGGACTGAGCAACTTGGAGATGGTAGCTAGTATATAAGTAAGATGTGTTCCCAGAATGGTTTTAGTTAGCACTTTTAAGCAGACTTACTTGAAAACAAGTTCTACTAGTTCTTGGTTTTTCTGAGCGTCCAATAAGCTTTGACTACATTTTTGCCCATTTCTGTTCCACTGCTATTGGAACGAACTATTTATTTATTGAATTTCTATACCGCCTTTTTGCCTAGGCACACCAGGAGTTTTACAGTTACACAGTTTTGCCACTCACTCATCTGCAGTTAAAAATGAAGCATGAACAGCCCCATTCCTCCAGCCCTCCTCCTTCCTTCTCACGAGGCAAATTATGTTTTTTGGCAAATGGCAGGGAGGGGGTAGTTTGCCTGGCATAGGCCCTGATGGTATCTCTGCTTCCCTCTGAAATAGACAATTAATCCACTCCAGGGACTACTTCATATTTGCTGCCTCTTCTAATGGGCAGGGTGATTGCAGTTAATTGGAGGGTTATTTAACATGTGATGTTTTATTCCTTCTTACTACTCTTTCTGTCCCCTCAACCTGAATAGTCCACTTGTGGGGGATGGGAGAAGAATATACAGTTTCTAGTACATCTTTTAAAGAATCCAGATTCTTTTTCTCTCATGCTTGCACAGTGTGGATTGCACAATTTTAGCTGATATTTGCCAGGTTCTTGGAGATCTGGCAGTGACAGTTTTGTACCTGTTAGCAGACACACGGGAACCAACAATACTTCTTGTGGAATTGCACACTTCTAAAACTGTTCTGTCTTGCTTTATGGAATAAGTCATCTTTACCACCTGCTCAGTTTTAACACCAGGGTCTGTTTCTGTAGCTTCTTCCTCGGGAAAAAGCAGCTATGAACTACAATGAGAAATTGAAAGAGAAATTCCAGCACCACCCCCAAATCAAACGTATAAGTCGCCATCGACACTTGCCAAAGATGATCTACAGCCAGGCCAGAGAGCAACGCATCATGAGAGAAGCTCGTCGGCGAAAGTATGTTACTTCTTAACTTTACTTTGTTAAATTACATGTTATATTGGGCCATTCTTTCAGTTAGCCCAGCAACACTTTTGAATAGATTTAGAGGAAACTTGCTAACTTGAAGAGCAGTTCAGTTTACTCTTTTCTATTGAAATTTTACCAAAATGAAAGAAATCTGTACAGGAGTCTATTGGCAAGCTTTAATTATTTTAGTTGGACTAGATGATGTATTGGTTCTTGCAAATGATTCTGTAACATTTATTTGTTAATTTAAGCAATTAGATTGCATGAGGCAATGGGGTGGAAAGGGAAGGCAAAGTGGTGGTAAATACTCACGTTCAAGAAAAAAGGAACAGGTGGTTTCTCCATGGAACAAAATAGACGATCCTTAGAAATAGTAGAGAACACTATAAAATACATTATTCAGTTTTGTTTTAATTGAATCTGTTGCCTAAAAGAAGCAACTCAAAATGAGTTTCTGCCCAAGTTTATGATCTAGCAGCCAGTTAGTGATTTTCCAAACACAGTAGGGCATTTTCAGTATATTGTTTTTTAGAAGCAATGTAGAGTATGGTCAGTTAAGTACTTTGTTTTTTAAATAAAATTATACCCCTTGTGGCTGAAATAATCTAATTTTGATGTTTCTTATTTTAGGGAAATGAATCGCCGGAAACATAGCAAGCCTGGATCTGTACCGCTTGTGTCAGAGAAGAAGAAACACATTGTAGCTGTAGTGAAATAATAGTTTATATAATGCCTGTTTTATTGGTTGAATTCTTAAAGACAATGTGCACATCCTTTTACTTTTACTTTTTAAATGTCTCTATTACTATTGTAATGTTTGGATTTTGCATTAAAAAGGCATTTAAAATTTTATATCTAGATATGCTACTGATATAGTTTAGGTTAATTTTGTGACCCCCAGTAGCATTTCATTCTGTTGTACCTTCTGTCAATCCAATTTTGTGTCACCTGAAAAAGAGACACAGTGTTGTATCCACTGCCAAAAAGGATGAACAACTTCACTATGCAACAAGCAGCTTTCCCTTTACTAGAGACTACATAAGCATTCAGCATGTAATTTCTAAAATCCTATGAAGAGTTCTTCATAGGCTAGATAATTTAGGAAACCCTAGTGTTATGACACTTGCCTGTGTTTCCTTACTGCACCCACCAACATAATTGGGCAGTTATCAATATGTGATATTAAAACAAAGATTTGTGTTGAATAGTAACTTTGTAGTTGCCTAATTTAAAGCCTGAAATTTCTAAACTGGAACAGAAAAAATAGACATAACCATTTTGAATGTGATTAACAGCAAAATGTTGATACCTGTTGTACGTCTAGTTACCGTATTTTTCGCCCCATAGGGCGCACCGGCCCATAGGGCGCACCTAGTTTTTTGGGGGGGAAATAAAGAAAGAAAAATTATTTCCCCCCCCCCCCCAGGCGCGGGGCTGGGGCGGGGGAAGCCCGAGCTTCGCCAGCCCCCAGAACAGGCTGCTATCCGCAAGCCTAGGGAGCCCGGCGGGAAGTTGCGCTGGTCTCCCCAGGCTTGCGGATATCTGCCCGAAGCCCGGGGCGCGCTGCTCAGCTCACCCCAGGCTTCGGGCAGCAGGCTGATATCCACAAGCCTAGGGAGCCCTGCGGGAACTCCCGCGGGCTCCCCAGGCTTGCGGATTGCTTCCTGAAGCCTGGAGAGTGAGAGGGGTCGGTGCGCACCGACCCCTCTCAGTCTCCAGGCTTCAGCGAAAGCCTGCATTCGCCCCATAGGACGCACACACATTTCCCCCTCATTTTTGGAGGGGAAAAAGTGGGTCCTATAGGGCGAAAAATACAGTACTTTTATTGGAACATGATCAAGACAAAATTAAGAACTTATTCACATCAATTTCAGTTTAAGAGCTAAGCAAGATCTGAACGTCTTTATTATAATCAGTGGAGCTTTTAAAAGTTAATTGACTGGCAGGATCAGGTCTTTTATTTATTTATCTGTTTGAATTTTTAAAATAACTAAGTTTGCTCTTGAAAGAGAGTGAAATGTTAACCAAGCCTCAGGGAACAGCTAACAGTAAATTAAAGTTGCTTTAATCTTATGGTCTCTGGGAATTGTGGACCTATGACCCCAGTAGGATATTGTGGACCTTCTTGATGAGTAGGGAAGAAGGTCTGCCCCCAGAGGCCACATTAATGCAGATGTAGAAACCTGAGTAGCTGAGCTCCTTGTATGTGGGTGGTGCATTCATGATGGCAGTCGGGAATTATAGTTATTCAGTATGAGCATTGCATTCAGAGTGCTCTTGAGCAGATACTTCAGCCATACCAGGAATGTTGTCTGTTTTCTAGACACCTGCCAGTCTGGTATGGAGGTGTAAGATCAGATCCCTGCTCTGCTTTGGAAATGGGCAGAATGGAGGAGAAGGTGTGAAATGAAGTACATATTGAGTCTACTTAACTAAGCAAAAGAAAGCTAACTTCATGTTTACTGTGTGATTCATTTGTTGCCCTCTGAATTTGTTACCTGAGTTATAGCAGCATAGTTCATCATTAAGTGGCCAGATAGAATTGGCTCTAAGCTCAATGTTGTAGAGATCAATTAAATCAACTCGAAATTTTGTTTATTATAAATTAAGAGTATTATACTAATGGCTTTTCAAGAAAGATGTGAGAGAAGCCGTGGTTCTGTTTACACTCTTGTAGCTCTTCAATTTCGGCGTGAGATATTTAGAAAATGTGAAGACTATTTTTCAGTCACAGCCATGTTGAAAGCAGAGAAAACTGGGGAGAAGCAAATAAGTTAAATCATTTAACAGATTCTTTTTTGTAGAGGGAGAAGTAAATTGGGAGTTTCCTTCCTCAAAGTGTTTAACGATAAGTCTTCCTTGATTTGGCTCACATGTTCAGCTTTTAAGTACTGTAAATAGCCTGCACGCAATAGACTTCACCACTTGCAAGATGTGTTGTGAGGCTAGTTTAAAGTAGATTGCGAAGAACTTTAGAAAGTATTGTGGTGGAATGTCTGTGTGGAATTGAAAACCTATAAAGATACTTCAAAATAAAATCCAGGAGCAGGACCCAGTAAAAATTCTGCCCTACTCAGATTTTTCTTGAAAAATTCACATAGACTATTTGTGATGTCCTCCATAGGAATAATTCAGTAAGTACTCCTGAGACAGAAAGTACTGATCCCATATTGTTGCATCTCCAAGTAATGCTGGAAAAGAAACTGAAACACTTGAAGAATCTCTGCCAATCAGTGAAATCAGTGGGAAATGGACCAGTAGCCTGGCTTCATTTAAGGCAGACTTTGTTTCTGTGATTTCTGCAATAATTTAAACCGTCTGGGGGGCATCGATTGATACTAAACTGGCCAAACATTTACTAACAGTTGCCTTGCTTTCTGCTTGTAGTTATGGCTCACAAAATATCTGTGCAGTTTCCTCCGCAAATGATCATCAAGCCCTGTGGTGATGGCCTGGAACTTTGCATTGTGTGTGCTATTCATTACCTACTTCCAGTTCTATCAGTTGCTACTTATTCCCTGTGTCGAGTCATAGTGAGCTATAATCGGCTTCTCTAGGAGAAGTGTTTCTAATTGTGGGATTGGGTTAACGATCTGTATCTGAGCCTTCAGCAAGGAGCTTCTTGCATCTTAAGTGACAGGAGTAGGATCAGCATGGTCCTAAGTGCTAATTTTTCTGAAGAGAGCCTAATGGGTGCAGAGCTCTGCAGAGGATTTTATCCATAGGAACAAAAGACCTGAAGAAGGAAGGGGACGTTGACCATAGGAAAATGCTGCATCGTAGATGAGATGGAAGTAGCACATCAGCAAATTTCTTTACCAGACTGTGTTGATGACAGGAAATGATTTCTCATGCCATAAGCATTCAGGACACAATAAGCCAAAATTATTTTTCCTACAAAGCAAGTAATCTAGTTTTTAAAATTGAAGGAGAAACATTTAATTGGTACAGCTGGATAAATAAAGGTGTATTTATAGATAAGCTATTTGAGGAATAGAGCCTGTTGGTTTTTTTTGAACTAGTTAAGGCAAAAATTTAACCTTTGTGAGCAAATCCATGGACAATATTTGCAGCTGCATCTTTTTGCAATAGAGTATTTGCAATCAGAAAATACTGGGATGTTTCTGATAAACCCGTGTTTCAAAATAATCCTTCTCTTTCTGGTTGTCTCTGAAGCTCCAAAAACATCAGCGAAAAAAGCATAGAGTAAATAACTGCATTAAAATGGCAATCTCAAAATGTAGAACAAAATGGCATGCATTTGTTGGGAAAGTTTATGTAAAGTATCTCTTTTTCAAATATTTTATTCAAATATATGAAAGTAAAAGGATTTCTCAGTATAATATATACACGTTTGGGGGTTTTGTTTATTGTTTTGCATTTTTTGCTCTGCCCATGTTTGCCTCTGGCCACACACATCACTGGTATGTGGCCCCCAGAAGGGTTCCCATGAGGTAATGTGGCCCTTGGGCTGGAAAAGTTCCCCCATGCCTGGGTTGATTTATTTGAACAGCATATAATGTGACCCCAGGGAAGTGCCTCTATATACACACACACCATAGTTAACATTTCTTGGTGTTTCTGGTTTCTGAAGAAAACCATGTAAGTCTGAATCAACTTTATGGTCAATGCTGCCCTTTTGCTCTGTGCTGAGAGAATAATCAGAGCAAACTCACTTCAATAAAATGAGAATTAGCAAACTTACAGGAACATGACTAAAGTGGTGCTCTTCAAAGTGCCAAAGCTCAGATTACAGGAATTCATCATATCCATGAATCAGATAGCATTGGTCTTGCAGTGTAATTCTACCTAAATTATGTTTGTCAGTTGAGAATGCCAAATTAAATGCTGTTTTGTCAAAATTTATTGCTGCTGTTGGGAAACTGCTTTGATGACATGACAACCCCTCTTGAGAGAGGAGGAGGAGACTACTTGGACCATTCCTGTTCTTGTGAAAAGATGGGGCATAGTGAGTTAAGACACCCATGGCTGAAAGATTTCTACCTGCTGCACTGCACTGGTGAAAGAGATTACATTATACAAAGGCAAAATCCCAGACGAATGTCTCTTGTATGTATTCCATAGACATGAATGGGAATTAACTTTAATATTTTTGGAATAACACATAAGGCAACAAATACAAACATTTGCTGGTTGGGAAGAGAAGAAACAGCAAGCTTGATTATTGTGTTCTTTCTTCACTGGTGCGGATGAAAGGACAAAAATGTGCATTGAATACTTTATCAATGGTTTGGGACCAGAATACATCAGGAACAGCATACCCCCGCCGTCCTCAGCATAAGCTTGTCAGGACCTTCAACACTTCAAAAATGTGTATTCATATCTGCATAGTATCACCAAGTAGAACTGTTTAGGATATTGAGAGACTGGATAATTTGAGTTTTGCCATTGCCAGGTTTGAAGGAGCCATTGGCAAATGCCCATCTGGTTCATATATCAGTGAATCAATCTGGTACCAAAAACGTAATTCCAGGCATTGGGGGAAATTAAAATGGCAGCATCACCATCTGATTGCAAAATAGTTCATTTTCTAGCATTGACATTCTGTTTCAAAGAAATAATGGGATTTTGCTAAGGGAAGTTTAGAGTTTGTTAATCCTCTAATGAACAGTTCTCAATGTGTTAATTTTTTTGTACTCGGTGCACAGAGAGGTTTTCCATTAATGCACACTTTCAGTTGGAACTCATCCAGGTACCGTAGGTATTAATAACACCATGGATGAAAACTATATGCAAGGTAAAAAGGACAGAACATAATTATGTTTTTTCCTTCTTTGCAAGAAAATTGGAACAATGAGGGTTGTATGTGTTGAGAGAAAGAAAGGAGGGCTTCTGAAACACTGGTAATTTCTATACATAATACACTTGAAGCCAAGGGTTCTGCATATATGCCAAAAACGCAAATACTCTGAAACCCTGTGTGAGCATCCCAGGATTTCTGGAACTGGCATGCTGGCTCCAGAATCCCCAGAATGCTCTTTCGAGATCTCTCAGAGCTGTCCAAGTTCCCATGAAATCTTGTGGAAGCATCACAGACCTGGAGAGAGCCAGTGTGCTGTAGTGGTTAAGAGCAGTAGACTCGTGATCTGGTGAACCAGGTTCGCGTCTCCGCTCCTCCACTTGCAGCTGCTGGGTGACCTTGGGCTAGTCACACTTATTTGAAGTCTCTCAGCCCCACTCACCTCACAGAGTGTGTGTTGTGGGGGAGGAAGGGAAAGGAGAAAGATCCTTCGGGTAGTGATAAAGCGGGATATCAAATCCAAACTCCTCCTCTTGCTTCAGAAGCAAAGCTGAGAGCTTAAAAACTCTTTCTATGCCAGAAAAATCCAGCACAAAAAGAGTTTTTAAACTGTGTGTCTTGGTTCCTGAGCAAGGTCCACTCCTCATGCTGGCTTAATTTACAGGATGTCAATCAGCTAGCATTCAATCATGTATTGCTGAAATTGCAGAAGTTACCGGTACATGTACATAAGATGTGATCGTACTGTATAATATTATGGTACCAGATTAGCCTGCATCTCTCTATATATGCACACAAAACCCCATTATCTTACAGACATGTTCACAAAAGTATTACTTTGGGCATCTTTACACAGGGGGTTATTGCAGTGGGCACAGTTACTTTAGGAACACAGTACTGTCTTGTTTTGTTGAGGAAATTAGCAAGAAGCAGCAAATGGCAATATAAACAAATGTAGTTTATTTTCATTTGGCATGTGTATTGGCATACATTTGAGTGAAATGGCTTTTGTCTTGAAGCACCCATACAAAGATGTAGAATAGCAAGATGGTTAGCTGTTACAGATTATATAGGCTATCCACGTTCAAGCTTAAATAATTGCTGTTAGAGAGAGAGAGAGAGAGAGCGAGAGAGAGCGCTTTATACGGAATAGAGTAGGGCACTAGAGGACCAGGCAAAATTGCAGCCTACATGCACCAGAAGGGAAAGCTCAAATGCAAATGTCTATGGTTTGGAGTAATGCGTAGGTTCAGAGACAATGCGATGAGGGAAATGAGAAAGGTATAGATAAGAGGTAGGAGTGAGACACTAATAATTACCTGTGCCAAGGAAGGGAGAGTAAAGAGAAAGCATATGCTCACCGCTGAATCCAGACTTCCTGGCAAAGGCTAAACACACTTTGTATGGTGGAGAAACAGGCCTGGGTACCATTGACAGCAAAATATCCAGAAAAAGGGTTTTTAGGCTGAGGTGATGACAGTGGCGTAGCGTGGGTTGTCAGCACCCGGGGCAAGGCAAGTAATTTGCGCCCCCTAACCCGTGGATTTTAGCACTCAGAGAGCTGCGAGTGCGAGCGCCCCCCCCAGATGTTGCGCCCGGTGCGGCTGGGCCCCCCTGCACCCCCCACGCTACGCCACTGGGTGATGACTGGGTGGACATCCTTGTTAGCTTACCCTTGAAGTAAATCTCACTACCCTGGGTTTCTTAGAATCTTCCTAAGCAGCTGAAGGGGTTCCTAATAAAGTTCCAGAAATATAAAAGGCTTCCTTTTGGGATAACATTGGCTTATGCCTGCTAGGGTCATGGCTAATCTGAAGAAAACAACAAGCATGTCTGAAAAGCAGGGAGGGGAGGCAGGCATAAAGGGCCTAGGTTTTGTTCATGCAGGCATCAGTGAGTTGAAGCAGACTTGAAAAGTGGAGATGGTGGGTGGTTCCTGCTTTGGTTCCAATAATTTATGTATTTATTTAAAATACTTAAATTATATTAAGTGTTCTTTAAAATTGTTAAGAATTAAAATTTGAAAACCAAATTCCATACTGGTTGATTTCTTAACACTTGTGTGTTTTCTTTAGCACTTGGGACAACCTGGTGATAGTTGCACTGTTTGATTCCAACCAGATGTTAGCAAATCATTTCTTTCAAACTGATAGGCATGAAAGTTGTTGGGGATTTGGTTGTGAGCAGCTGAAGGGGTTCATTTAAGCTGAAGCTTCACTAGAGCTTTGTTTCGGGGTAGGTTTTGTATGCCCAACAATATAATGAAATACCCTAAAGCATGCCCCACGTCATGTGCAGAATACAGTTCAAACATCATTTAGTGACCACAACTCAGCTAAGAACTCCTAAGGGAGAAATTGAAATTTATAGAATCCAAGCAGCTCTCATTATGGAAATTAAACTCTGAGTATCACTTTGCCAAGATCATTCAACTAGCGCAGCTGACTCTTATTCTAAAGCAGTGAGATCAATAGAAAATGGAAGAAGCCCAGAGCAAAAATCCTTTGTAGAATTTAGATCCTCCTTAATGTTTTCAGAAAACTGTTTCAGGTGGCTTTTAGACAGGCACCGTTATTTAGCTGTGGGGATCTTAGAATACAGTGGTACCTCGGGTTACATATGCTTCAGGTTACATACACTTCAGCTTATGAAATAGTACCTCGGGATAAGAACTTTGCTTCAGGATGAGAACAGAAATGGTGCTCCAGCGGCGCAGCGGCAGCAGGAGGCCACATTAGCTAAAGTGGTGATTCAGGTTAAGAACAGTTTCAGGTTAAGAACAGACCTCCAGAATGAATTAAGTTCTTAACCCGAGGTACCACTGTACTGATTTTATTAACAATGTACCAGTGCACTAGTCCAAGTAGGCACAGGCAGGAAGCAAACTATTTTTGTGTCCCTGTGGCTGTGTACTGACTGGTGACTAGGTATGAGAAGTTAGCCTTCCCTTTTTCCAAGCCACTATCTGAAGCGGGATATGCTGGATTTTGTCCCTTAAGATGGCAATTCTGTACACTGTGTACTCTGTATAATGATATGTGCATGGTGTTATTTAACTAAGAGGAAATACCACAGCAGCAGGGTATCACCTACTAACAAAACACTTGTTTTGTCGCAGCCTCTTTATTTATAGATATACAGGTTGGCTTTGGGTCAACAAACAGCGTCCAGAAGATGCTATCTTCAGACTGGGAGTAAGAGATCAAGAACCCTGTGCCTCTAGCTATCAATTTCTCACTTAGAAGATGTTAATTATATTGTTACCTGGCAATAAAGTTATCTACAATGACCCACACATTCTAGTAATAGCTAGATCACTTTTTATTAGTTGGAATGGGCTAGTTAAGCAACAGTTTCATCGTCTTCTCCCTTGTCTATCTGAAGTGACCATACACCAAGAAAACCAAGTCTGCTTTTTCAACAGACAGCAATTGCTTGGCTTCAATTTCATCCCACACTCAATTTGAGAACATAGTCTTTTCCAAGAAATGAGTACTGTATCATAGTCCTTGGAAAATATGATATTCTGGGAAGACCATCCTACTTGTTGAGAATACTGTTCATTCATTGCTGTGATAGGGTAGAGGTTTTATTTTCCCTCAAGAAGGAGGTTTTAATTCTCTTACAAAGAAATCCACACCAGACACAGCTCACTTGGGAAACTACCAGTCTTGAATCTGTTCTTCTTGGACATAGACCAACAGCTGAAGAGCCAGAGGAAAGAGTAATTCTCTCTCAATTTCAAAAGAATACATGAAAGGTAGCTGGTATGTCAGTATAGATGTGTGGTCAGGTACCAGGTGTGTGGGCAATTCCCAGCTAGTTTTTTTTTTAATCTTGTCAGACGTCTGAAGAAGGAAAACCCAAACCAATTACTCATAGATACTGACAACACAGGAAGACTTGAAAGCACCATATACTGAGTGACAGAGGTCCACTCTGTTATGTCAAAGTCTCTATGTGGCTTTGCTGCCTGGCAACACTAAGGAAGACCAAAGATGAAGTCAGGGAAATGCTGCCTGAAGAATCCTGGTACCATATGGACACCAAGGTATTTCTATTGCTAATACTACCCTTGAATGTGATTATATTGTATGTACAAATCTGTTGCAAGTCACTTTGAAAGTCTCTATAAAACAGTATATAAGTAAAACAAACAAACAAACAAACAAACAAACAAACATCTTAATAAATGTGATCTTCTTGGTCATGGAAAACTATCATGTTTGCCACCAAGACAGTTTGCTCTGATATATATCTAGTTGCTTCCTCCAGTTCTGAAGTTGTGCTAACTCATTTTGAAAGAAGCCCCTAGCATTTCAACCCAGTAGCTAGCTGCTATAGAACTTAATTTACTATAGTTCCTTGGGTGATTGTACTTTACTTCATGGATTTCAATCAGGCAATAATAAGATTCTGCTGAATTATTTGAAACAGTGTTTAGATTTATTAGAAGGAGTAAGAAATGAGTAACTGGATTAGATGTTAGCTAATCAATGACCCTAACACAGTAAATGCAAATAATGCATATATTGGACAATATACTCTAAGCTGGACACAGACATTTTCAAATTATTTCACAGCTGTTTATTATTATATTACATAGGAAATTATTCCATGTTCAAATTATTCCTAGCTGGACTAGGTACAAAGCTTTCTGCTTTGGCAATAATAGAAATAGTAGACATGTGTTGGTCACTGGTGGGGACCTTCATCTAAGCACAGTCACAGTGGACCTTATTTGTCTTTTTCTCCTACATGTCTCCACCATGACTTTTAGGCAGGTAGCAGATAGTAAAAAGTTTGATCTAGCATAATATAAATAGAGTCTGTTGAATTAATTTTATTTTTGTTATAGGCCATGCAAAGCTGCCATCAAATCGCTCACATCCTTGTCCACAGCCTGCAATATAAAACCATGAATCCAGTACTTTATACTGCCATTGTGGTGCAAACACAAAGATTCTAACCATTGATCCTCATGTCTTTTACATGGAGGACCTCAATTCCAACCCACTATCAAATTAGAGTTTGTGATCTGCATAGACTCACAATATACAAATAACACAGTGCTTTGTGACACCTTCTTTTGGGCATAGCAGAAATAGCAGGTTGCATTTCAAAATGTTTACTCCAGCTTTGTAGGTTTTTAATGAGTTACTGTTTTAACCGCTTCTGTCCAGCTGTTTCTAGTGACCATTGTTTGCAGGATATTTTGTAATCTATTTTATTGATGGCTTTTAAATTAATTTATGTCATCTTGTACCGTTTCGTATTGGCACTGATCAAAGTTGAGCAACATTTTTTTAAAAAAGTAAATGAATTGATGTAACATTCATGGAACTACTGTGGGGCAAAAATCTAGATTGGAAAAAACCTGTTTCAGAAGCACTTTGAACCCTTGAAAGTGTTACACTGAGTGCCAATACTAATAGTTAATATTGCATCATAAAAACCTAAATCTGAGGTACAGATTTTTATGTAGTGTTGAATGCATTAAAAAAAAACCATTTTACCAGCTAGTCTCTCAAATAACCAGTTTCCAGGGCATAACAGTATTGAACCATATCTGAGCTTGTCTGTAAACATTTTTTACAACCATCTGGTACAATGTTATGATATGAATGTATTAAGAGGCTTCAAATGGTAAGTGTGTTTAGGAAGAGCTGGAACTATATATTTTATGATATTTGAAGCATAATTTGTTGTTGGAATGGAAAAATCATTCAGTCTGGGAAGTATCATTTCCAAATTCCAGTTTTTGTGACACAGTAATGAAAAGACTCATTAGCATTGTGATTTTTACAATGCAGTGATCTGATATTAGTATAAGTTTAGGAAGTGCCTTCAGCCTTCCCCACGCTACTGCCTTCCAGATCTTTTTGGATTACAGACTGGGGCTAGTGATGAGAGCTGTAGTCCAAAACATCAGGAAGGTACTAGGCTTGGGAAAGCTGAGAAAAAAATAACTGTGATACGTTTTTTTAAATACTTATTTTATTAAAAATAAAATTAATAACTTATAGGACTTAAATGGGAAAACTATGTGGACACAATGTATTCTGATCCCTTGATGTGGATTACACACAGAGCACACATTGAATTCGTGTTCTTCATGCTGAAGGGATAAGCCATGGCTATACAGTATGATATGGTTTGATGTAAGAATACATGTAAAACTTACAAGGATCTATGAGGACCTATGCAAAAAGCCAGATGATGTTCGAAAAATTATTTTGGATAGTGTAGGCGAACTGTAATTATATAATGGATTTCAATATTCTATTTAAAAAAGGATACATGATGAGAAGATGTGCTACAAATCTAGGTTCCAGCATCGGTGCACTACAAATGATTAAACTCATTTTTATGAGTTACTGTGTCATCATGATACAAATTAAATGCATCTGGAGCATCTAGGTTTTTGCACCACAAGGTGCAATTTATAATCATTATAACGAAGCCCATAGGTACTGATGTGAACTATGATTGATAGTGGAAATGGGGTAATTTTGTGTAAAAAGCACAAGGACTTGCGTCTTGCAACCATCTTTTTGTGCCATAGCAATGTCATTAACTTATGAATCTGTGCTTGTTGTGAAGTCAATATAAGAGCCACAAAGTTTAATATATGGGATCCATTTTTTGTGCCTCAGTGATGCCACAAAGTGCTGGCTCCTTGATTTATACCATGCAGTCTACACAGATGAATGCAAGATTTGGGGAGACCTTCTATAAATAAGTTATGAAGATCCTTCTTTTTGTGCCACAGTGGCAGTACTACAAAGTACTGCATCTGTAATGTTTACAGATGTTTTCCCCTCCCATGGAGACATTACAGTTATCCAACTGAAGGCACAGGTGGCTTCCAGGTGACAAGAGGAGCCGCAAACCTTGCATCTCTCTACATTGTGTTGCCGATTGCCTAGCTCAGCATGGAAGAAGCGAAACCATCCCAAATGGAGCCAGTGACAGGGAAGCTGCCTATGTTCTGCAGTGTGCCCTGTAGCAGTAGGACCATCCCTTGCCCTCGACCCCGTGCATACATACCCAAAGGGCTGGCCACAGATGCCCTAAAGCCAAATACCTATGTCCAGGCCCTTATATCCCCTTATCAAATGAATCTAAAATAGCAACCGTTCCTTGGTTATGTAATCCCAAACACAGATTACAGCCCCCACTTTAACCCATAGCCAGCTGCAGCTGTCTGTCCACCCTGTTAGTGCTTCCCCTGCCCCTTGGCCAACTGCCACTCGCTTACATCTCCCTCCATGTGAATGTGACAGCAGGGCGAGTTGAAGTTACCGAGGGAGCAACAAATCCGCGTTGGGTCCAGACGAGCCAGGAAACTACCTTGGCACATCTCTTTTCCTCCGCGAAGTTGTACCTCTTCCTCCTCAGGGTTTTCCCTGGCTCAGCCTTGCCTCTCTTCACCCGAATTTCGGGTGTATGTGGGGAGGGGGGGAACTGGCCTCCCTTCTCTTCCATGCCACCTTTTCTCTCCGCGCCTCCCTAGCTCGCCAGAAATAACGGCTGAGGCAGGCAGGGCGCTTGTCTGTCACGCTCTCCGCCCCGCCCGCCCGCCCGCTCCCTCACGGCCGTTCGCCCGGCCTCCCTGGAGCGGCTGGGCCCAGTCCTCTCAATTGCGCGCGTCCCCGGTGCCACTTGGCTCCTCCCCCTTTTGCCTCGCGTGATTTTTATCGCAGCCATTCGCCTCCTTACCCTCCCCACCCCCGCGCGCCTTTCCCGGTGCATTTATAAATAAATAAACAAACGCAACTCCTCTCTCTCTTGCCCCCCTCCCCACCTTCGCGCGCCGCTCCGCCTCCCCGCCCCCTCCCCAACGTCTTCCCCTCACAGCCTGCCTCTCCCTGCTTCACTCCCCCCCCTCCAACCGACGTTGCCGACGCGCGTCGTGTCGCACGAGGCTTCGTCTCGAGGCTGTGTGGGAAGCGAGCGGCTTTTCCCTTTAACGCTCCCCGCATTTCTCCTCAGCGCGCCCCGCCCCGCGCTCCGTTCCCGCGCCTTCAGGCGACAAGGCAGGAACGTCGCTGTCGGGCTGGGAGAGGGGGAGGAAGACGAAAGAAAGAGGGGGGAAAAGGAGAGAAAAAGAGAAAGCGCGGGAGGGGGAAGATTCGGGGAGGAAGATGAGGAGTCCCTTCCCGTGATTCCCGCTATTGTCGTCGTCGTCGTCGTTCCCCCCGCCCGGCTCCCCTTTCCCTCCTCTTAATTCCGCGATGCGATGGGTTAGGCGGCTCGTCGCCAGCAGCGGAGCTGAGAGAAGAGCAGCCGAGCGAGGCAGCCACGAGAGGCGGCGGCGGCGAGGCCTTGTTGAAGCGCGGGTGGCGGAAGCGGCGGCTGCTGGTGGCGGCGGCGGCGGCGGCAGAGGAGGAGGAAGCCGCCGGCGGGAGCTGCTTTGCCCCACGGTCCCCTCCATGGACAGCGGGTTGGAATTATGAGCCGGCGGGAGCTGCTGGCGCCCGGGACTCGCCCTCACCCCAAGGGGTTTTCTCCCGCTCTGCGCTTCAGGGTGCCGGCGGGGCTCCTCTCTCACCATCGGCACCACCATTACTATTACAGCGCGCGACACCCCGACGCTTCGCCCCCTCAGCCCGGAGCCCCCGGCCCTTCCGCCGCCTCGCCAGGGTTCCCCTGGCCCGGGCGCCCGGCCACCTCCTCCTCTCCGGCCGCAAGCAGGGGGCGCCTTCGGTTGGAGTGAGAAGCCCCCCACCCCCAAATACTGCCCCTCACTCCGTCCCGCCAGAGCCCAACCGATACCCCTCACCAACTACCGCCCCCCGGCTCTTCCCCTTAAGGCTCCTCCGTGTTGTGGTGCCCCCCACCCCGACCCCATTCCTCCCTCACCTAGTGCGGGCTCCCCCTTCCGTTTCCCTCGGAAGATCCTTCTCCCTCCCCAGAAACCATTACTGCCCGACTCCTTCCCCCCTTTCCTCACCACTGAGCAGGTGAGAGGGGTTGTGTGTGCGGAGAAGGAGGGGGGGACCCTTTATTGTTGCTCCCCTCCCATCTCACCCAAAGCAAGCCCCCTTTTCCCCCTTCACGGACGCTGCTGATCCTTCCCCTTCCCTCCCCAGCAGGGCATTAATTAGGTGGCCGATTGATTCCCAAAGTATATCGATTTGTATGTATTTCACTCCGCGGCAGCGGCGGCTGTTTGCTCCGCTGCCCCCGCCTGAGTTAGCCCAGTGTTTTCCAGTATAGAGTGTTGCTGAAGCTCCGTCTACCAAATATGTCGGCTCCTGTTGGGCCCCGGGGCGGCCCTGCGCCTCCTCCTCAGCCGCCTCCACCTCAGTCCGAGATGCCCGACCTCAGCCACCTCACGGAGGAAGAGAGGAAGATCATCCAGGCCGTCATGGATCGCCAGAAGAAGGAAGAAGAGAAGGAGCAATCCGTGCTTAAGTAAGGGCTACTTTCCTCTCTCTTCTCTCTCTCCCCCCTCTTCCCATGGTTGTGTGGCTCATTCAGGAGAAGGAGGAAGGGTGAGGCCGCCGAGCCCCTCGCTTTCCACCCCTCCCTAGGGCATTGCTTGGGGCTGGCTGGCTGGCGTGCATTTGTGTGAGGTGGTAGACTCCTGAGAGGAGCGATTTGAGGGGAAGCCACGGAGGCTGCTTGCCAGTGCATTTAGCTCCTCATTGCCTCTTGCCTCGGTCCATCCCTGCAGGAGATGGAAAAGAGCAAGCGGTTCCCTCCCCTCCCCGCTTTCCAGGCTCCTATTCGCCGTTCAGCCAGGCATGGACTGGGGCCAGGCGCCCAATATGGCCGCACAGGTGCTGTTGTAACCCGGTGTGTAGGAAGCGGATGGTTTCAGGAGGAGGAGGAGGCGGCGGCGGCGGCAGCATGGCTGGGAAAAGGAACTAAGCGCGCACGAGAATCTGGTGGCAGCTGGAGTGGGCCTTTCTCCGCAGTCGCCACCGCCAAAGTGGCCTTCCTTCGCCTCCTGCCTTGCCTTCTCTTAGCAGCCCAGCCCGGGCAGAGCGGAGATGTCCCGGCGAGGCCTCGGTAGCCTTCTGTCGGGGTGGGTTTGCGAGAGCCGCCATCTTCCTGCAACAACGTGTAGCCCTCCCACCCCACATTGACCGGCTCCTTGCGTTCTGGCAAGCAGTCCTTGTCCCTTCACCTGTGGGCCACTTGGCCAGCAGCAGCATGGAGGGCGCAGGCCTCGCAGGCGGCAAAAGCCGCCACGGAGAAAAAGCTGCCGAGCTGCTCTGTAACTTCAGCACCACGGAGCTGTCCAGGCAGGCTCAGGGCAATTGTTTCTGGTCCTGATGACATTTCACCTTTCTTCCTGGGCTGTGTTACCTCCCTTTCTCTTGCAAAGCGATTTAGCTCTGATCCATTTGGGCAGTGATGTCAGGAAGTTCCATGTTTTCTCTGATTTTTTGTTTCTTACATATATGCCTTGTGGATGGCAAGGCTACCTGATTGGCTGAAATGCAAGCTTCTTTTGTGATCTTGTAACATGTTTAGCATGTTTTTGTCTATCATAGTAGCTACTGTTTGCCTGTTAAGATCAAGTTTGTAGACAAGATTGCGTTTGACTTTTTTATGTTTCTCAAACATCATGTAATCACAAAAATGTCATTTTTCTTATGTAATGGCCACACTGACCTCTAAATTATTATTCACTGCTTTATGAAGTTATTACAGTAATGCTCTAACGCATACTGCTGTGTTTAATTTTAAGTAATGGATACTATGTAACATTTTGTCACAGGGTCAGAGTAAATGCTTCTGAGTCTAAATACTGCTAAAAATATCCAGCCAAATTACTAGGCAATCATAGTGATGTTAACCCATTGTCTTGTTGAACTGCTGATTAAAAATCTGCAGCTGAAAGCTTCTTGGCTTCTGGGCTGAGCTGATGACTTGTGCTGGAATCAGTGTGTATCATTAGCAATGTGACAGTGAACAAAAAAATTATTGTTTTCTTGTAATTTTTATCTTCATGTAAAGAGAAACAGGTGGTTAAAGTATTCACACTTAACAATAATAATGAAATGTGTTTGTGCTTTGAAGAAAGTCAGCATGATTTATATTAACAAAAGTCAGATTACCTTTTGAAATTCCAATTCTAACTAATAATTTAAAGTAATTTATACCAAGAACATATATTTATATGTCTTTGGCTATTATATCTTAAAATATGCATTAAAAACAATGTAATATGCAAACAAGCAATGGCATTATTGTTATTAATAATATATTTTACCTGCCCTTTACCATGAGGTCACAGGGTGGGCAACTATAATATAAAAATTGCAATATTAAAAATAGTTAAAACAGATAATTGGACAGTGGCATCAACATTATAAAATGTATTTACCATGTTTCTAGTAACATTTGTGCTTAAATACATAATCTCTGTGACTAAAATAAGTTTGTTTTTTATATTAGAATATCTTATTTGTTTTTAATTGCAAGTTTGGTTAATAGGCACAAACACATTCCTCTGTTTTTAGACAAAATCATATGCATTTGACATGTCTTTCACACTCATACCTCCCCAATATAATTAGATATGAGAAATAAGGAAAACTTTCCCTCCTAAAATAGGAGAAAAATATAGTATGCATGGATTAATTGTGGTTTAGTATCATTTTAAGTTGGCTTGGGATCAGGCAGATAATATATATAATTTGTCAGTTTGTGTTTGCTTATGAGATCTTAAGATATCTTAGACTGCCATCTCTTGATGATATGGATAGATAGATACAGTACAAAGAATGGCATGTGCTGATGTAGCCAGAGCAACAAGTGTGAGGCAAGTGGGGAGTCCATCATGCTTTGCTGTGTGTTAGTGGTAATCTCATCCTAACTCCTTAGTATGAAATAGTGTTTGTTCTGATATAGCAGACTTCACAATGGCTCAGATATTTAGCATCTGTTAGCTGGGTTGTACCTAGTCCCACCCTCTGTCGTGCTATGACTCATTTCTGTGTGGAGTAACAATTTTGCATGATGACACTAAATTGCTTATGGTGAAAGTAGTGATTTCTGCAGTGCTCACACATGTTGTTATGTTGCTACAACATCCTGGGCATGCATATGATACTGGTGCAATGCCACACCTTATTCACATATGATTATCATTTTGGCAGTTGTGACCTCTGATTTGCTAGTGCAGTGATGTACTGTTCTTAAATATATAGCTCTTTCAAAAGATTTATCCTTTTTCTTTCTCAAAATAGTTTCAATCTTCTCCCCTCCTGGTTGAATTTATTGTTGGAGGATGGGTGTTTTTAAAAATCTTCATGTTGCTCCTAAGTTTACAATAATAATACAGTATGTTGGTGCTTGAAGAAGGCTGATGTGATTGAATGGAAATTGAGTTTTCTGTTTCTTAATAATAGTTGCAAATGTAAGTTTTGTTGCTCCTAGTCTAAGCATATCCTTCAAGGGAAGTAGCATATTTTCTGTATCATATAGAACTTTTGGAACTGCTGTTCAGTAAATGTGGCAAAGCATTCACTAAAAAGAAGTATATATTTTGCTTGTTTTGAAAATAGAACTGAAACTCTCAGAGTTCTTTAAAAAACTTACTTGCTAGGTATGTAAAGGATAAATTATACAGTTTTTGATATAAACAATGGATGGAAACCAGCTGG